TTTAAAAAATGTTTTTTTAATTATTTAAAATCTAAAAAGAACAATCTTCCTTCTTTCGCTTCTTATGACCAGAAGCTTTCTTAAAGAAGGAAACATTTATCTTATCTTTGGAAATCTCTAGAAAATTTTTCTTCTAAATGAATCTAATCTTTCATCATATTTAGTGTAATAAACTAGAATAACTTTGTAGATTATAGAGTAGATAAAATAAAGAGAAAAAATAATTTATAAAATCTAAAGGAGAAAATCAATAATTTAAGATTCAGTCAACTTTGTTTAAAAATTTAAAGAACTTAAAATAATGATTATGCCACACAAAATTATACTTTCTTACTCAAACCTATTCAAAGCTTTAACATTATAGGGCTGAAATTAAAGCAAACTAAAATATTATAGGAGCAGAACAAGAAGAGTGGTTACACTTTTCATGATTAATCTTTCCTAGTTGATTATTAATGACAAAATTATCAATTCTCTTTAAAAAGATCACCCCATATTTTTCTTGTTTGCTCTAAATTAATATATTTCCTGATTTTGTAGAGTATAATCAATAATAGAAATGGAATGATGCTTCCAAAAATAAATAAAACAGGACCAATAAAAAATTTAATCCAATTTAAATGTTCCTAAGTATGATATAAATACTAAGTATTTATGTTGATATAATCTATCTTCGATATAGTTCTCATAGCAATTAATCCTCCAAATTATTATATTATGTTAGGTTATGTGTAAAAAAATAAATAGATTAAGGCTGTAAAATATATTGTTGAAGTGAATATCATCTTTTCATTAAAAACTAAAATTAAATAGTTAAAAAGAATAAATAATATAAAGCTTGTAACATTAAATAATGTCTAATGCAGAATTAGTTTTTGTTTTCCTTAAATATATACACCAGACAAGTTGTTAATTTTTAAAATAAATTTATTAAATTATACCATTTTGGTTTGAATATCATTTAAATTCTTTTTTATATAAAAAATTCACAATTAATAATAATAATAATAATAATAATAATAATAATAATAATAATAATAATAATAATAATAATGAACATGATATAATTTAATATATCCTTCTATAAATATGCAATATATTCTATGTTAATTACAACTAAAGATCACTATGTGATAATAAAATCTGTGAAGATTCGGACAGATCTTAAGACAAGCAGCACAAACAAATCATACTATTAAGATGAACATGTCGTCTTTCTAATTGATTAAAATGAGCATGCAAAACCCTAAATATATGAAGTAAGAATGAAATGAAGACTTACAATACATTCAATGTCCAATAGTTTCTAATAAACTAGAACAAATGTGTTACCACAACCTCATTCAACCAATAAACCTTCAAGGTTTTAAAGACTTCTTCATAATATTTATATGTCTAGCGATAAAGTCATATTCCAAAAGTAGATACATCTCCAAAATCACCTACACATATTCTTTCAACAGTACTTTTAAAAAAACCCATGAGAAGTTTCAAAAGCCTAATCTAAAATCAAAAATTTTATCTTCCTTTTTGTTGTATGAAGATATGCCATAATCAAGCTATTTATCCGATTTTCACAATTTATTCCCTCCCTTATAAAAATTTTTATGAGAAGGGTCTTAATTATGCTTGGTGAGTCGCTATCTGTCAAATTATCACAACTCACAAATGAATTTCTTGTCATTTTCAACCTTTGATCTTTTTAATTATACTTTTATTTCTTTTCTTGATATTATTAAATAGTTGATTAAGGATGCCTTCAATATGAGGAAATCGATACATCAAGTTTTTTAAAAGAACACCTGACTTAGTGAAGAAATTTAAAGTTTCAGAGTAAAACAAAAACAAAAATAATGCAAAATAAAGATTATTGAGAAAGAAAAGAGAAGCAGAACAAATAGAATATTAAATTAGAATTTATTAAATAAAGGTTGCTCCATAAAAAAGCTGAAGTAATTAGGATGCCCGTATCTTTCAAAAATAGCAAAAAAAGATGATAATTAATTAAAGATTATTATAAAATTAGCAAAACTGTTTGAATTAAAGTTTTCTCTTGATACATTTTTTTAAAATGTTCATTTAATGCAGTTATTTAGTAGAGAAAGCAAATCTTTCATCTAAGGATTGCATTATTACAACTTAGAATGTGTTATTTAGCTCATCATATTTTATATTATAACCTGTTAGTGATTGTAAATATACTTTGAATAAATTTAAATTCCATATCCACATAACACAAATTCTAGTTAAAACATTAATAATTTCAAAATGTTAATTCTGTTGAATTTGCAAAAAAAATTTTTTACATAAAATCTATTAAAAAAAACAAGTCTCAATAATATTTTTTCATCTAAAGATGCAAACAAAAGAGAGCAGCACTTCTAAAATTCTTAAAGGAAACCAAATTTAATCAAAGTATGTTATCTAATGAACAACTTTCCTAAAATTTATTTATGAGTGTGCCAATAAATTTTTCTTGGTTTCATAAAATTTTTATTGTAGAATCATTCAAAGTTATCGCTTCTATAATTATTAAATTATGGTTAGTCAAAAAAATAAATACCATAGATTATGCTTTTTGAAGAAAGAAAATAATTGAATGCTATTTTTTAAAAGCATGCACTTAAGCAGCAACTCTCAACACCACTGAGGAAGCAACAACACAGTAGATTTGAATTGCTTCAAAAAATTAGGAAGATAATAATTGATTTTTAAATAAAAATATTTTTTTATATTTTTAAGTAAGAAATTATTAACAATTTATGCAATAATATAAACAAATTGAAGTCCATCATCACAAAAACCCTGTCTTTTCTTTTCGACGTATATTATTTTAACAATAAAAATAAAATTTTTAAGCCTTATTTCAAACAATTTTTAATTACAATAATATTATTGTTTTTAGAATCATTATTCATGCTAAAAAGGAGAAGTAATGGCAGAAGATTGAGAAATTGTTTTAAAAATTTAGGAATTGAAATAAAACCTCAAAAAGTTCATAAATTTATTAGTGAATTGTTGATGAAAATCATGGACGAAGAAAATTTAAAGAACTGCTTGCTAGACTATGCTGAGATATAAGATAATGATTAAGATATGATTGATGCATTTATAGCAATGGAGGAAATGAAGACACTACTGGAAATGTTGATGCAGAAAGGTTAATTAGACTAATTAAGAATGAATTTGAATTAACGATTGAAATTGAAGATTAATATATGAAGTAGATTTTGATGGATCAAGAGTAATTTGGAGAGTTCAAAGAACTATTAAAAACTAATTACTTATAAGAAGATGAAAATGACCACCCATGAATTGAAGCTATATATTTAAATATATTGCTTTGATTCTAAACCTATCAATTTTAAATTGAAATTACATTACTATTATCATTCAAAATAGAAAAAAATTAAAACTCTTTTTTTCTCCAAATTAAATTTTTAAGACTATTGATGAAGAGTTCTTAATAGTTTTTCTTTAATACTTATCAATATTGATTAGCATTTTATATATATATAATTTAAAATTATTTAAATTATCAATCTATTAAGGTTTATATGATCGCTTTCAATACAGAATTGATGGCTATTTCAATATGAAAGTTTATTCTCCAAAATCTGCTGTTAATGGACTTGCTATAGAGTGTTTATGTCTATGGATTATTTATTGAGATTTTAGGTTTATCTTCTATTTAAAAAATGTTTTTTTAATTATTTAAAATCTAAAAAGAACAATCTTCCTTCTTTCGCTTCTTATGACCAGAAGCTTTCTTAAAGAAGGAAACATTTATCTTATCTTTGGAAATCTCTAGAAAATTTTTCTTCTAAATGAATCTAATCTTTCATCATATTTAGTGTAATAAACTAGAATAACTTTGTAGATTATAGAGTAGATAAAATAAAGAGAAAAAATAATTTATAAAATCTAAAGGAGAAAATCAATAATTTAAGATTCAGTCAACTTTGTTTAAAAATTTAAAGAACTTAAAATAATGATTATGCCACACAAAATTATACTTTCTTACTCAAACCTATTCAAAGCTTTAACATTATAGGGCTGAAATTAAAGCAAACTAAAATAATATAGGAGCAGAACAAGAAGAGTGATAACACTTTTCAAGATTACTCTTTCCTCATTGATTATTAATGACAACATTATCAATTCTCTTTAAAATATTTTTATTATTTCCCAATAATAACTATTTTCTTTGTAATCATTAAAAAGATAACCCCATATTTTTCTTGTTTGCTCTAAATTAATATATTTCCTGATTTTGTAGAGTATAATCAATAATAGAAATGGAATGATGCTTCCAAAAATAAATAAAACAGGACCAATAAAAAATTTAATCCAATTTAAATGTTCCTAAGTATGATATAAATACTAAGTATTTATGTTGATATAATCTATCTTCGATATAGTTCTCATAGCAATTAATCCTCCAAATTATTATATTATGTTAGGTTATGTGTAAAAAAATAAATAGATTAAGGCTGTAAAATATATTGTTGAAGTGAATATCATCTTTTGATTAAAAACTAAAATTAAATAGCTAGTTAAAAAGACTAAATAGTATAAAGCTGGTAACATTAAATACATTATTTAAGTTAGATAGATTATTTACATTTCTTATTGTGTGGCGAAATAACAATCATAGGAAAAGGTCGAGCTTCCTATAGGATTACTTATTGGTAATAAAATATCTGCAATATTGAAGTACAAATCTGATTAGAATGATTTAATACTAACTATTATTTAACAATAGTTAACTATCATTTTAATAAGTGCTGCAGATTAATCTAAAGAAATTTAAATTTAAATTACCTAAATTACTATAAAATATGATTTTGTAATATTTTGTTGTATTTCTAAGTAATTTAAAACTTTTAAAGATACTATTTACACTGATGACAGTCAAATATATTGAAATAATTGCTCTAAAAATTAATCAATTATTTACATTATATTTATGAAAAGACTATATATAAATTTTCCAACTTATTCATCACAAAGTATACATTAATAATTCTGATTTTTAAAAAATTAACCAAAACCTCTAAAATTATAAATATCACATTCTTCACATAAAGCCCCAACAGATCCTTCTTTACATAAATCGTCTCCAGTTTTCCATCCTCCTTAACAATTTTTAATGTTTTTCAAACATTTAGAAATATAATGGCTTCTGATATTTGGTCTCCAATATCCAGGATATAATTCGATATTATTTATTGTATTAGATTTAATGATTTTTGGATCTACTTTCTGACAATTTTATGCTTTAAATTCCACAGAATAAAAGCCCTTCTTATAATCACACAACAAACACTGAGAATCAAAATAATATTCCCCCATTTTGCAAGCAAAACTTTTTGTGTTAAATTAGAAAGTATAATTTTAATTTTTTATACTATTACACATAAATTTAAATCGTAAAAATTTAATTTCTTATGAATAAGGATCTAGAACTATAGTTTGATTTTCTAAATCATAGGATTGGCTGTTATTATTATAAGAAATTCTTTAAATTTATTAGTCAGCTTTAGTTATGATTGTATTTTTGTAATTAACATATTCTGATAAATCAAGTATGCATTCTGAATCAAGTTAATTAATTTAAATTTCACCTAAAGTATTAATGGGTAAAATCTAAAGTTTTAAATTATAGATTTAATTAAAAATTTCTTTATTTGATAAGGATTATTCATAATTTCCGATCTTTTATCCACTTGGAATATAAATAAAATTTTCAGTATTATACTTTGTAAAATTTGGCCTACCTAAATTTAAATCCCGAATAGTCATGATATTCTTTCCAAACACTGACAATTATAAATGACTAGGTTATTCTCTAACATTTTAAGTTAGATCTTTGGCTTAATTTTCAAAAAAGAGTATTTATGATAATGAGTTAGGTGATACTCTAGTATCTTCTATGTATATTGCTCCTCCAACATCTGCAGAATTATTTATAAAAAAAATTTTTTTCAAATTGCTTAATTCATTAATAGATTTATAACTTAGACCTCCGCCAAATATACCAATATTACTTAAATAAAAAAGATTTTTCCCAATAAAATTATTTATTTATAAATTAGTTACTCCATTTCTATTATTAATATTCGAAATGAACATACTGTCAACCAATTCAACTAATATACTTTAATCTACAAATAAACACCCAGATTATCCACAATTGTTTTTGTATAGAAAAAATTCTTTTAGTTTACATTTTTATACATTTTAATCTAATTTTAAATATATCAAACCATTTTAGCAATTTTAACATAAATTTTCTGTTAATTTTATATTTGCCAACAATATTTATATTTTCTACTTTGAATGTATTTTTTAAATTATTATGCTTAACAAAGATTATATACGATTGTTGCTCATTCTATTCTCTGTAAATTAAGATTTAATTATAGTTAAGTTTGTTATAACTATATTTAAGAATATCTTTTTTTATAAAGTTTCAGAAAGCAGTGTTTCCTTATTTGATATTGATATTAGATTATTTCCTAATGAATTTATTTAATTTAAGTGAAGGTTTCTTAATGAAATTGAATTAGAAAATTGAAGAACTAACAGTGATTCAGGAGAAATCCCTTCAAAATATAGATTATTTATTTAAATATAACTAAAATTATTTGATTTTTTTACCTATTAAAAATTAACATAATGCTATTTTGAATTTAGTTGAACTATTTAATAATTCCACTAAAACTCTCATAATAATAAATCTCATCTAGTATTATAATTATATTCTAAAGTTTTACATTATTATTCTGATTGGTTGATTAAAAATCAAAATCAAATATTAATTTACTCATGGAGAACACATTAATAAATTGAATATCATTGAAATTAATTTAATTGTTTATTTTAGATGGAATCATATATAAAAATCCGCTTGAATCTTTACTTATACAATTTTTGACTTTGATTTTATTTAAATTTAAATTTAAATTTGAATTCATAGAATTTATACCTAAGCATCCTCCAACTGCGTTTTCTGAATATTGAGACCAACTTTTTGCATTTTCAAAAACAATATTATTCAACTTAACAATCCCTAGCTTGTTCAATTCCAAAAAAAAGCATGATGCTTAATAAGCAAATGTATTTTCAAAAACTGAATTATCCATAAAAAAAAATTCTGTTTTTGAAAATATTAATCCACCTACAGATTTACAAGATATATCTTAAAATTGTTGATTTTAGTTTATATTTGAGACTTTGAATTCTTTAATATTTACTTAATAAGAATTCAAAAAGATTAAAGAATTTGATGTGTTCAAAATTGTATTTTCATGAAAGATGTTTTTATACAAGTAGACATTTGATTAATAAATTTTAACATAAATAAGTCCAGGGGAAATAAATGAATAATCTTCTAATAAATGAATAATCAAATTATTCTAAAAAGTGGATTAATTAATCATAGTCTCACAAAAATACTCAGAATTTATATAAATTAAACTCGTAAATTAAGTGCTTTCTGATTTAATTAAATAGTTATTTAGAAGCGATAAAGAGTTAATTATAATTTTTTATTAATTTAATGCTCTGCCTTTTGATACCACTAATATTAACGCAGAATTTAAAATAAATTGATTCTAAAATTGCAAATTGTTCATTTAAACATTTATAAAATCTTGAACAAAAATAACTCCACAGCCTTCTAATTCTTGATTTAAGGTTTTTTTAAGCAACTAAATTTTCTCTAATAATTATTAATGAGAGAACAGGTTATCTTCTTAAATTGAAAAATTATTAAAATTTGTGTATGTTAACTTTTAAAGGCAAAAATACCAAAATCTATTTCTATTGTTTATTAAAACATTTTCAATCAAAATCTAATAACTGCTTATTGAAAAAATACACTTACTAGAACTACAAGAATTTTAACAAGAAGATGATATGTTTTAAATCTTTAAGTTTTACATTTTTATTTATCCTGATAAATCTTTTTCATTTTTAATAGAAATCAAAGTAGATTCACAGAAGTTTAAAGTATCTAATGTTAGGTTGTAAATAAAATGATTGCATCCATTTTATTAAAATAATTAGGTAAATACAATCAAGCTGCTATTTATAAAAGAACTTTAAAATATAGTGATATTTTTTATAACAAATGAGGAGATTTATGATATTATAATGCTATCAGAAAATTAACATTAAGAAATATCTAAATTCTAAATGAATACAACATTTTAGGTAGAAATTCTAAATAAAGCACTATTAATTAATTTAGAATTCTTATATAAAATTTTTCCTGCTGAATAAGAAGTATTAAAAATTTTTGAATTGATATCTAGTATAGAAGCATTTTCAAACTAGGTATTTACTACGTTTATAGAATTTATATCTATGTATGAAAAGTTTAATTCACTTTCTAAAAAAAATTAAAAAATTGTAGTATTTATAAAGCTACTTTCAAAAATTACAATATTTTCTATATGTATATAAAATTTATGTTTTGATTGATTTGGATAATGTTGGATGAAAAATAGAGGTTAATTTATTAGCCTCAAATTCAACAAAAGAATTGTATGAATATAAATACTAGTTGCTTATGAAATTAAAAAAATAGTTTTTTCTAAATTTAAATTTGAGATTGAAATGTTTCTTATAAATATAGATAAGCCAAATTTTGTATGTAAATAAAAACTATTTGATGAATGAAAAATATTAATATTTCTTAAATTGACAGTGGATTAATTCACTATTACAAATTATTTTTCATGTTGGCTGTCATTGTATCCATCATATATATAAGTTGAATTTTTCAAGGAAAATATTTATTCCCTTATATTAAAGGATGCCGAATCAGTTTTACTATTATGTTTTTATATAAAAACTGCAGGCTTAATTCTTTTTAACAAATTCAACGAAGAAAAATCAAATTTTTTAACGGGATTTTGAAGAGATGGAAAATTTAAATGCTCCAATTTTATAAAATATCTTCTTTAAGCTAAATCCCTACCTCTAATTTATCCTGTTTGAGTTTCAATAAATGTTTAATTTTCATTAAAATTCAAAAGACAAAAATGAGTCTGATTAATGGATTGTTCATTTACAATAAAATATGGATTAATTTCTGATACTGAATCTAAAGACATTTTTTAACATACTTAACAAGGATAAGGGCATGGTTAACATTGATAATCAAAATAAGATAGAACTGGAAGATCATCAAAACTATTTTTGCAAACTTTACAATCACTCGCTCTTCCATCATGTTCAAGACAATCTTTATTTTTGAGTTTTAAACAAACGAAAGCTTCTGTTTCATAGCCATCTTCGCATTTCAAAATTTCATAAAATTCGAAAGAATAATACCCTTATCTAAGAATTGGAATCTTATTGGGTTTAAAATTTGCATAAAAGCTATGAACTTAATTTTTCCAATCATCATTCAAGGAAGTTTTCATTTCGCATATTTTTGAATTGTTGAATTTAGCTGAACACGAATAGCAAATGCCATTCAAAAAATTAAGATAATAACCATACTCACATTCTGTGCATGTGATCATTCCAAAAAAGTCTTAGAAGCATTTAGAACAACTAGAATAGTATTGTTAACAATTACTAAACTCAATTGCTATATTATTTGATATTTCTGATTTAGATAAGAGAGTTTTAGTACAGATAAACTAGTCTTCTATAATAAAACCATCAATGCAATAATTATCTGCAATATATTCTATACATTGATTAATTGAAAAATCGAAAATATATCCTGAAAAACATAATGAGCAAGCGATAACGTAGTCTTCTTCATTTTATGAAATTTCATCTTTCAAAGGAGAAACTTAATTTTTGTCCAATAAATTATATTAAAAACAGTATTTGCAATTTTTAATATCACATAATCTACAAATTCCAAAAATATCCATAAAATATTTCGAAGGATCTTTACAAAATTAGCATTTTCGAAACAAACAATAACCACAATATTTATGACATTAGAATACTAGATTATTATTTGTTCTCCTATCATAATCAAGACATTTTTTCACATCCATTTAGAACTCACCAGATGGGTAGCAAAAAATATATACATCTTAATCTAAATGTTTGTCTCCATATAAAAAACAACCATACTCATCCTGACTTTCGCAAATTAAGCATCCATCACAAGCAACCACTTCTTCATTAACAACAAAATACTGTCCTAAAAATTTTGATCTTTCAAGCTTTTCTTAATATACATTATTTAAAGATCCAATCTATTGTTAATAGTAACTGTCACAGGTTCCATTCTTTAGCCATTATTAAGGATTTACTAAACATTCTATACAATTAATCATTCCCTTTTAAGTAGCTGAAGGACTATTTTTAATGAAAAATAAATACCATTACATGCAAATGCCATTTAATTGAAAATACCCAAACGCACATATTATATCTTAATCTTCAGATTCATATCTATCATCTTTAGATAAATACTCAAAGGTCTCCTTAATAAATTCAATATCTTCTAATCCATAACATTTGGCTTGTTTTTCCTCTAAATACCATAATTTACATCTGCAAGTATTAGCTTATTAATCAAATATCCGATTATTTGATTCCAAACAAGATAAACAGTGGTTATAAAAAGGGCCCCAACAATTTAAACAAGAATAATGACAAACTTTTTGTTATTCTTCATCATCTTATTCACTGGTTAGATTGACATAATTGTAATAGTTAAATTAAGCTACTTCTCCCTCTATTCTGTTGTTATCATTCTCTCCAAATTAAAAGGCTATTATTATATCTGTAAATTAATAAATCTATTCAAATTTCAACTCATATTTTTTATTTTTTATAAAACTATTTAATTAAAATTGAAGAGTATCCAATACATATTTAATTTATACAAAATGCCATTAAGTGATCACTTCCTCTTCAATATCTTAAGAGAAACTTTTTTTTAATTCGTTTATTAAATCTATGTCTTTTATATAAGGGTAGCTATATGAATAATATTCAATAATGTAAGACCATTATTCTTATTATTTTATAAAACTTAATTAAAATATCTTTAAGTCTAGACTAAATTTAACAACATAAGGTTTTATTTAAAGTATACAAATTTATTTTTAATTAATCTCTTTAATGTTTATTTTTGACCAGAATTGAATATCATAACTATTACTAAAACTTAGTTAATTAACATAATTCGCAATATTTTCCGAAGAGAATTATAAATAATTAATCAATGGATTAACTATTAATTTTTAACTAATGCCATTCAAAAACTCTTTTTTATATTCAGTTAAAAGCATAAAGTTTTATAGTTAAAATATCTTCACCTATCCTGGAAAATTAATTAGATTTAAATTTGATTAATATTCCTAATTCAAAATCTATTATAAATTAATAAAATACTTAAATACTCTATCCATTAATATATATTAGGTCTTAAAAGCAATCTATATCACTTTAATAACTTTTGAATTAATTTTAATCACCACAATCTAACCCAATTATTAATTCTGTTTCATCCTTAAAGTACAAATACTAAAAACACCATTTTCCCTCATAATTTAAGGTGTTTATACTAAATTAGGCTTCAAAATAAGTATTCGAGCAACTTTAAACAATAAAATAATGATCAATTCTTTTGAGTTCTATTAGAAAGTCAGCATAATATGCTATCCTAAGCTCTAAAGTTTTTACTTATTTTGCCATATATATTAAGTAGCTATGGGAATCTTGTTTCTGTCTATTCCCTAAATTTTGAATATTATTCAGAACTGAATATTTTGAAAAACTTCCAACAGCTTATTTACTTTATAAGCTGATCATAGGAAAGTTTAAATAATTAAGCTGTTCATCCTAATTAGATTATGAAGATCTAATTTTTGCAAGCATAATCAAAATTAAAAGCATAATTGATTTATTTATTTAACTTATACAGTTCATTAATGATCTTATTTTCAATAAAAAGAATTCAATTTTAAAATCAAAAGATGTTCCAGAAATGATATATATTGGAGTAATCAATTTAATCGAGGTAAATAAAAAATAGCAAGGAAAACACTTCGATCTTATGTTTTCAGCTTCTAATGATATTAAATCATTATCATTCATATATCTAAAAGAAGTCATTTCTAATAAATATATAGCTTAACAGATTAATATAAAAGAATCTTATTGCCATATGATTAGAAATTCAAATTTAATAATGTTATCGTGCGTATAAGTTGAATAGATACTTATAGTGAAATCAAGTATTTAAGAATAATTCAATAAAAATTTAAGTTGAAATATCAAAAAAAAATTCCTAAAATCTTAATATAGAATGATTAGGGATGAATAATATTTAAAATAAGTAGAGGTTTAGTGCATCTGAAATTTCTATTATTATTCTTTATTTCTTATTATTGCATATTGATTGTTGATGAATATAAAAGTATTATATTTATATAATTGTATAAAATTTGATTTTAATTAAATCTAATTATTAAAGCTTCAATCTACAACCGTGTGATAAATTATTATTATTAATATTAATATGGATTTTAATTTTCAAAAAGAGTTGAGCATTTCAGCAAATAGAAAAGAAAAATTGTAGCTCTTTAAGCAATATTTAACACTTTTATACATATTAAAATTCAACTTATAAGTTCCAAAAGACTTTTCCTCTTTTATTTTATTTGTTACTACTTTATATCCAACATTTATTACTTTGGAATATTCAAGCTTCGATTCTCTAAAGAAAAATTCAATACATTCTATTTTACTATTTAGCTTTCGACCTGATTTAATATTTTAAAGGTACTAAAAGTACATTATTTTAGCTAATTATTGTACCTGACCCCTCTTATTTTATTTATACTACATAAATTAATTGGAGTAATTTTATTATATTGCTATTTAACTTCAAAAAACTAAGAAAGATTTGTTAAATTAATTTCTAAAAAATTATTTTTAAAGGTATTGGGATTATTTTTTACTTTGTACTTAAAATTAATAAGCACATTTTTACTTATAAATTATACTTTGCTTTGCATTGCAAGCTTTAAGATATAATTTTAACAATAAAAATATGATAGTTTAGCCTCATTTCATATAATTTTGAATATCTTCACAATAATATTATTGTTTTTAGAATCATCATTTATGTTATCTTTTTATGATTCATCAATAACCCATTAACAAAGGGACATAGAAATAACACGAATTACGAATTTAAGAGTGCTTTATCAAATTTTCATAATAGTTTAGATTTTTATGGTTTTCTTTGAGAATTTAGAATACTATTTTTTAATATAATCATGTGTTGCTATATTTTCGCAAATAACATTGCTTATTGATTAATTCTATAATTTGGTCTATTCTTTAAATCATCAACAGAAATCAATTGCTTTAGCAATATCTATCAATATTTCATTTCATTTAACGGCCTTTGCTTCAACAAATATATCTTTTAGATCTTTTTTGGTACCTTTTCTTCTAAATTAAATGTTAATCTTTTAAATAATAGGGAATTACTGTGACTATTTCAATAAATATACTTTAAAAATATTATTTAAAAAAAAAATGCAAACTTATTGGTAATTAAAATATTGGCTAATTAAAATAATTAATAATGATATTAGAAACAATAGTTTAGAACTCATTATTAAATCGCTAATTGCATCTTATCATAGATATGATTGTAATGATGTAAATTGCCCATTTTGTTCTCATTCAAACATTATTTTTCCCACTTTAACTGGTGGTATCACTAAATAAATTTATAATCAATTTTTATAGAAAAAGTTGAAGTAATTTTTAGCCTAAATTTCCCTTAATTAAAAGTAATCATTTAATTATGGCCTTTTAAGTTATGCATTTATTTTATACGATTTTGGAATGATTATGAAATCTGTTAAAATTCTTTGCTTTTTAAAAGACTATCAAGAAAATTAGGAAAATTATAAACTTTAATCTTTTTCTTAAATTCAAGATGATAACTATTAAAAAAGTCATCTGGAATTGATTGCTTAAAAAAAAAAAACATAATCTTAAGATGCCTAAGATCTGTTGAATAATTTTGAAAAATATATACAAGACTCTTAATTGATGTAAGTTTTATTAAATTAAGAATAATTTGGGAAATACCGTATTATAGATAGAATAAAATTAGAATTTATGTTTGAATGTATGAAAGCCAATATAAATTCATAATTAGGAACATCAAGAGAGGCTATATAGCAACATTACATTTCAAGTTTTACTGAAGAAATTATCGAAAAAGATCTGTAAATTAATATTCAAGAATAAAGTCTATTAAAACTTATTGAAGCAAAATTAGATATTTACTAATAATTAGTTTCAACATCATAGATTAAATAAACTATTCGTCATTTTCACACAAAAGTACATAAATTATGTTATTAATTTTATACTTTAGATAAATAATTAAAGGTAGCCTATGCATAACATCCTTGTTTTCATTTACACAGAGTTATTTGTTTTTATTTGGGAGAAGTCTTAGGAGAATATAGAAGAGCAATTAACTTTTTTAAAAATTCAGAATTTTTTGAAACAAAAATACTTTAATTTAAATAAATAAAGAATTTTAATATCAATTCTTAAAGAGTGCATTATTTAATATTAGAAACAAAAGATGATATGGAAACATTTATGATTTAATCATACTCTAATAAATTTTTTCATAGTTTCGGAAACTCTCCAAAAGCAACTTAAAATCATTACTTTAATGATTTGTTGCCTATATATTTAGTTCAGCATCACTGTTTTAATGTAAGAAAATTTTTTGAAACAGGAGAGTCTAAATATTACTAATAGTTTGACCTTAGTTTCATTCGAAATACCAATACCCTATTAACACCAATTAATATGTGTTTTTCAATAACAAATAAATTTCTAAATTAAAATATCACTTTTGCTGTTTTTTTATAAGATGCATTATATGATCGAGCATATATTTTAATAGATGATGCTAGTCAAAAATGTATGTTTACTTAAAATTTATTAATTTTAATTGGATGGACAGAATTAGAAATCAAATATCTAAGTAGTTAAGATGAAAGCTTCAAAGTATTTAATATTAATAAAATATTTCCAAAATTTGATCAACTTGTTAGAGCGAATAAAGAAAAATATTTTAAAGTAAATTAATGCGATTTAATTTTACCCAAAATGTAAGATAAATTCTAAACTTAAAGGTCTCTATACTCAGAAAACTCATAAATATTTTTAAATTATGTTGACTGTTTATGTGATTTAATAATTATTAAACGAGAAATTGGAATTTACAATTATTATATAATAAATGTTGTTAAAATAGTAGAAGCATAAACAATTCAGATTATTAATCAAAAAACTAATTACTCAAGCTCAAAAAGTTTAGAAAATAAAAATAAAGAAAATGGAAAATAATAATTTCTTGATAACTAAACTAGTTTTGAAAATAATTAGGCTGAGTTTTTATCTTTAAATGACAATAATATAAACAGTAATAAGAAGAACTCTATGAACAACATTCATAATGAATCAAATCTAGATAATGTATAAATAGAAAAAATGTATTCTTTAATTTAGTCTATTGTTTCTGTCAAAACCCCAAAATATTTATAGAAATTTGTGATTTTAATGCTAACTTGGCATTCCATTTTTATTATGTTTGTCATAATATTTTATGTCTCTTTATCATCAGACATAAATTAAGTGAGGTCACAACTTGAAATGGTATCCTTTTATGCAGCAATAATGGCTCCTCATGATCTTTTCTTTTCAATGAGAGTAACCATAACTGCTTATTAATAAATGCAAAGAGAAGGATTCTTAACTTAATAAAAAGTGACTGAATTAACGAATCCTTATTATGAAAATATTGAATTAGGATTTACTGAGTTAAGAGATAGCTTTTATGATTAGTTGAACAATCAATATTTATAGGAATTTTTGAATGATGTCAATGTGACTATGTATTTTATGTAGAATGATGAAAAATCAATCTATCCTATGGATGTTACTTTTAGGGATGCTTTATTTATCATATTATAATATTAATATGCATAAATGATGACTTTTTATTATCGTTAGAGTACTTCAGGTAAACCATTTTAAATTTCATTATTTGCTAATTATTTTATGCTTCATTCTCAATGTGAATTACTATCAAACGATATAGCTTTTTATTCAATTGAAAATAAAAAAAATATTAATCAAAAATGGTAAATAATTATTTTTATTGGATTTTCATCCCTTATACTATTTTATATAATCATTTAATGTTATTAAATATATTTTTTTGGGTAATTGGACTCTTTATATGAATTAATTAATTCTCTAACATTCGATATTGTTTAAAAAGAAATTGATAAATTTTGCAATTATATCAGTTAATATAAATTAGATCGATATGTTTTACTTGAGTATGACCCATTAGATCGATATTGCAAATAAATTGAAAATTATCAAAGAAAATTAGGACAAAAATATATAAAAGTTAAGATTAAGACAAAAAATTAATCTAAATTAATAAATTATTCTATGCTCTTTTTATTGTGTTTAATTCTTTCTTTTTACTTCATTCTAATTTTGAGTAATACATAATAATATTTGCAATAATATGAAAATAATTTGCTTTTTTATAAAAAGTTGTAAGATTATAAATTAAGACCTGGTAGCCTATATTTATATAGAGAAATCTTTTTTAGATGGTCTAATTTCACTTTTTTAACAGAAGATAATTAATAATAATTATATTCTCTTGTTTTGAAGGCAGAATAATCAATAGATAATTATTTAAAAAACATAAATTCCTTTTATGAAAATTCATAAATAATTGATGAGGAATTTGATAAGCTCTATAGTAGAGTAAGCCAAGAGAATTTATGCAAATTTATAGATGAAGTAATTATTAATTTAAATTAGAAATTTTAAAATTTGACTACTAAATATTGTAATAAATCCTTTGAGGGATCTTTAAATTCAGGAATGATTTCTAGTTTGAATTACATATAACATTCAATATAAACTTAATAAGGAATTAACAATTTCACTAAAAGAGTAGAGGCTAGTTTGTATGAATAAGAAGGATCATAAATAGTTACAAGAGTATTTTTTTCGCTTTCCAATCAATTTAGTAAAAGTGCTAGTTCAAAAGCAGATATTTGCATTTAAGTGATAAAAGTAATAGATTTAGTAAGGCTAGGTTTTATCGATAAGCTTTATTGTGTATATTATATTAGTGTTATTACTGATGCAAATAATTTATCGTCCATACTTAGAGAAGCTTTTTAGAGTGTTAAAGAGATCAGTGCATTTAATACCATTTGACTCATTGTTGTAGAGTGAAACTTTGGAACTAAGATTAAAGTCGATTAATTATAAACTTTAATTATTATGAAATAAAGTAGAAATGANATACTATTTTATATAATCATTTAATGTTATTAAATATATTTTTTTGGGTAATTGGACTCTTTATATGAATTAATTAATTCTCTAACATTCGATATTGTTTAAAAAGAAATTGATAAATTTTGCAATTATATCAGTTAATATAAATTAGATCGATATGTTTTACTTGAGTATGACCCATTAGATCGATATTGCAAATAAATTGAAAATTATCAAAGAAAATTAGGACAAAAATATATAAAAGTTAAGATTAAGACAAAAAATTAATCTAAATTAATAAATTATTCTATGCTCTTTTTATTGTGTTTAATTCTTTCTTTTTACTTCATTCTAATTTTGAGTAATACATAATAATATTTGCAATAATATGAAAATAATTTGCTTTTTTATAAAAAGTTGTAAGATTATAAATTAAGACCTGGTAGCCTATATTTATATAGAGAAATCTTTTTTAGATGGTCTAATTTCACTTTTTTAACAGAAGATAATTAATAATAATTATATTCTCTTGTTTTGAAGGCAGAATAATCAATAGATAATTATTTAAAAAACATAAATTCCTTTTATGAAAATTCATAAATAATTGATGAGGAATTTGATAAGCTCTATAGTAGAGTAAGCCAAGAGAATTTATGCAAATTTATAGATGAAGTAATTATTAATTTAAATTAGAAATTTTAAAATTTGACTACTAAATATTGTAATAAATCCTTTGAGGGATCTTTAAATTCAGGAATGATTTCTAGTTTGAATTACATATAACATTCAATATAAACTTAATAAGGAATTAACAATTTCACTAAAAGAGTAGAGGCTAGTTTGTATGAATAAGAAGGATCATAAATAGTTACAAGAGTATTTTTTTCGCTTTCCAATCAATTTAGTAAAAGTGCTAGTTCAAAAGCAGATATTTGCATTTAAGTGATAAAAGTAATAGATTTAGTAAGGCTAGGTTTTATCGATAAGCTTTATTGTGTATATTATATTAGTGTTATTACTGATGCAAATAATTTATCGTCCATACTTAGAGAAGCTTTTTAGAGTGTTAAAGAGATCAGTGCATTTAATACCATTTGACTCATTGTTGTAGAGTGAAACTTTGGAACTAAGATTAAAGTCGATTAATTATAAACTTTAATTATTATGAAATAAAGTAGAAATGATATAATTATTGATTTTATTAAAATTGCTTATTAATTTAATTAAGTATGATATTAAAAACAATAATTTTAATTTGAATAAACTATTATGCAATGAAAAAGGATTGAATGATTTTAATTTAAATATGATTACGATATATAATTTACAAATATCAAACTTAAACATCTTCAAAAGCTAAGCCAATTATATAACTTGCGCTTGCTGCTGCACTTCCAATAATAAGAGTTTCTAATCCAGCCCAATACCATTATTAATACGAAAACATAGATTTAGAAACACCTAAAATAAATAAGAAAAACCCAGTTAATGCTATAGAAGTTTGAAACAAGTTATCTGATAATCCAGCAATACTACCAACAATAAATGGTAATACTGAAAAAATAAAATATTGTTACATGGCATTAATCCAAATAATCCAAATGAAAAAAAGGTTACAACAGCATCTTTAATAGGATGTTCATCTACACTCATTAATCCAAGTTCTTCAACCATCATTACATCAACCCATACTTTTTTATTTTTTGCTAGAGTATCAGCAATAATAATTGCTTCATCATGATCTATTCCTTTGGACTTAAGAATATTATTAAGGATTTACTTTATAAATTTCAACCATTTCTTTTTTTTCACCTTCAGGATTATTTTCAACTTCCCATTATTCTCTATTTCTTTCATTTATTGTAAATTCCGCTTCACTCCTTGTTGATATATAATCTCCTAAAGCCATTGATATTCCGTCACCAATTAAATTAGCTATTCCCATTCCTAATACAACTCCTGTCGATAATCCAGCCTATATTATATATTATTAAGGATATACTCCTGCAACTCCTGCTACAACTGAAAATGTGGTCACCATTCCATCTAAACCTCCATATACTGCACTTTTTATATGCTCTCCACCCATTTAATGTTTTTCATCATGTCCATCATTTAAACTTTGTTATTCTTCAATTTTATGTACTTTCTTTGATAAATCTGCATCTTTTTTTTCAAAAGCTATTTATGCTTAATTCATTTACTATCTTAAAATTAATTATAATTATTTATATCTATGAATATCATAAGTTCATTTCTAACATTTCTCTCTTCAATTTTTCAATCACTTTCTCAACCAATTATACTAATGTTTCTTCTGTTTTTTCTCTTTCTCCTCTAGTTTTTCTTAATTATTCTTAAATTCTTCCTGATATTTCTCTCAAACTCTCCACTATTTCTTCTTCTTTTGCTTCTCTCTCTTTCTTCTCTCTAAATATTTACATTTATATTTAACCTATCAAATAACTCTCTTAAATCATTTAATTATTCTACAAATTAATGATATATCTTCTCTTCAACATCTTTTCTCTCTGTAATCTCATTCTATAATTCGTCAGCTATTTTTGGTAAATCTTCATTTATGTAAGAATCTATATATTCATGAGATGTTGATTAAGCCTATAAATTAATTTAATTATTACTAATCCTTCTTTTACTACTTCTTATTATAAACTTTCAATTTAATGTCCTATTTAATATACTATCTTTTTCTCTTATTCTACTCTATCTTTTGAATTCTATTCTATTAATCTTCTTGCATGTCTCTCTAAATCAGTTATTAATTTATAAGTTTCACTCTCTTATCTCTCACGACTACAATTTATCTATTTTATTTTTACTCTTCTTATTCTTATTCTAAGAATTCTGTTATTTGTCTAACTTTTTATGCAATATAAGCAAATTTCTCTTCCTTCAAATCAGATTGATGTTATAATTATGCCTCAAAAGCCATAATCAATTAACTTATAGTATGAAAACGATTATTCTTTCTAATATGTATTATTTTAAACTTACTCATCCTAAACACTAGTAGAGATGTTGTTAAGCTTTTCAAAAATCGATGAAACTCTATTTTAGATATTCTCTGACATTAAATTATTATTAATTTTTATTTCTCTTTAATCAAAATAAATTTTATTTATTAAATAAACTATTATAAATTATACATTAATTTTATCACATTAAATGATCATTTATATCAAAAGTATCACAATTTTTATACTTTCTATGAATCTTTTAGTAATTTACATGTTTTTACTATAATGGTTCGATTTTATTTTATTTAATATTAATATCTCTTTAACTATCATTACCTTCCATTATACTTGAATCTTATAAATTCATTTAATTTAGTTCTTATTTTGTTTATTCTAACAATTGTCTTAATTAATCTATATTATCATCAAACGATAATTCATTTTTTGTTGTAAAGCAAACCTTATCAAAATTTAGTCTTTGTTAAATTTATTGATTTGGTTATTGCTCTTCTATTTTCATTATGTCTTTCTTGAATTATTCATATTTTGGTATATCGTTTTTAGGTACCTCTAATTAATTTAAATTATTAAAATCCTCCTTTTGAGCTCGAGAATTTATAAAATCATTTTCTTTATTTTGATAATTCTGAATTTATAATTTTCTGTCTTAATTTAAATTCTCAAGATTTTATTATATAAAACAGTATTCCTCTTTTGGATAAAATTTGTTTTATGTATTATTTTCAGATAAATTGGGTATTTCTGAATAAACTGTCTTTGTATCAGTCAAAGCTGCATTTCGAAAAGGATTCTCATCTTTCAATTATGAAATCTAAACTTCCTAAGAATGTAAGGTATTTTCTAAAAATGAAATAACATTATCTAAATTTTTCATCCCATTAAATCCATAATTTTCTTATTAACTTTAACATTTATCTTCTATTTAGTTTTATTTACTTGTTGATATTTTTATTTCCTATTTAATTTTATCAACGGACTTTTCTTTTTGCGCTTTTAATATTTTTTCTGGTTTCTTTAACCTTTTAGCCTAATAATAACTAAAAATAATTTTACTTTTGTCACAAATGATTTCGTTTCTTCTAAATCTTACTTTATTTTATTAAGAAAGTTTGGATCTTAATTTTATTTATCTCTTTCACTTTCAATTAATAACATTTTAGCTTATTCAAGAATATCTGGTTTAAATTGACTTTATGAATGGGCTCTTTCAGATTTTTCCCATTCAATCATTTATGTTAAATTTCTTCTCTTTGAAGTTGAATTATCTAAACCCTTAGAATGCAAAGCTGTAAGATAGATCTATTATAACAATAAATCATAACTTTTTATGTATCATCATCCATAACATTATTTTTCAATTTCTCCTATACTTATTACCATTAATCTCTTGCTTCCATACGATGTTTTGACATTAAACTAATTTTCTTTTGCATCAATTCAGCTTATGATAACTTGTAACGATCCTAATCTACAAATGATGAAACCCATTCAGGTTTTCCCTTTTGATTCTTTTATTTCGAATACATTGATTTCAAATTAATAACTGAAAAATATTTTCCTAATGTTATTAAATATTTTTATTGATTATATTGTCATCCATTTATTTTCTAAACCTTTTATTCTTAACATGATGCTTATTAAAATTTTAATTCAACTATCCTTATTATTAAATTATTCAATTATATAGACAATTAATCAAATCAAAATGAAAGATTAAACAGATCAAAATTTATTAACAAAATACTTTCTAATTAATTTTTAAATGCTTTTAATCATTTACCTTTTTGGATAATTGTAAAGCGCATTTTTTCATCTATTTCTATTTAATATACACTTAAAAATGTACCTTGATAAACCTAACATGAATTTAGATTAATATAATAGGGAAAAAATTGTTTAGCTAGCAATATTATAAATCCATTCTTATTAGATCTGATTTAATTATAATCAATAATTTTATGATTGATTTTTAAAACAGATATTTATTTATAAGCTAACATGTAAGCACAATCAGAAAATAAAATTAAAGTTTACAATTTATTAAACAAAAAATGACTTAAATCTAAGATGTTTTTGTAAATGCAAAAGAATCTCGTATGAAACCCTTTTCTGAAATAGAAAATTCTAATTTGTACCAGATAATCGGAAGATTTATGCTTTTATTAATTTTCTCGATTATCTTATTCAAATGATAGTTTTAAAAAAAATAATTCGAATACTTTTAACATAATAGTAAATCTTTATAAATTTATTCTTATTATAAAACTGTTCACTTATATTACCAATTTGTTTTTTAAATAAGTAAATTATCTAGTATAATATAAATTTTTATAAAAAATGCAGAAAGAAAAGTGTAAATATTTAGTTTCAGAGAAAAGGTATTTCTAATAATATGAATGATTTTTTTAAATTAAGATATAAATTAAGTACGATTTGTAGTTATTATTAGAAAATAAAGTATATTACTTTTGGTTGAATTATATAAACAAAATAAATTTCACAATAGTTCTACTTATAGAGGTTTTTCTTTTTTCTTTTATTTGGATTTTATGCAAACCAAAGGTTTAGATAGGAAATACTTTGTTATTAAAAATTTTGTCTATTGTTATTAATTAGAATTTGGAGTTTCTAATTTTTATTATTAAGTAGCTCTTAATTGGGAAAGTTAGAGAGATTTATGAATTTAGCCATCCAAATTTGATTTAAGTTTCCTTGAAGTTAGACAAGCTGGTATTCTTTTTTTTTCAAACAAAAAATGTTAAGTTTTTTCTGATTGTAAAGGTAATTAAAATCGAAATGGAGATATAGGTATTTGCTAATCCAAATAATTATCCATTTTAAATTATGGATTTTATACAGATTTTCTTGTTGTTCCTACGCTATCAAAATTTATTTCAGTTTTAAGTTGTTTTGAGATGCTAAGAGAGCTCTCCTTATATTTGGAAACTGATTTTTATGATGTTCTACAAATTTTTCTTGCTTTTTACACAAAATCATCAAAGATGCTAAAATCATATGGTTTTGGTTATAAGGATATTTTGCTTTAGTAATTGTTGTTTAACATAGAAATAAAAATAATATAAAATGATTTAAAGATAAATAATATTCATTTTTTAAAATAATAAAAGGTATTAGAAGAGAGAATGACTTCCCCTAATTTAGTAATATATTTTATAATGAGTTTATTATATAGATTCAGATTTAATTTTCGAATGCAAAAAATAAGAAATATAGAAGTTTAGAAAAAAACTCGAGTGATAATTTTTAGAATATTTTTTGTAGAGATGATTATCTAAAGTGCAAAAGTGTTAAAATTCAAAGTTATTTAATTTTAATTTGAAAGTCTTCATTAATAATAATGAACTCTACTCTCTGTATGTTTATAATTTTAATAGATTAATATTTAATTAAGGTAAATATATTGAAAACATATAAAAGTATGAAATTTAATATTTTTTATTTTTTCTTTTGGTCTTCTAATTTAACAGATAAAAATATCTTTAGGAAAAGTTATTTTAAATCCTAATTTTAAATTGTTTGAAGACTCTTGTTATATGATTAAATGTGTTGGATATAAGATTTAATTTCTAATAAATTATCTTAGAATTGAATATCGTTTAACTAATTTTTAAATTCGATTCTAAATAAATATAATTTATTTACAAATTATTTTAACAATTACGATGTAGCAGTAAACATAATCATAATTTACTTAAGTTAATTTGCATGTCCATGTACATATTGCAAGAATAAAAAAGAGCAGCAATAACCTTCTGTCCATGATTGTAATTAAACTGAAAGAGAGAATGAAATATTGAAAGCCGAAATCGCAAAGCTTTAATCTTATGCGAATTCTAAAGGTAGTATTTAAGATATATAGTAGTACCTGAATTTTAATAATTGCTAAGAGATAATTAGTAAATGAAAAAGACATTGGATTAAATGAATTAATAAATTAAGGAATATGAAGAGGAAATATAGAGATAAAAACAAATAATAGATAGATTAAATTTTGATTTAGACAAATAAAAGAGAGATAATGAATAGTTACTTCAAGCTTTGAATGATATAAAATAGAGAGGTTTATCATAGGAACAAACTCTATTGTAAGATAATTAAAGAATGAAATCCACAATTGATTCTCTAAACAATGATCTAAGAAGTCTGTAATAAGAGATTTATAGATTGAAATAATTAAACGATAAATCTAGATATATCTAAGATGAATCAAATCGTTATTAATAAGAAAATTAAGCAAATATAGCTAGAATTCGTTAGTTAGAGATGTAGATAAGAGACTTAATGTCAAAGGAAGAAAGTTATTAGGTGTAGATTACAAGAGCTACTTAAGGGGCAAGTTCTGAGAATTAATTATTGAAAGATCAGATAGCTTAATTGAATTAATAATTGCTTATGTTGTAAAAGTAATATTAAAAGTAATTGGATGATGCTAGATTGGATCATGATAGAATGATTGCGGATTAAAGAAATACTATAAGTTTGTAAATAAAAGACCAATTATAGAGAGATTAATAAAAGTGGATGGATGAAAGAGAGGCTTTACTTCATGAAATTTAATTATTAAAATAATAATTAGCATCAAATGAGTTGTAAGTAACAAGAAAAAGGTAATTATTGGAGGATGAAGCAAATAAGAATTAATAGTTGATTTTAGAGTTGGAATAAGGAAATAGTTAACTTTAGAATAAATTGAGAGATCTTTAAATATAATTGTAATAGTATGAGAAAGATAAAATGCGAGCTGATTAGTATTTGAGAAAAATTGATGAGTTGTAGTTGTAAATTGAATAATTACAAAGATAATTATATGATTTGACAAATAAATATAATAACTTATTAGGTTAATATGAATAGAAGAAGTATTAGATTGAATAATTAAATGGATAATTGAATGCAAGTTAAGATAATGAAAAATAAAAAATTATGAATTTGGAAAGATAAATAAGAGAGTTATAAGATTAGTTGGCTGATATGTAAAGATTAAGATAGTAATTACAATAGATGAATGAAAATTATACAGCCTTATAAATTACATTCAAGAATTCATAAAAGTAGTTATCTGATGCAGATGAAATGAGATAAGAATTAGATGCTTTATTATAAGAATTAGAATATTATAAGTAATAAGATATGAAAAGTAAATAGGATTTAGATAAATATAAGTAGTAACTTATTTTAATAGAAAATAAACAAAATTAATAAGCTAATTTTGAACTTGAAAAATTGAGAAAATAAAATTAATAATTGGTTGATGAAATAAATGAATTGAAGAATAGAAATAAATAATTAGAAGTAAAATTATAATAATAGATTGTTCTTATAACTCAGGCCTAAAATGATTTATAAGCTCATTAAGCATTAAGTGAGAAATAATAATATGCATTAAATGAGAGTAATCAATTAAGAGTAAAGATTAAAGAACTATTAGATGAAATTCAATATTTAGAAAAAGAGTTATAAAAGAAGGATAATCTTATTTAAGATTTATAAATAAGTTTGGATCAATTTGGTAAATAAAGAGATTCATTCATATTAATTGAAAAGGAGAAAAAAGATTTTGAATATCGAATTATTTAATTGGAAAAATAATTAGTTGAATTTAATATGTACAAAACACAATTTTTAGATTTATAAAGTAAATATAATAATTTGGTGTCAGAGTATGAAAGTTTAAGAAAAGATTATGAATTATTAAGATACAAATATGATGAAATTAATAATTAGAATTTATAATAAAAAAAATAAATCAATATACAAATAAATAGTGAATTGGAAGCATTAAAATCTGAGATGTAAACATGGATTATCAAATGCAAAACTTATGAAAGTGAAATTAGTTTTTTGAGATCTTCAATAAATGATTATTAAGGTATAGAGTAAGAGTAAGAAATGTTAAAATCTGATTTAGAAACTTGGTAAATCAAATTTGCAGAAGCTGATAGAGAGAGAATTTAATTAAGATAAAATATTTAAGAATTTGAAAAATTCAGATTTAAAGTAAGTGAACTTGAAAGAGAGATATAAAATTATAAATACAAAATTGAGAATGTTGAAAAAGAACGAGATAATGCAAGACAATAATTAATTATTACATAATAATAAAAAGTTTAAAATGATTAAATAAAAAAAGATTATGATTCTTTATATTTCAAATTATAGGAATAAGACAAGGAAAATATTTAATTACATAATGAAATTGAAAATTTAAGATAATAATTGAGTTCATCTTAATAATTCAAATAAGAATTAATATTAATAGAGTAGGAGAAAGCATAATTGTTATACAAAATTAATGAATTTGAGAGAGAAAGATAATTATTAAAATAATAGATTTAAAGTACAAATAATATTAAGATGGAATCTGACAGTTTAAAGAGAGAGTATGATATGCTTAGAATGAAAATGGAATCAAGTGATAGAGAGATTTCAACTTTAAGATAACAACTTACAATGGCAAACAATTAAAAATTAGAATATGATAGATTGAAATCTGAATATTAGTAATTTAGAATTAGTTTTGAAGAATCAGAGAGAGAGAGATAGAATTTAAAATAATAATTATAAATGGGAAATAATTTAAGAAGTGAATTGGATTAATTTAGAAAAGAATATGATCTAATTAGATTAAAATTTGAGGAAAGTGAAAGGGAAAAAAATTAATTAAGACTACAATATCAGAGTAGTTAAAGTAATTTTAATGGCTATAAAGCTTAAATGGAATAATAGAGTTTATAAATAAGTTAATATTAACAATAGGAGATGGTAATGAAGAGAGAGATTGAAATGTTGATTTAATAAATTGATGTATATAAGAAAGATTAATTAAATAAATAGTAATAAGTATAAGAATATTAATTCAAATATTAGGAAATTATGAAAGAGTATGAAATTTTATAAAGTAAATAAAAAAGTGTAGATGTTGATGCATTGATGTATGAAATATTTGAATTAAAGAAATAGTTAGCTTAAAAAGATAAATAATATGAATATGAGAGATAAGAAATTAATGAACAAAAGTTTTAATTAGAAAAAAATGTAAAAATTAGAGTGGAATAGGAAATTAGAATTTTAAATGAGAAATATAATATTGAATTGAATGAATTAAGGAGGTAGATATAAATTGAGAAATAAGAGAAATTAAAAATGGAATCTGAAATGAGAATTAAATATGAATAATAAATAATATCACTTTAATAATAAATTAAACCTGCTGTTGATGTGGATGCTTTGATGTATGAGATATTTGAATTGAAAAAATAAGTAGTTACAAAAGATTAACAAATTGAATAAATAAAAAAAGAGCAATATCAAATTAGAATTTAATTAGAACAAAGATTTAATGAATAAAAATTGTAATTTGAATAAGAAATTAGAATGAGATTAGAAAGAGAATTAAGAATTTCTATAGAATAAGATGTGAGATATTAGGTTGAAAATGAATACAACTTTGAATAAAACATATAAGATTATATTTTATAGATTGAAAAATGGAAGTCTGTTTGTTAGATGAGAGATGAAGAAATATCACATCTGAGAGGTTTGTAGTAAGCATTGAAAGAGAAATTAAATCAATACACATCTGAAATTGAATCATTAAGGACTCAATTAGCTTTGGTATAAGGGGATAGAAGAACAGTATATTAAATAAAATGATATCATATAATATTTTTTATGAAGGAAAATTATAGTAAGTATTTTTAATATTCAAATTGTTTATATATAAATATTTAAATATAAATAAAATGATTGAGATTAAGGAAAAAGGAATAACAAGTTTAGAATTTAGCAAACATTTAATATAGAGATTAAATTTTAATGAATGGAAAACAATTGACAGGTTTGAATTATTCGGATATATTGAAAAAATATTGATTATATACTTTATACTATTACATGTTAGGCGATTGTTTATAATAGGTAAAAACTCTCAACTTACGATTGGAAACATCTGAATACTCATGAAAAGGAATTACGAGTAGTTTGGTCTCCTAGTCAACCACCATCACCATCGAAAGCAATGTGTGAATTTTCATCTGGTGATTCTAGTCCTTGTGATGATGATCAATATTAAACTAAAATAGAATTCATAGGTACAAAATTATCTATTCGTGAAATATGTAATTCTGTTCTCAATTCTAATTGCTATGAAATTCGTATTTTAGAACCCACAAAAACTGGAAAATATGAAAAGTTTATCATTTTTTTAAGCAATTTAGAATTCCTCTAGAGTGGTAAAATCAAAGAGATATCATACTTTTTAATTTTGATTCAACTTTTGATGTTTGTTAAGATAAACATTCCATTAAAAAGTATTTAAAAGAAAAGTATTTTATATAATTAAATAAATTAATTAAATAGATTTAAAGATTATTAATTTATCACTATCGAAGAAGTTTAAAAGATTTACTTGGCAGGGGAATAAGCATTTATAATCAAAATTAATGAAGATAAATCTGCATAATTCTTTTATTATAATATGAGTGTGAGCCAACAAAAACATAAAAAATATATAGGGGATAACTTTTAAGTATGATAATCTATATTATAAATAAAGGTTGGAATCTTACGAAAAATCAAAGATATATAAGTTTCATATAGAATAATCTTGAGATTTTTACCAATTTATTTTGTGAGGGAAAAAGTAGAAAGCATCATTTATGAAAGAAAAAATGACAAATTTTAGATAGATTATAGGTAAATAAGAGTAGATGAGTTATTTGAATGTATGATAAACATAATTATTTTAGTTGAAGGATGTAAATATGGAATTATTTATTGTGATGATTTAAGATAATCGTTATACCTTGTTGATTTACTTAATAGGTAATTTATAAATATTATTACAAAAAGGTATTTCTTTGATAGAAAAATTTCTTAACCAGAAATAATTGCAATAAATGAAGAAGGAAAAAGCATCTCTTCTGTTTCTTATAGATAAGAATATTAAAACTTTTTTTAAATGAACTTTGACACATAGAAAATGATGAAATAAACATTGTAATAAGAAATTGATAAGGAGATATAAGAAAAATAAGAGAGATAAGAAAAACAAGAGAGATAAGAAAAACAGGATAAATTGGAGAGGTAGGAAAAATATGAGAAAGAAAAATAAGAAAAAGAAAAATAGCATAGTGAAAAAAGTATCTTTAATAATAACGAAAGAAAAATATCATTAAGATATTAATATTAACACTGTGGAAATTAACAGTAATAAATAGTATGAACGATAAGAAAAATTAAATGAGAAAACATACCATAATCATAATTATCATTATTATAATAACAAATGTATCAAAATTATTTAATTTTATAGATGAAAGTAGAAATAATACTAGAAGGTCAAGATCTTAATCAAGGAGAAGAAGACACAGTTCAAGTGAAAGTTCTAAGTTAAAATATATAATTAATTATATAACAGAAAATATTATGAAAGAAAGCATAGGTCGAATCGAAATGAGACAATAAAAAAATCGGGATGGGATGGCAAATCAAGAAAATGAATAAATTTTACTGTAATTTTAAAACAACAAAACAACAACAACTAAAAAGGAATTTCAGTAGAAAATTATATTAACAAACCAAAACAAAAATACTTGAAGTCAAAATTCAAAATCACTAAGCTTCCTTTCAATTAGGCAAAATATAGTTAATTAACTACTATTACAACTTATCTTAATTCAAGAGAATAAAAAAAATATTTGATTACATATGATCAAGTGATTCTGTATTTAATTGAAAAAAAATTTGTATTTATTTTATTCATTTAAACAAAAATAATCTCTATCTATATAGAGCTGAATAAATAGAAAAATTGGTATACAAATTTTTGATTCACCATTTCTTTAGATTATAATTAGAACTAAAATTGTTATTCTAATTTTTATTAAAATGCTTTTTGATTTAGATAAGAATTTTGAATGAATATTTTGATTCTCTATTAAATTAGTTATCGTAATTGTTTATTATTTACTGGCTATATGCATTTAAGTTCTAAAATAAATATTTATTTGTTTGAATATTAAAATTAATTATAGTTCATAAGATAAACTTTTAAATCATGCATTACTATCTGAATCCCATTTAATTCTTCTTCCTTAATACCATTCACCAGACTTTTCTACTTCCCCATTAATATATACACCTTTTCCATGTTATTTTCCATTCTCCCATTCTCCTTCATATTTTCTACCATCACTCCATTAATATATTCCATAACCATGTTTTTGATCATTAAAATAATGTCCCTCATATCTTCTTCCATCTGGCCATTAATATATACCTCTCCCATGCATATTATTATTTTAAAATTCTCCTTCATATCTTCTTCCATCTGGCCATTACAGGATTCCTCTACCGTGTATTTTATTTTTATACCAATCTCCATCATAAACTTATCCATCACCCCATTTATATTTGCCTTTTCCATGCTTTAATCCCTTTTAAAAAAACCCTTAATAAAATGAACCATCTGACCAAGTTTCTGTACCATAACCATGTTATTAATCACAAAACCATTATCCTTCATACTTTGGACCATTATTATGTTAATAAATTCCATAACCATTTGCCATATCATTTTCCCAATCTCCATCAAAAATATCACCATTTGCATGCTAAAATTTTCCTTTTCCATGAGCTTTATTATGTTTCCACATTCCTTCATATTTAGCTCCATCAGGCCAAATTTATATTCCATAACCATCTCTTGCCTTACCTTTCCATTATCCAGTATATATAGCTCCTCCTTTAAATCTTATAAGACATCTTTATACTTATGAGGTTCTCTCTCTTCTTGTGGATATTCATCTTGATTCAAAGTAACACCAGACGAAAAGAAAAACTCGCTGGCATCCATTTTAGAATTATAACTATTTAAAGTTTCACGTTTCTTTAGACTCATTTATTTCAACTTTTTACGAATTATATAACCTCTCCAATATGACTATATTACTATAGCTTTTTTTATTTTTTTTTAATGCACAGAAGAAGAATCAGATGTAGCTAAAGTCACATTATCCTACTATTTAAATAAATTGAAATTCCTTACAGTTTTAAGAATCTCATTTTTCGTATTGACGCATCTACAGTTTGCACATTGTGATCCCATCAAGATTAGAATATTCAAAAAAATATTTTATAAATGATTGATAATAAATAATTTTAATTCCAATTTTATTTTATCCATCAAATACTTTATAAGAAATCATCAAAATAATCCAAGAATTGTTAAGCATTTTATTCCACTTTCTAATTCTTTACATTTTTTATTATTTTTTTAAGTTCTTATAAATTATCACTTATTATTTTTTTATTTTCTTTTCCTTCATTTCCAGTAAATGTGTATATTTTTAAAAAATCTGTCAATACCTACAAAAATTCAAAAGACTCAAAGTATTTCTTGTTATTTATTAAAAATTGATAATCTTTCAGGAAGATTTGTTCATTATATTTATTAATCTAATAGTTTACTATATCCTAAAAAAGATTTGAATATTTAGCATTCTAGAGACATTTTGCTCGATAAATGCTATTTAGAGCATGAATATTAATGGCATTATCATACTATTTTAATCTTAATATGCATATATCAGTAATTTCTTATAAATAATCTGAGGCTAGTGTTATTTTCAATAATCCAGAAAACATTTTCCCTATAATAAAATCATTAATTGGCATTTTCTTTAATATTGGAATGAATATTTCTATATACATTAATGTACAATGACTTCCAATTGTGTTGAAGAACATTATGAATTATTCTGCATTTTGGATGTCATCGATTTCACATGATTAATTCAAAAAGAAAATAATTTTATCCTCTAATTTTTTATTAATTGTGATATTCAACTCTGGCTTTGAAAAACATAATTAAAATAAATGAGCTAAACATAACATACTTAAATTATTTGATTAAATTAATTAGATTTCTAAATAAGTTAAAAAGTCTTAGTTAATTTCTATTGGCAAAGTTGCTAAAACATTGTAAATCATTCCAATATATTTAATATGCAATTTAAATGATTATCTAATCATATAGGTTTATAAAAAAATAAAGACACTTTAGATAATTTCATCAAATTTTTTAGTTTTATCACTAATTTACTTAAAGGAAAAGAATAGACTAATAGCATCTTTTTAATTAATATCTTTATTTTCTATATATTGTAATGGATGCAATAATTTTCCTATTAGGTTTTCATTAAAGCTTCTAAATTTAGATAGGGAATGCAATAATTTACAACTATGATGTGGAGTAAGTTGGTTGATTAGAGTTCCTATAAGTGCCCAATATTCAATTTCTTCAGCTTCAGTAGGATTCTAATTTTTAGTCATCATCGTAATACCAATTCATTAATTTATGTGATGCATCTTAAAAGTACACTAATTTCATCTATATTACAATCCTTTAATCTATTCTCTTCTTTTATAGATTTGATAGCTAATTTGGCACTCTAAAGAAATCTATTCTAATTCATTTAGTCTCTTGATCTTTAAAACATTTCTACACTTAAAGATAATAACATAATGAATGATCTTTTGTGATCCGAATTCTTATCCTTATACTACAAATATTTTTTAGTATAAATCATTTCTGATAATTAATTCAATACAGTAAAAGCATGCTGAATTTCAGTTTCATTGTCTACTTATTAATTAGAAATCATAAAGTCTGTATATTTTCTGATATAACTAACTAAATTTATCAAATTTAATGTTGCTCCTTATGATTAATAAAATTAAAATAAGTCTTTAGTATTACCAGCTCGATGAATAGTTTAGTTTTATTAAATTTTTTAAAACTTATGGTTGGCCTAAAATTGAACTGTTTAAAACTTAACAATGTTGTAAATTATTTTTCTAATCATAAATTAAATATTATTATATATATTAAAATGAAATCTAATCATATTCGATAAAAACCTAAATCAGAGGAAGAGCGATTTGCATAAAGATTATAATAAGTGAAAAATACATATTTAATTGGAGCAGATGAAAAAACCTTTGCACCTCGAATAACAGCAAAATCGTGGATTATTGTAGATTCATAGTCTGGCGATGTTTTGTATTCTTTTAATGAGAATCAAAGGAGGGAGATAGCATCAATAACAAAAATTATGACATTCTATGTTGTATTAAATATATGTCAAACGATGAATGTGTAGACAAATAATACATATGCTGAAGTTAGTTTGTAGGCCAGTTTAGTAGGTGGCACTACTGCAGACTTACTTAAAGGTGATATTGTTTCTATTGAGGATTTGTTTTATGGATTGATGTTACCTTCAGGAAATGATGCGGCGATGACATTAGCAGAAAATTTCGGTATTTATGCTATGTATTAAAATAAAATTAAAGGAAAGAATCCTTTGATTTATTTTATACAAGAAATGAATAACAAAGCTCGAGAATTAAGAATGACTCAGACCACTTATGCTAATCCTCATGGTTTGAACAATAAAAATAATTTATCATCAGCTTATGATGTTTCTAAGCTTTGTAATCAATTGTTAAAGGATGACTTTTTTCGTCAAGTTGTAAATACTAAAATCCATTTTTCAACTATTTAAGATGAAGAAGGTAATCAACTTAATAGATTTATAATAAGGGTTTACAAGAGATATTATATGGGAAAATACAAATAAATTATTGTATTAAGGATTTAAAGGAATAAAAACTGGCAATACTTCTGTTGCTGGTCCTTGTCTAGCAAGTTACTATCAAACTACTAGTAGATCTTTTACAATTGTTATTTTGGGATGCAGAAATTAAGAAGACAGATGGTCAGAAACTATGTAATTATTGCAATGGTGTTTGTCGCAAATTTAATGATTTTTCTTATATAACTATTATGTTATTTTAATTTTCACTTGCTTCTGCAAATTTTAAAGTTAATATTTTCAAATAGTAAATTTACCTTTATATTTTTCGATTTTCGAATTTCAATTAATTTATTGAAAAGCTAAACCATATTTTTTCTCAATTTATTATTACTTTCTATCAATCTTAATTTCAAGCATATTAGATAAATGATCTAGATTTACTTACAACCTATTGTAAGCAAAAATCTTACTCTTCATTCATTATTTTGTAAAATTTTGAAAAATAATGGCGCACTGCTTTACTTAGTTTTTTTGCTCACTTAAATAATTGGGTTATATAAAATATTCTAGTATTAAAATTAATTAATGTATGATTATTAGTGTTTAAAGGTTTTTTAATATAATGATATTTTTTGACTTTAAGGGTTTCATTTATTTTAAAATAAAGAAGTTTCTTAATTTATTTTGAAAATCTTAAAATGAATCTATAGATCACTTTAATTTTTATTGCACATTTTAAATAATCTTATAGTTGCTGTTAAGAGAGTAAAAAGTTTAATATTAGAAAAATGCTTCTTTCTAAATTAAATGAATTGTGAGGATATATTTTAATTCATATGAGTTAACAGATGATAAGTTATTAATAATATAAATAAAGAAATAAGAGTTGAAATATAATTTTATTTTTTTACATAAAAAGCAATCATTCATAAATTTTATTAAATAATATAGTAATGAAAACATTGGTGTTCATCATTTGTGGTACTAAGATTTGTAATTGATATGGTTTAGTTATGTATACATTTGCTTCACATGCTTATATATATCCATTTAATGAAAACAAAGCAACATAGCTGGAGGAGCTCAACTAGAAGTAAATTGCACAATTAATAAAATATAATATTGGGTTAGTAGAACATGTCTCACAAGATCAATAAAAAGTATTTGAAGAATTGATAATGTACTTGATAAGATAATATTTAATAGATCATTTGGAAAGGGTAATATTTTGACACCAACAGAAATGAATTATTTGATTCTTATAGAGAGTGATAAATTGTATTAAGGACAAGAAGGCAAACAATAAAGAGTGACTGAGGGATTTTCATAAAGTTTCAAAGTGTTAGAGAGAGAATAAATATCTTTGATGGAAACATTATTTGGATAATCAAGTATTTGTATATAATCTGACAAATAGCTGATTCATTAATTTAAAAAGCAAATAAAATATTCAATAACTAGAATTTAGGTTTTAAAATTTACTAAAATGAGAATGATTTAGATATAAATTATTTGGAATGGACAGTGACACTTTATCTAGGCAAAAATGTAAACAATAATTAAAATTATAGAATGAAGTTTATTTTTATGAACCACACAAAGATAAGACATATAAGATTGATTCATCATTGGAGAAATGTGTAGATAACTTTTTCGGAACAACTTTTGATTATGATCCAAAAGACAAGAAAATCTACAAATATAATACAAATGATATGTTAGATATAACAAAAGACAATGAAGATTAAATTACGGGTTTTTTAAAAGACATCTGTGCAATGAACAAGCTTTCATCAAACTTCAAATAGAGTAACAAGAGTTTTTATTGAATTCTTAGACAATTCTCCAAATATGTTATCTATTATCAATAAATCAATAGCCAAATTAGAGAAAATTTTAACAGAATCAGAGCTTGATCTGGTTTATGATATGATGAGAATTGCTCATAAGAAAGTATAGAAAGTTAATAGATATCATCTTTTAGCTCTCAAAAAATTTAAGAAATAACTTTGAAAGCGAAGATTTGTTCGGATTGATATTGATTGAAGATGAGAAAAGTCCTTAATTAACAACAACTAAAGAAGCAGCTAAAGTTTAAAGAATTTTGATGGAAACAAGAACTAGAATGCTAAATTAAGTTACTGTATTTATATGAATAATATTATGTTTAGCAAACTAACAATAAAAATTAAGTGATGGATTCAACCACTTATTAAATATACATATGGTTTGGAATCTTCTTTGTTATTGTTCTTATTGGTATCATTTATGCTATGGTTACCATGGATATTCAAAAAGATACATTATTATATGCTAAGTTTTTAACAACGGATCAAAGATGAGTAGTATATTTAAATATAAACCCCATATGGAATATAAAAAATAAAAGATTTACTCTGAATTATTAAATTCACACTGTTGGTTATTCTTGATCCCATTGCCAAATCATAGCCTTACCATCCCAACTTGCTGAACATATCTGTTTCTCTGTATGAATTGAAAAATCAAGACCTACAACAAATTCAGTATGTTTTGGATGATTCTTACTAACATTATAAATATTCAAAAATATTACATTAAAGGATTGGATGGTTCCTAAACATTCCAAATCATTACACTCATATCATATGAAGCAGAACCTAAAATAACTGCTTCATGTGGAGAGAACTTCACTTTTCTTACAGGATGTCTATGTCCTAATAAAGTTTATATTGGAACTCTATAAATAATATTTATTTTTATCTTACTTTAAATTTCTTAAATCCCATAATTTTATTGTCTTATCTGTTGATGATGTTGCAATAAGTTCTTCATACTTATTAAAATCACAACATAAAGTATCTTACATATGAGCTTTTATTGATGCAATATTTTTATTTGATGGACTATTCAAATCCCAAAGTCTCATGGCTCCATCGTTTCCACTTGTTGCAAATATATTTTATTAAATTGGATGCCAAGTACATGTATAAGCACATCCTTTATGAGTTTAAAAATAAGCAATAGGTTTCTAAGTTGTGATGTCAAATAATCTAGTTATTCCTATTAAATTTGATGCTAACAACCAATTAGGATTCTTATGTCCGAATTCTATACATTAAATTTCTTCCTTAGATTCCAAATATTGTGTAAGAATTTATTTTGTTCCTAAATTCAATATTTTTACAATCCCATTTCCACATCCTGTTGCTATTATATTAGGATCAGCTTCATTCCAACTACAATCAAAAAGTGCATCACTTTCTTCTGCTTAAAATAAAATCTTTATTGGTTGATTTGGTAAAATCTATCCAATTATTAAACGTCCTTTTCCTTAAATACCAAAATTATCTGCACAAGTTATTGCTATCTTATCAATATCAAAGGGACTAAATTTAGCAGACATACAACTCAAATTACTGACGAAAAACGAAGCAGGTATTTATTATTTCATCTATCTTAAAATTATTTAATAAAATTTTAATTATATTAAAAATTACAAACAATATATAATTCATAAACAATATTATTTTTAGCACTAAAGTATCTAATTTTTTTAAAGAAAAATTATTAATTTGAAAAGTTTTAGTCATTAAAATATAGTGTATCGATTCATTTTCCTATCTTATTTAATAAAATATTAAGATAAATATAATAATAATATGTTGATTAATAAATTGTTTATATTTGAGTTTATAATATTTCCAAATAATTTAATTAAAAAATTATCATAAGAAATTTTCAAAAAATGAATATTTAATAAAAACTTATTAATTGTCGAGATATATTAAGAATTTTATTATGACCTGATATATTCAAAAAAAAATTATATATTATGTAAATTTAAGAATTTCATTTTAAACTATTGTTTTTTTTCAATTTCTATTTTTAATCTACATTCATATTCTTGAATAAATCAATTAGATTTTATCTTCCTCTCTCCCTGTTTTAGATTATAAAATCATGTTTCAGCAAATCTCTTAATTAGGATCTTTTCTCATAATTCTAAATATTGAGAAAAAATACCTTAATTAAACACTTTTGAGTAAAATCTTAAAATTGAGAGCTTCTTTGCTTACTAATTTTAGGAGCAGGTTAATTCACTATGTTGTACATAACTCTTATAGGATGTTCATCAAAATAAGGAGGATTTAGTTCTGAGAGTTCATATGCTATGATTCCTAAACCCCAAATATCAGATATTTCTTGTATAATTTATTATTCTATTATTTCTGGGGCAATCCAATACGGATCCTTATCTTTTTTAAATTCAATTTTGCAATCAATAATCAACAATTTGACATCTCCTTTTTCATTAATCAATACTTTTTTTGAACTTAAATGTTTATGAATTTTGCCTTTAAAATGCAAATATTTCAAACCTATCATTATTTGATAAAGTATATATCCAATTATTGATTCATCAATCTTTTTTTCATAAAGTCTGATCAATTTTTTTAGGTTTCCAAAATTCATAAACTCTTATATTATGAAGCTAGTATTATTATGATTATTTACAAACATCCACTATAAAGATATGTTTCATAATATTTTACAATATATGGACACTCCAATTGTTGAATTTAACTTATTTCTCTTTTAAAGTGATAACAATTAAAGTTATCATGAAATTTAAATACCTTAGCAACCAAAACCTTATTTAGTTGTCTATCAATTATTTTATAAAGTTTACAATTTACCCCTTTATCAATTTATTCATTAAATATATACTTTTGAGCAGGATTTTCAATCAAAAATTCAGTTTACGTCATCTCACTAAAGTTTTATTTACATGATAATTCTTTTCCATCATATATTTCAAGTATAGAGATAAAGTTATCAGAATCTTTAATAATTTCATTCCTACTCACACCGCTATTATATATTTATTTTTCTATTTCAATGTCCAGACCCTTCAGACCTAAATTTGCATTTCTATCTATTATAAATTCTTATCTCTAATTCTTTTAGTTTTGAATAGAATTTTGTAAATCTAAAATACTCTCAGGTAATTTATGAATTTTCACTTCTTCTGGAAGTTAATTAGTCTCTACAATTTATTTTTAGTCAGCATCAAGATGAGATGCCCATTCTTTAGGAACACCAATCAATTTTCCTGTAACTGGGTCTCTTTTAATACTTATAAATTTCTTAACATCTAAGACTTTAACATCTGAATTTGACTTAGATAAAGATTCCTAAGATTAATTATTTCCCATTTTTTTTAATGACATCATCTCATAATGTATTAATTTTAATTAGTTTATTCTTACTTACAACATGTACCAATAGAACTGATAAATAATATTCTATCTTAATTTTAAAATTTCATTACATAATTTAGAGGAGACAGTATGAACTAAATTTATATTAAATATTTTGAAAAAAAAAAACTCTCTAACAATTTAATAAATCTCTAACCAAATCCTTTTTTCAGATTCTTTTTTACCATAACCAGAATAGAAAGAGAGCTCAAAGAATTTCAGAAGTTAAAAATTTAATTGATCATTTTTTTAAATTTGCTTCAAATAACTCAATAATTTTATCATAAAGTTGCAATAAATTGGTATTGCTATAAGTATTTTTTTAAGGTCTTAATTAATTAGCTGTATGCTTAAAGTCATTTAAATAATGTTAAGGATTTTCCACTTATTATTTCTCTGCATCTTTTAAAAAAACTCCTAATTTCGTTATACATAATTTTAAAAATTATTGCCAATCTTTCTTATCGTTTTAAACAAATGAAATAATAATGAAATTATCTTCTAATTAAGCAATCTTATTATCTCTTTTAATGGATGTGAAATTAATTAACTCTTTTAATAAGTCATCATAAGAATCTAGATCTACATTAGATTAAGAGCAAACTCTTTTAAAGCTTTTCATAACTGTTATAAAGTCTTCTTCATCATTTAATATAAAGAATAAATCAATTCTCAATTATTCAAGGGAGAAAATAGGTTGCTATTATTTAAGATATTTTTAGAATATTTGATCTAATTCTTTGAAATCTTCTAAGTTTAATTATTTTTTGTAATTTTATAAAAGATTTTTAACATTGGCCAATTGTTCATGAAATATTAAATTATTTGGAATTCCTTCTAATGCCTTTTATAAAGGTATAAATTGAGAAGATTCATTTTAATAAAATAAAACTAAATTATGAATAAGTTCCATATATTCTTGATTAACTTTAATAGAACCATTAATGTGATGTTAAAATTCAGTATAATAAGCAGCAATTTACATACTGTAAGTAGAATATTATTGAATATGTTTCATAGCTTTAAGAGTTCTGAGTAGAAGTTCATCGAAAAGCTAGGCAGATTCTAAGTATGGTTATTTTTATTATTTAAAACTAAATGGAGATTTAACTTCAATTGATTTATGTTCTTTGAGCAATAATTCGAAATCTTCTGAGAAATTTTTCATTCTTCTAATATAATCTTATGATAATGGAGCACAAATGATATTTCTCAGAAGATTAATTTAATTGATAACTGAGAAAAGATGCTATGAAGCTTTGATCCATAGTAATGCTTCATTTAATGGTTCAATGCTTTCTTTGTAATGATCATCAAATTTAAGAGATAATCTCAATTTTTTTAAATCAGTTAATAAAGAAGGATCTGGAGTTTTTGAATTTTAAAGTGATGAAGAGATAATATCTAAGATTTTAAAGATGAAATCATCTACAACTTTAACTTAATCTAAATACTCTTAAAGTTTCATTTCATATTCTCTTTAAGCTCTTATTTTAGATTAAAATATTTCCTCATCAAATAATTTACCATATTCTTATGTATTTTTAATATCTGGAACAATGATTTTGTCTCCTGTTGGTAGAAATCTAGATCTCATTTAAAATAAGTTTAGAAAATTAATAAATGATATTAAATAAATAGGATAGCTATAATAATAAAATTAAAACAGAAAATAATAGAAAGGAAGTAATTTAGAGATTAGAATTAGATATATTGATAATAAGAAAATGAATGTGTAGTTTGAATATAAAAATTTAACAAAATTTTTCGTTAATTGAATATTATTTTAATTTATCTGTTTGTTTATGTTCCACTCATATTTAATGCCAAGATTAGGAGGTATAAGATTAAAAATAAGATAATAGATCCAATGAATTGTATAATTTAAGGTTAGAATGGGAAAGGAGGATTGTATTTAGGAAATATTGAGAGTGCTGGTAATGGTAAATTATTAGGACATCATGATGTTGGTGCAATATTAGCTGTAATGAGTACAAAGGATTACACATATGATGCACATATAGCTCATAAGGTATATAGTAATTTATTATAGAGTAGTTTATTAGAGTAGATGATGCTGACTTTGTAAATTTAAGTAAGCATTTTGATGAAGCACTTGATTTTATAGATGTTAATAGATAGTAAACAAATGTATTGGTGCATTGTCATGCAGGTGTTTCAAGATCGGCAACGATTGTTATAGCTTATCTAATGAAAACTTAAAACATGTCGTTGGAATAAGCTTTTAAACATGTTTAGAACTAAAGACCCATTGTTAATCCCAATCCTGGATTCATGAGACAATTAAAATAATATGAATCTAAATTATAGGGATCTAATTCTCTAAGAACTTCAACTGCCAAATAGAAGGAAAGATAACACTCTTAAAACAACCTTCGTCAAAGTTAATATGTTTAACATCCAACTGAAAATTACAACTCTCTCTACCAATAATATCAACCTAATCGTTAATATCACAGTGCTTCAGACTTAATGAGATAATCTCAATATAATTATGAAAGACTTAACTCAAGGTAAACATTATATTATTATTTATTTTAGATAAATGCATTATCCCTATATGCCATAACATTATGCACCATATGTTAGAAATTACAGTGTCCCATATGGATAGAATCCTTTACACTTTTCTACTTATAGATAAGGATGTTATTGATTTTTATATAGTATAAAACTTAATAGTCTTTTCATCACATTATACTTTTCGAAAATACAAATTATTTCTATTAACTTGTTTTATCACATTCTATTTAGGTCTTAAATTATTCAAACATTCTTAATTTCTCATGATTTTCTTTTGAAGGCCTTTTTGATTGTTGGTTCTTCTCTAATTAATACATCAACTCTTCTATAGAATTATTCTCTTCAAGCACTATGTATTTTATCAAATATAATAATACCAGATTCCTCATCTATTATTTTCTATTATTTCACAAAATATTTTGAAGATTCATTTTATTCACATAATTCTATTATTGTTTTTAATGATGGCAAATGTTATTTTCTACGTTCTATTTTTGGTTTTAATTTCTACTTTATATTTACAAACCAATGATGTTTCATTGCTTCTTCTAATCTTATTCTATTCTCTTTTTTATCAAGTAATCTTCTCAATAAATCTAATTAAGAAGCACAATAAACCATTTTATACTTATCTTAAATTACAAAATTCATACATTAAGTATTCTTATCAAGTTATGATAAATATTCTTCTGCTTTATCAATTAAATCTAATTAAATTCTATCCACTCTTTCATCTTTTCTTTTTTAATGAATATAAAATGTCAAAAAATATAATACAATCCCTATTTAATATACATCGCTTTCAACTGATGGCTTAGCAATACCTTACTTAATTTCAGGAGCAATATAACTCTCATGGACATTTAATAAGTACTATTATAGAGGTTCTTAATCAATTCGACTTATAAATGCCATATTGACAATAAAGAGTTAAAGAAATGAAGATTAGGTATTAATAAGGATGTTATTTGGAGTAATGTTGCCATGATAAATGTTATTTTTTCTTAAAAATTTAAGAGATTACAATAATTACAAAATTATCTAAAATTAAGTAAGGCAAATATACTGATGCTAATTATGTTTGATCCAAAATCAAACCTTAATTTAGGAGATCCAATAATTTCTCACACTTAAAATATTCATATATTAAATATATGTAATGGTGATCTTCATACACCCATTTTAAGTCTAATAATGATGGATGTTTAATGCTTCTTAAGGTTTGAATTTCACTATGTAAAATGTCTACTGGTGATGAGGCTCTTATGGAATGGACATAAGCTGTATAATACTTCTTGGTTTTTTTATGCTGGATAATATAATAATCTTTTATGATCTATTCTAATAGTTAGAATTTGTTTGAAAAATTAGTGAGCTTGCAAAAAGATTTTAATTTAGCCATCCATTCTTTATATTGTTATTTAGTACTGAAGAATAACAATAGATGTCCAGTTGCATTTGATAGTTATATAATATGAAGATCATATTTGGAGCATTATTTCAACTTGACAATTCTACAATTAGATAGTACTAAGTATTGATCAGCAATCACAAGTAAATTAGGTATGAGTAATATAGAAATATTAAGGAAGCTTTCTTAGATGGTGGAATATATGATTAAATGTTGTTTTAATATGGGAATAGTCTTATTGATTTCATCCATTTAATTTTGAGGTAATATGGTTAGACAGCTCTGTTTAAAAACATGAGATGGTATTTCTTTTAGTAATTCGAGAATTCTTGAAAAATCAATGTTCATTATTAAAAATTATTAAAATTACTGATTTAATTGACTAAAACCCTTTGGATTGTTATTGATAATAGTTTAAGGATAGAAAATAAATGGACAATGGAAATATTATAATCTCTTATTATAAAATTATATATTATTATAGATCACTAAGGGGGGATTGGTTTTTATTTAAAAAATAAAATGGTTTATGGGGTGGAAGGGAAGTAGAGAACATGATGTATTAAATGAATTAATAAAAATGGTGGTATCCTATTGTGTTTTGTTAAATATTAATTTAAATAAAAATATGGAGGTGAAGAAGAGTAAGAAGAAACCAGAATTGATTGAACAGTTATTTGTTGGAAATTACATTGATGTTTATCATCAAGGAAGCAAACAATATAAGTTGGCATACATTTTGTAAAAAAATGAAAAAGAAATAGAGATCACATATGATGGTTTATCAAAGAAAGAGAATGAGGTATAATTTATATGTTTAAAGTATATAGACAATTAAATTATCGTAAAATAAGATCAATTTTGCTAGAAAATTTACATAAAGTAAGTAATTATTTACATAAAGACTATACTGGAGAAGATTTTAGATAAAGTAAGACTTCACGAGATTATCTAAAATATTCAAGAGAGGAATGTGAGAAAAATACAAAGGAACTAATATAAATAATGTAAAATAATTTTTAAGGTTATTCTCCAATTGAAATATGTTAATCTGTGCGTGTGAGACAATTTATTTGGTTAGATATGGTACTTTCTAATGAATTTTCATCAAAAGATTTGCCTATAGTATTGGAATATATAAAAACTTACTACATTTTCATAAAGTGGTATTTTGAACAATTTCCAAAGTACTTTGCAGATGTAAACAAATATTCTCACTAACTCAGTATATGAGATTCCAAAACAATTAAGAATTGTACATCCTAGATGAACGTGTGTCAATCGCAGCTTGTCTTTAAGAAGTATGTGAAGCCTTTTGTATGCTTTTTGGTTCCATATGGCGAGTTTTGAAACCAGAAAACTCTTTTTTTTATGTAAGTTCAATTTATATTAATAATAAGCTAAATTATGAGAATTTATAGTAATAATTAGAGAAATTCTTTCCAAATTAAAACACATAAGGTTTTGCAATAAATCCAAATATTGAAGATTGGAAACTTTTTACAGGTGCAACAGATATTATAAAATGTATAAAGAAAACTTGGCCATTTTATTTGAGAATAATGTCTTTTTTTAGATAAATAGGAGGATTATAAGCTTGGGAAGGATTATTAAAATAATAATAAGAAAATACTGATTATAATTACATTCCTTTAAAGGCTATGAATAGAATAGTAATTACATAGTAATATTTATCATCTTATTTTTAATTGGCAGAATAAGCAACAATGGCAAGGAAGACATTGGAATGGTTATAAAATAGAGTAAATAATTTAACTGTTTAAGATATTAAAGATACTGATATAGATTAGATTAAAGAACTCACTTAAGAATATTAATATTATTTTTAAAAGGGTTTTACAGAAGATTAACTAAATAAATTGACTGATGAAATTTAATTACAATTGTCTTTAAAATTTATAAAATCAGCTTTTTTAGAAAAGAGAGTTAAAGGGATTAGTGAAATAAAAGATTTTACTGAGAAACTTAAATTTGAATAGTCAAATAATAAATTTAGAAGTTCAATTATTAAAGAGGATTTGATAGGGTGGATAAGTTAAAATCGAATTTTAGATTATACTCTTTTAGGAGATTCTGTACATCCAGAATTAATAAAGAGATCAAGTGATGTAGCAGTATTTTTATGTCGAAATTAATCATTTCCAATAGATTATATAGATAAAATATGGACAAATAATTATGATAAGCATGAAACTACTTAACTGGCATTGTATGAATTTTTTAAGACTGTTTCACCATATTTAAATTTTTAAGGAATTGAAAAATTATATAATCATATATCTGGAATTCCTTACTCAAAATATAATGATAATGTTGTAAGTATGATAAGAACATTTACAGAATCAGCCTTATAATAGAAATTTCATGAATAATAATTGTAATTAAAACCAGAAAAGAGATTTATGACATTTAATTAATTATGGGAATTATTACAAGATAGAGAGGATGATTAAATAACTAATAGTGTAATTTAAGAACAATGTTTCTCTGCAGCCAGACTCATTATTTCCTAAATACCATAAACTAAATAATTCATCTCTTATTATTTTAGTAAATGCTTTGAATTAATAGGCAGTCATTAATCTGTATATTAGGCAATTAGTTTTGTTCATTATTTTCTTGATAAATAATTCAAAGAGGATTTTAATGGTAAAAGAGAATTAATTTAATCAACAGATGATAAATATAATATCATTGAATTATTTGTTAAAGATATTGAAGTCTATATGGAAAAAGTTCGTTAATATTTTAAAAATGATATCCCTTAAGATATTGTGATTAATGGAGTTTAAAAATTTAGTTAAAATGTTTTCTTTAGATTACAAATGCTTCATTATCTACTTATATAAACTCATCTTAAAATTACTTATGATTAAAGTGTAAGATTATGGGATGCTTTATCTGCTAAAACAAAAGGTGGAATTCAAAAAAAAGAATTGAACAAAATTCTAATTAGCAATTATTAAATGGATGCCTATTAATTTAGAATATGTCCAATCTATTTTGATAAAGAAGGTGAATCCAAATTCTTTAAATCAGTTTTATGTAATCCTGATAGAAATGATTTCCAAAAGTACCTCTTTCTTTTCTATTATTAGCTATACTATCGAAGATTTTGAATTATTCCAGGTTTTCTTTAAATCATGTAATCAATCTCGCCAAACACTTAAATATTTTAATAACTCTTCCAGATTCTTAGTTTAAGATCACAATTTCGAAGGTAAATCTGCTATTTGGTGTATTTTTGCAAAGGTTCAAGATTAACTACTCTTAGAATCAATCTCTTATTTTATTATTAATCTCTATACTTAACTCAATTAAACTCTTGATTAATAATCAGATAAAATCTATTAAGAAATGATGGATAAATGTTTAGATTTAATCCAATAACAATGTCCAAGCTTAACTACAAGATCAATCAATCTTCTATTATAATTATTCAATTATTTTTAGAGTGGACCTACATCTAAAAAATCTGCTAAACCTAATAAATATATTTAATTCAAAGTTTAATTTTTATAACCTAATAATTTCGTTAAATATCTTGAATTCAAAGAAGGTGATACTACTACTATCAATTAATGGAAATAAAAATTAGCAGAAGATCAATAAGTTGCATATTTATAATTAGATGTTACTATTGACAATCGTCCTATTGAATAATAATATGATCTTGTTGAAACATTTATTTCACAAGCCTTTTATTAATTGGCTACTGTGAGAATTAAAATTAATAATAAAAATCATCCTAAAAATTATCTTTCTTAAGAATAACGTACATTTGAAATTTTATTTAAATTACTTGATAAACAAGAAAGTATTGAATACCTAACTTAAGTTTGGGATTTAATCAATAGATTACCAATTAATATTATTAAGAAAAAGTAAGTTGAATCTTGTAAAGATTGGAAATAGTATTAAGACCATCAATTTTTTGATATGTTTTATGTATTATAAATCATATAAGTATTATTAGAAAACGAATAATGGTGTGAATAATTTAATGATTGTGATGGTGTTGATTTGGTTACATCAAAATTTTTAGGACAACAATTATAATTTTAATTACGTCCTCTTGAAATTAAATGTTGCTTAACTTATTTAGAAATATTGAGTCATACCAAAATTAAAATTAAAGAACCATAATTAGTTTAATAAATTAAGTTAAAAATTTTAGATATTATTCAACAATTATGCATTTACATTAAAACTAAAAAAAAATTAGAATCTGGATAAAAGAAATGTCCTTAATAGAAAGAAATGAATGAAATAGAATCTCGTCTTCTTAGAAAATGTTTTTTGTATTTAGATGAAGATGGATGTAAATAATACATTAATAATTCTGAATTAAATTAATAACTTTATTCTTTCTTTGTTGAACATGAAAATTAAGAATTAAAAAAAGAATATAGTTTATAATTATTAAGTTTAAAAAATACTAATGAAAGCAAGCTTTTAATAAGAATAGTATTAGAATAGGTTCTTAAGGACGTAATATAAAATAAAAAGTAAAAATGTGATCATTACTTTGAATTTTGTTGTAATTTATTATTATAAGAATAAAATTTGAATATAGAGAATTTAAACTTTGAAGAACTATTAATATATATTAGATAGAATTTATAATAGTTACCATTTAATGAAAATACTGTTAAGGATTAAGATTAAGTTTTGATAGGTTTATTAAAATTATTGAATGCATTAATAGATAGAATTCCATAACTATCAAATCATTAAGGATTATTTGAATAATTGCTTAGTTATTTATTTGAAAATGAAGGAGAAACAAGATGCAAATGTAAATCACAATAATCTAGATCAGCTGGATTTAATTGTCTCTTTACATTAATAAAATCTCCATAGAATATGTAAAAGTTTTTAGATATAGTATCTCCTATGCATTATACACACACATGGAGAACAAAGAATTTCAATGATTGGAATATATAGAGTAAATTTCATGAGAAATCTTCAACAGGATTTGTTGGTCTATACAATTTAGGATGTATTTGTTATATGAATTCTTTGCTTCAATAATTATATATGGTTCCTGCTTTTAGAGAAAAGTTATTGTAAATTGAAGATAAGAGCACATGTACATTAGAAGAGAATTTATTATATTAATTGAAATGTTTATTTTTAGCATTAAAACATTCTTAAAAACAGTATCATAATCCTAAAAAGTTTTGTCATGCATTTAAAGATTTAGATGGAAATCCAACTAATATTTTTGAATAAATGGATGTTGATGAATTTTGTAATTTATTAATGGACAGAATAGAGTTAAATATAAAGTCAACATCTGATGAAGATTTAGTAAAAAAAAACTTTGGAGGAGTTATATCTAGTGAAATAATAGGAAAGACTTGTCCTCATTATTCAGAAAGAGAAGAACCTTTCTTTGCAATTTCATTACCAGTGGCTAATAAAAAGAATTTAGAAGAATGTCTATAAACATTAGTTCAAGGAGATTTACTAGAGGGGGAAAATGCTTATAGTTGTGAATAATGCAATAAAAAGGTTAGTGCTTTAAAGAGAACTTGTATTAAAAAGTTGCCTGATCATCTTATTTTAGTTTTGAAGAGATTCAATTTTGATTTTGATTCTATGGCAAAATTCAAAATAAATGAGAGAATTGAATTTCCATTTGAATTAGATCTTTTGCCATATTCTTAGTAAGGATTAAGATAATAGGAAAATAGAGTAAATCTTTAAAATGGATAAGATAATCCTTTAGAATATTATTAATATAGATTAACAGGTGTTGTAATTCATATAGGTTCAGCTGATTGTGGTCATTATTATTCATTTATTTAAGATCGATCAGATTTAAATAAATGGTATGAGTTCAATGATATTTTTGTATCACCTGCAGATATTAAGGATGTCAAAAATGATGGTTTTGGGGGTGTTGATAGAATTTTCAAATCTAAAAATCCTAATTAATTTAAAGATAAATAAAAAAGTGCCTATATGCTCTTTTATGAGAGAATCTAACCTTTAAATAATAATTAAGAATTGATGGATATTGAAAATGATTTAAATACTACATAATTTTTAGATGAAATAAAAGATGAAAATAGAAAGTTTTAAATTTAAAGATTTATATTCAGTCCTGAATATTTTATCTTTATTTAAAACTTAATAAAATTTTAATTGCAATCAAATTAAATTTCAGAATAAATAGTGAAAACTCTTGTTTTTTTTTATTTGACATGTGCAGTCAGAGAAAATGACAAAACATTTATTTCTAATAATATATTAGATATTTAAGAACTATTAAGAAGATCTCTAAACACATGTCAATGGTTATTAAAATGTTTTAATTAGTATCATTACATAAGAGAATTTTAGTTTGATTGTTCAAAGAAAATGGTGAGAAAGTTTGTTATTTCTTTAATTATTACTGCTATTGAAACTGTATAAAAATAAGAGGGATATAAAATATTAAATGAATATGTAGATGATAGACCTAAGTCTTAAGTAGCTTCTTTAATAAATTCTTGGATTCGAATGATTCCAGATTTAAAGAAGAGTCTAAAAAATTCAATTGAATATTATGATCTATTTTATCGATTTGCAAAATTAAGCAAATTCAATGCATAATATTTGATATCTAAAAAAATAGTGGGTAAATTCTTGGATTTGTTTACAGATGTATTATAAATAAATGTTAATAAATTGTAAACCACAAATATGGAATCTGTAAGAAAATTAGATGATCTTAAAATAATTTAATATATAGAAGATCATAATAGTTTCTTAGGATATCAAAATAGTTAAACTGTTGATATTGCATCTAATTATTATGATGAACTTCTTGAAAAGAAATTTGAAAAGTCTATGAATTCTGGTCCATCTACAAGTAGAGTTTATATGTGGAGATTAATAGCTTTCTTGCTCAAAACTGAAGGAAAGAATGTTATGAGTTAAGAAGAGTAATAATTATTATAATTTGATAATTCTATATTAATGGCAATATTAGAGGAAGGTGAGAGTAAATTGGCAATTAGGATGATATCTGACATTCTTTCAGTTCTATCCTAAGAAAATTAAAAATAAACTGATTAGGTTCTTACAGCAATTATTAAATAAATAGCTGATAAAGAATACAAAGAATATAGAAAATATTTGGTTGTTTTGAAAAGACTATTCAATTTAAAAGATTCATTATAATTAATGAGAGTATAAATATATATTAATATTAGATTCATTAAGGAATGTCAAGACTATTGGAAGTTATGTAAAAGTAAAATCAATATTTTTTTGAAACAGATATTTGTTAACAATATATCTTGAGAGTATTTATATACAATTTATATTAATTTTAGATGGTCTTTAGAAACTAATTAGTATATTAATGGATGATTAAGAATTAAAGAGTATGGTCATGGATTATTGATACTAATAACACATAATAAAATCCAAATGAAAAACTAATATCAAATAATACTAATTCTTAAAAATGTAATCATAGATTACATAATATATATTTACCAATAACATAATAAGCATATATTAAATTATTGAATTGGAAAAAATTACAATTCTTAAATTTGGCGAAGGAACCATTTAAATAAAATGAAGATTTTGATACTGATGATGATTTAACAGATAAAACAATCAAAGTAGATGATAAGATAGATTATTAGTAAATATATTATTTTATTTAAAGTGATCAAAATTAATGGATTACTGCTACTGTTAGTAAAATAATGGGAGATTATATACATCTTACATTCAGTGGCAAAATGGCACCTCAAAGTATAGATATAGAATAAGATAATGAAAAACTTGCTCCGTATAATACATTATCATCAAATAATAAAATACCAGGTATTAAATAAATTTGATTTTATTAGGATACAATAATAATTCATAAGAAATGGCAATAGAAAATTAATCTGATCATGATAATGACACTGAAGAGGGTAATAATAATTCAATTAATTAAAATGATTCAGATGAAGAATGAAATTAATAAAAATCAATAAATTATTACAATAAGCAGTTAATATAATTAATAAATATTAATATATAAATAATACAGATGTCTAAATCTTGGTAAATTCAACAAAGTTTACAAGAAAGCTTATGTTCATAATTAAATAAAGATGAAATTCTTGAAGAATTTTTACAAGTTTGTAATCACATAGCTAATGAAGATTAAAATAGTATCAAAAGTTTGAATTCAAAATTATAAACAATCAAAAAACACTATGCATAACAAAAATGTAGGATTGATCATCAATTTAAATACATACAGACATTATTAGAGCAAAAAAGAAAAGATCTAATCACTTAATTAAATAATCATGAATTAGAATTAGATAAAACATTCAAAAATCTAAGAGATGAGGTTACTTAAATCTAATCAGTTGTATTTAATATTTAGAATGATATTTTAAGTAATAGATAAGAAATATTATCTGAAGTAGATGAAGAAACATTTTAGAATATTCTCACACAATTTGATCAATAAATATAAATGGCTTAAAATTATAAGAAGGAACTATTATCAACAAGAATAACATTAATAATAATAGAAGAATGGACAGCTAGCCATTAAGATGTGATAAAACATCTTTTAAATTAATCAATAACAATAAAAGATTATTAAAAGTAAATAGAGCCTCATCATTCTGAAATGAGTGCATCTACTTGTAGTGATAAGATGTATTCATCAGGTAGATCTAGTTAAGAACTTCCAATTAAATAAACTCCTTTAATAATTAGTTTCGATTAAAAGTATTATCTACAATCAAAGTAGAATGACATAACAAAATCTGAATCAGATATTCATGATAGTTGTGAGTCTGATTTTTTAGAAGAATGGGCAAAACAATGATTTGCATACTCTGAATTATCAATTTTTTTTTTTTTGTATTATATAAATTTATTACTAAAATTAATTAAATTTCATTATTTTTATTTATTGAATTTGTTGTTCTTCTTGTCTTTCTGATTTTTTTATCAAAATGTTAAAGAATTAGGTAACAATTCAACTTCTTTAATTTCAGATCTTTAATTTGATAATATTCTCTAAAAACTTTCCCTTTTTTATTTGTCAATTAAAATTTTAATTCAATTATTCTCTAATTTGCATTCATATTAAAATAATGAAATTTATGCTATCTTTTAAATAATTCTTTATATGTATGAAAAGGTGGAATAAAATTATAAAATTTATATTTATCCTATCATATTTATCATCCAAAAGATGAATCTTAATTTCTTTGATAGCTGGATCAACTTAGACATGAAATGAAAGAAGAAAATTGTTCTCAAATTCTAAAATTAATCTTAGTTTATTAGGTTCAAAAATCCATTATAACATTAATTTTTAGATTATTTTTTATATCTAATAAGTATTCCATATACATATCTACTTTATTCTTTCTTCCTTACCAAATTTCCTTTTAATTGAATTTGGCTTTCTATAATAAATTCCCTGACTTTTGAATAATATCAAATAAGGCTAGCTTACTCTAACCTAGTTCTACTTTTGTCGCTTATTTATAATCTAATAATAGTTTAATATGATTCTTATATTGATTCTACCAAAATTTAGTATTTGATTTTCTTCATTATTTATTCAAATCCATTTTGTATTCATAAATTGAAATTTTGCATTCAGAAATCTGCAATTCTAATTAATCATATATTTTATCTATTTTTTATTATTAATTCTCTAATTATAAACTATTGTTTATCCAATCTCACTTATTCTCCTCTCTATAACTCTTCTTGTTATTACAACTTAATTCTTGTTATTTAATATGATTTTAATAAATATTTAAATAAAATAAAACAAAATATGCCAAATCACTTATTCAGAACACATCCAAGAACTTACGGAAAAGATTCCAGAGGTATTTCACTTTTTAAACTTCTTAGAATGCAGAGTTTGTGGTGCTAGATAAGGATTGATTAGAAAATATGGTATGAATACCTGCAGAAGATGCTTTAGAGAAAATTATGAATTGATTGGCTTTCACAAGGTATTATATATCTCTTAATTCAGTACAATTGATCAGATTTTTATATATTAATAAACGATATGTACATCTTTATATCTCAAATATTCTCTATTTATTTAAAATAACTATTTATCTTCTTTGATTCTTCAAAATCTTTACCAAGAAAATAAGATCATTTCCAAAGATATTAAGTTATTAAAGAAAACATCATTTATATTTACTTTTTTGTATCAAAGAATTACATTAATATTATTATAATAAAGTCTAATACAAACTAAAAAAAGGTTTTTAATAATCCTCACACACTGACTTCTAGAATCTATTATATAAATTCACTCTATTATAGAACTTCTTTTAATCATCAAATTTTAGAAAATGCTTTTGTATCATTGAGTTGTTACTGTTATTAATAAGTTATTTTTATAACTATTGCTTATTTTATATTTAACTATATGTGAATTATGAAGATGCTTTTTATCATTCAAAATAAAATCATTCTGAAGTCTAACATAATACTTACTTTATTAAGTAGTATTAAAACCTTTTCAAAAAGTGATATTAATTTATGAAAACTAAAATAAAATGACTTCTAAGCCATAAATTAATCTATAATAAGTATAAAGCTTAATTTAGTTGAAATTTTGTTATGAAATCCAAAAAAAATAATATGAAGAAGATTAGACATTTAACTCCTTTTATAAGAATAATAAAAATGAAAATAAAAAAAGATTTTCATTTTGATTATTTTTTTATTGTAGAAAAATATTGATTAAAGGCTGTTAGATCATCCCTTATCAAACTTTATATTATTTAATACTTTATTGGCATACTTTAAACCTGTGATTGTTATAAAAGTATTTTAAAAAGTAAATGAAATCCTAAAAGTTTCTTTTCAAGTTAGAAGATATATGGTGTAAAGGCTTTAAAATAAGAAAATTTTGATTATTTTATATGTCATAGCTTCACAGATTCTGGGTTGTAAGTATTGCAAAATGCAACGTAAGTATTGGATTTTGAAAATATTAGAAATTAACACAAAAAACAAATGTCAACAAAAATTTTTCATGTATAAAAACAATGTTTTACTAAATCTAACATTGTTTTTGAGATACTATCGTTTGGCTAATTTTGGAGTTCATTTTCATGTTAACAATTTTGTATCAAGCAATTTTTTTCTTATAATTCAATATCATTTTAATCTTTGAAGATGAGTTGAAACTAATATCATTTTTTTAATTCTAGCTAATTCTCTAAGCTCTTACACTTTTATTAGCTTGTATTAAATGCTCAATTAATTCTCATATTAATGATAATAAATTCACATCAGCATTTCTAATTTTCACAATTATGTTGCCCTAAACATCTAATCACTAAATTTTTACCAAATCAGAAATTGAAATTTTTTTCTTAAGAAATAATAAGTGTAATATTATTTTTATATATTAACCACCAGATTCTCAATTTATCATTAAAGGAATCAACATTCAAGATAAGCATCAAACAAAAGTAAATTCAGATTTTTTAGACACATTAGATTAATTTAATTAGCAGATAGCAGATTGGATAATCTTTGGGTGAAAATATCTTTAGTTCTATTGAAGATAGAATATTTAGGTATTTCATATTTATTAGATTCATAATAAAGGTTATATCCTGTTGTAGTACTAAACCCAGAAAAATCATATAAAATTTTAAATGCAACAAAATTAGACATTCTTAAAAATTTATTTGAAAGTTCGTATTAATATCCAAATAGCATTTAATCTTTATAAAGTGATATAACAAAAATTTTTCGATAATATTTACCAAATCATAGGAAAATTTTAATTTTAAACACTTATATAAAATTTATACTAAATTTGTTTGAGTTAGTTGATATGTAGAAAATAGAAATCAAAAATTATGATTATTAATAATTAAAATTCAATTAATCAATTCAGTTTTTTTACATATTTCTAAAGCATTAAAAAGACATTAATATTTGTTTAATTTAGAATACAATAATTAATCTCAACTATTTCATTAGAAAACTAAATAAATTCATTGGAAAATTATATAAAAAAATCTTTTTATAACACTTCTAATTTAGAGAATTGTAATGAATTTCGATGATGCTTCTTTATCTTCTCTGCATACTCACAGAGTCAAGACACGATAATAAATGAAAGGGATTTAACATTCCATTTAAAAGTCTAAAAGAAAATATTGTCACATTTCACCTGAAATAAAGAATTAATTGATTTCCCTTGTCCTTGATAAAAAGCTGAGAATTAAAGATGTATGAATATATTATCATCTCTATTATAGGCTGCTATAATTTGTAATTTAAATTACTCCACTGCAAAAACCATACTCTACACATTAAGACATTAACCACCCAAATAAGCAGGATTCAAATTGAATTCAAGTTAATGTAAACCAAGATTTACAATCAAAACCCAAATTAAGGGAACTCTTGTTAACGAGTATGATTTTTATACATATTTGAATTAAAACTGAGGAACTTTCTATATTATCATTCCAAAATATTATAAAGAAAGAATACTTATACATGTCATCTCATTAGAATATTACAAAAGCTTGGGATGTTTTGTTAATTTTTTTAGCTTATTGATTTATTTCTTCAATAAAAACTGAATATTAATCACACTTGTAATTTACTGTATTTTATATGAAATATACCAAAATTTGCCATCAGATTTATGGATATTTTCTTTTCTGCTTTCTTTATGTTCATTTCATTAAATTCAAAAGCTAATAATAACTTAAACAAAATAAAATTACTATGTACAGGTTTTTGATGGACAAAATTATTTTCTTATGAGAGGAAAAGATTAAAAACAATGAATTTGATAAGAATATATCAAAATGACATATTTAGACCAATTTAAAAGAAAAAAAAAAGTTTTGTGAATTATAATCATAAGAATATTCATAAATTAATATTATTTTAACAATCAGAAATATTTAAAAATAATTTAAAATTCATTGATAATTAGATTATAAAATATAATATATATTTAATGAGTGCATAACCACAACAATAAATTATATTTGGTGCTTGTAAAGTGAAGGATGGTTTATACATAGGTGATGAATATGCAGCAAAAGTATTTATTTTAATTTAACAATCAAGGACATAGAATTTATTGTAGCAAATAAAATCGGCTATATAGTTAATTGTTCGTCTGATTCTATTGAAAATCTTTTAGAAAACATAGGGATTATGTATTTCTCATTTTAATGGCCAGAAGACTAGCCAGAAGTAAAGATTTGTATTTTAATCAAGATAGTTGTCTCAAAAGACTTTGTAAATAATGTTTATGAGTTTATAGAGGAAAGTGTTACTTTAGGTTAGAGTTGTTTAATAACCTCTTTACATGGTTAAAGTAGAGCTTGCTCTCTAGTTACTATTTATCTAATGAATAAGTATGATAGTTAATTATTAACTTAAGATTCAAATGGTCACTTTATAAGACTCTAGAATATTTGAACTCAAGAAGAAGTGATTTAGAAATTAAAACATCATTTTTTAATGTTCTAAATTAAATTGAGAAATTGCTTAATCCAGAAACTCTCTCAAAAAAATGGGAAATGTTTTATTTATAATTTATAATATTTTAGATAACCTAATACTAGTCAAGACGAAATTCTTATCATAAATACATTTTTCAATGCTCAATCATAATAAATAGATTAGATTTACATACAACCAACAGAGTTCTAAAAAATTAATAATAAATCTTATATTTCCTTAATTGGTTGGATAGATTAACATGTCTAATAAAAGCATAATCCTCTCAATTAATTTAAATCAATTTTGAAGGTATTATAAAACATTTAATTAGGGATCAAATGCAGTTTTTACTAAGGATGGTGCAAATAGAAAATTTGGGCTAAAATCTTTTTCGGTTAATAAAGAAAATATACCTGAAAGTGTACCTTAAAGGAAAAACACTCCTTCTCAAAGATCTACTTAAAGAAGTACTAGCAATTCAAAATAAATGCAATAACCATTGATTGCCTAGCCATTTATAAATTAATCTTAAATTCCTACTTCAAATCTTTAGAATTAAACAACGAATCATAATTAAAAGATTCTGACAAAAACTTTTTAAATACTTCCTCCTTCAGGATAAAACTCAAAAAAATAATTAATTATTTAAAAAGAAAATAATTACCAGAAAAAAAATAGTTCAAATTAAGTAGTCTATCCAGTAAAGATTTTAAGACCAAAAATGCCTAACTTTGATAATATTTGATATATTTTTCATTTATTTGTATTTATTATTTTATGTTTTTTAAAAATATTCATGATAAAATTCAGAAATCAATTTTTCATTTAATAATCTAGTAAACTGATTATGAAAAGAATCAAAGCTATAATGATATAAATAATAAAATTTGAGTTTAATATATATCAAGATGAACTAATTTGAAAAACATTAATTTGAGTGAATAAATATATTAGTAATTTATAAATTAAAAGGCAATAAATTCTTAATTATAAACAATAATTTCTTCATAAATTACGTCAAAATGTCTTCTTTAAAAAGTCTTGTACTTTTTTCCTCATTGTTCCTCCTTGTTATTGGATAGACTTGTATTGATCATAGCGGAAATGCTATAGATTGGTGGTTTATTTTGAAAATGCCAACAGATAAAACTTTTAGTGTAAGAGGTAAACAAATTTTATTAAAGAAAGGAATGGATTATTTGTATTGTGATGCTTAAAATAATTGTGGAACTTTTGATTGGTAAACCGACCAACTCGATGATTTAACATCACCATTATAAAGAACTATAGCCTAGATCGATTTTCATAATGATAATATTATGAGTGTTTTATGGAGTGATTAACCTTGGAATAAGAATACTATCTCAGATAGAGCTCATTCAAAGGGTATTTTGAGTGCCAATATAAATGGAGATGCATTTCTTATCTCTCACTCAACTCCAACTTTCCCAATGCTTGATGACGCATACGAGTAAAAAAACATTTTAAATTATTTTAGTTAAATTGTATTAGGTATGCCTTCTTCTTCTTAAGTTTATGGCCAACATTACATGTGCTTGTCTATAACTACTACTGAAGCTAATAGATTGGCAACAGAATATATTATAGCTGAAACCTTAACAAATCGTGCTAATAGTCCTGCTGCATTTGCCACAGCATTCCCTCAATTATATCAGTTAAAAACAAATTCAAGAACTAAAACTTATAAAACAGAATCTGGAACTGTATTATCAGTAATTTTATTAATTTATATTATAGGCTGCATTATAAGACTCTATTAAAATCTCTTCCAAAGGAGGATTTACTTTAACTGCTTATACTAAAAATGAAAATCTTATTGAAGACTTTTATGCTGATGTTGTAGCTCCTGCTTTAGGTATAGATTTGATAATGGAAACTTGGGGTAATGGAACTGGTGGTCTATAGGCACCTGTTTGTGATTAAGTTCCTAAATCTTATTCTAATTTAGTCAGATAACATGGAGTACATTTTTTATATTTATTTAGGCATTTTCATTTTCGTACACTAAAGATCATTCAAAATATGGCATTAGTGCAACCTCAACAAATGTTTGTTTTTGTGATTTGAATAGATAAACAACATAATAAAAAAGAGGAGGTGTTGTTTATTGTTTCTAACATTAAAGTTTATGGAGCCTTATCAATCAATCATTCATAAGTAGACAAGCATGTTGATTTAATTACAAAAATTAAATTTTTTAAAAATAAAAAACCATTTTAATTTATTTTTATATTTTATAAAATGCTATGCTGTTCAAATGCCAAAAAATAAACAAAACCTTTATAATAGTCAAATGCTATATTATTACAAACTCATCTTAATTAATAAGTATTTATACAGTAAATTATACTAGGAAGAATCTCTTAATATAAATGACGAAGCTTGCACATTTCACACAATTATATAAATTCAACAAGTTAATACAATTTAGACATATAAAATTACATTAGATCATTAAACCATAAGGTATTTTTATTATTAATTAAATATAGTAGGTCTAATACTCGTGGAAACAATGATCGAGTTGCCTAATCAGTTGTTGTTTAACCAATTAGAAAAACACCATTTTTTATTTTTCAAAAAAGTGGAACTCATTCTTAAACTAAATACCTATCAACTAAGTCAGGATACACACTTCTATTAACAGCTCTTTTAAATTGATCTCTAACTTATTTTTCCTTTTTTTATTTTCATAAATGCGTAATATTAAAATATTTAGTCTCAATAAATATATTCTAATTGTTATTTTTAAGATATTTTTAACTCATAATTATTTCATATAAGTTAAAATTATGAATTTAGATTTCTCACTGTCAAAACACATAACTGTATTAAATTCGATAAAATTAAGTTAATTATTTTAGATTAATTTTACAACATAGAATAACTTATTATTAATAAATTATAAATTATTAAAACCTGTTGTAATTCTTTTAAGTCATAATCAAACATTCTATTTCTTTGACATTTTGCTTTTTTTACATATTGATAAAGCCTTTTATAATTATTTGCATTGATAAATCATTAAGAAATAATATTTAATTATTTTATTAAGAGAAATACCAAAAATAAATATAATAATTTGATTTCTCTTTTTTTTTTTAATTTTAATTTTAATTTTTTTCATACTAAATAATAATATTGAAATATCATTTTCATAAAGTTCAGAGGATATGAAATATTTTTGGAAAATATTTAAATCACATGAATTAATAATATTATCTTAACTTAAAATTTAAATATTTTCGAAAAATTACTTTTTTAACAAATATTATATATATAAGAGTTTGAATTTATATTTCAATCATAAATATGATTGAGTTGAAATAATTCTAGTTTTGATTTAGAAGAATAGAATATAAGTTTGCTGCATTTTTTAGATTTAAATGAGCATATGTTAAAAAATTAAGTATGTCATAAGTATTATAAAATTATCAAATAATAATACTCAAGAAGAATTTCAAATAGATTATACTTTAGAAAGGAATCAATTTGCAATAGATAATATTTTTAACTTTAGTAGTGATTTGAAGCTGCATTTATTAGGGTAGATTTTAGATTTGCTTATTAGCTTTCCAGAAAGAAAATAATTTAAAAAAAATAAATCTTCTTATTTTATTTATAACTTTTCATATAACAATATATTTATATAATTCTAGCTTTTTTTCTCTCTAGAAAAAAAATACATTATGAGTTCAAATTCTATAAATGTTTAGACCTTCTAAAAACAAAATGAAAAAAGATTAAATAATAGATTTTACTCTATTCACTTCTATTTTCCAATAATAGAAACTTCAATTCTTTATACATTTAGATAATAATATTAAAGAACTCTTGATGATTTAAGTCAAAATAAAAAAACAACTTAAGGATGGAAAAATTATAAACTATTATTTAATTATTTAATATCAATTATTAAAGGTAATCTTGAAAATTTATATTGGAATATTTGTTCATAAATTGAATTAATAAAACAAATAATTTTCTATCAAGCCAACATAACAATTATTGTAAAATATTATTCAAATGTCTGAAATAAAAAGAAATATAGTAAATAAAGTAAATTAGGAATAATTTAAGATTTAATAATTTGAATTTTTTAGTAAAATAAGTAAAAATTCCAATTTAAACATTTTTAAGAGTATATTTTATTCATGAGAATAAATAATTTATATTTTAATTAATCTGAGAAATCAAACTTTTATCAACAATTATCCAAAAGTAATATTTTTTTGATGTTTTTTTAGAGGTGCGTTGAAGATATTTCTAACAGGAGCTTTTTTTGGATATGGTTTAGTTCTAGATTAAGTAGTTGGCGAAATATTAGTAAGATTGAATTTTGAAAAAGGGTTGCTATTTTATAATGGTAGGAGTTTAATTTTTGGTTTTTTTCTTTTTTCATCTAACAATTTATTAGAAGATATAGGAGAACATCTACTGATATTATTGATAAATGGAGATATGTTGTTAATAGTGATTCTTTGTTCTGTTTTGTTTTGTTTATGATATTTGGAACAGGGTGCCATAAAATCTTTAATTTTGCTTTATCCTAATTATGATTTATCAACTAAACTTTGTAGAGTTCTTGGATTATATTTTAAAATATTTTTATAGGTTTTTTTTGTATTAGAAATAGTTACTTATTTAATATTAAGGATATTTTCATCTTCTGTTTGTTCATCTTCTTCTTCATCTTCTTATTATAAAATATGAAAATTAACTATATTTTAAGTAGATTAATCTTCGTTTTTTTTATCATCTTCTTCAAATTTATTAAGTCTAAGTTTAATTATGAAATCATCTTATGAACCAGTTTTTTTGATTAATTTAATTTTTCCATCATCAACTAGTTATAGTCTAAGAATTAATTATGATTCAAAAGGAGCTGTAATAGGTAAATAGAATGTTTTAAGTCTTTGAGAGAATGTTTAAAGTTTTAAATTTTTTTTATCAGTAAAAAGTTTATGAGGAGAAAAGGAATTGTACCTATGAAAAATGATGGAAGACTTTTAATTATGTTTAGTAGGAGTTTAGACAGCTTCAATAGAATATAGACTTGATTGATTAGATATATTATTAGCCTTATGATTGTAAAATACAGTATTATGATGCCTATTTGATTTTTTTTTTTGTTAATATTATTGTTATTACATTATATCGATGATAGTTTTCTTTTAAATGAGATGTCTTTTATTACTCATTTTGATTCGTTTTCTTTACTATAATTTTTCTTTTTATTCTTTTTGTTTAATTATGATATGATGATAGGGTTGAAACAATGGTAGTATTGTTGTTACATATAACATTTTTTTATTGTATAATCCACAATCTAAACATTCACAAGAACGTTTTCTATTAAATTTGATAAAGGAATGGATAGGATATTGTTATGTATTGGTTTTGAATGATTATGAAGATAATCGATTTATCATATTAATTAATTATTATGGTAAAAGAGTTTAAATTAAAATTATATTAAGTACATATAATAATAATAATGAATAAAATATTTCTTTTATATGAATTAAATTTCTCCGGGTAATTTGGAAGCAGTGATTAAATTAAAAAATATTTATTTAAAATATGAGTTTGGCATTTGATGATTATGGCAGACCTTATATAATATTGAGAGAGCAAGGATCAAAGAAAAGAATGAAGGGATTGGAAGCATATAAAAGCAATATATTGGCTGCTAAAGCAATAGCTAATACTTTATCATCTTCTCTTGGTCCAAAAGGTATGGATAAGATGTTAGTATCTGCTGATGGAGATGTATCTGTAACAAATGATGGTGCAACAATAGTAGAAAAAATGGTAAAAAATAATTGAATAATAAAATAATTAGGAAATATAACATCCAACAGCAAAATTATTAGTTGAATTGTCATAATCATAAGATGCAGAGATAGGAGATGGTACAACAGGAGTAGTTGTATTAGCTGGCAAATTATTAGAATAAGCATTAACATTGTTAGATAAGGGAATACATCCATTAAAAATTAGTGATGGATTTGATAGAGCTTGTGATGTTGCTATAAGTTAAATTACATATTAAATTTAGAACATTTGGATTAAATTGCTGAAGAAATAGATATTTAACAAAATGATCATGAAGCACTTATTTAAGCTGCATGTACTGCTTTAGGATCTAAAGTTGTATCAAAAAGAAAAAGAGAACTTGGAAAGATAGCTGTAACTGCTGTTTTAGATGTTGCAGATCTTACAAGAAAAGATGTCAATTTAGATTTGATTAAAATTTAAACTAAAACTGGAGGCAGTGTTGAAGATACCAGACTAATTTCTGGTATTCTTATTGATAAAGATATGAGTCATCCATAAATGAAAAAAGAAGTAACTGATGCTAAAATTTGTTTATTAACTTGTCCATTTGAACCACCAAAACCTAAAACTAAACATAATATTAATATTTCTAATGCAGAAGATTATAAAAAACTTTACTAATAAGAATAATAATACTTTGTTGATATGGTTAAACTTGTTAAAAATAGTGGTGCTAATATTGCATTATGTTAATGGGGATTTGATGATGAAGCAAATCATTTATTATTATAGAATGAATTACCTGCTGTAAGATGGGTATCAGGTACAGATGTTGAATTAATTGCAATGGCTACTGGTGCTAGAATTATTCCTAGATTCTAAGAAATTACACCTTAAAAATTAGGAAAAGCAGGATCTATTAGAGAAGTTCAATTTGGAACATCTAATGAAAGAATGCTTGTAATCGAAAATTGTTAATGCACTAAAGCTGTTACAATTCTCATTAGAGGGGGCAGTTAAATGATTGTTGATGAAGCTAAAAGATCTATTCATGATGCCATTTGTGTCATTAGAAATTTAATCAAAGATAATAGAATAGTTTATGGTGGAGGGTCTGCAGAATTAGCTTGTGCTCTCTAAGTTTTATAATATGCTGATGAAGTACATTTATTTTAATATTTATTTTAGGTATCTTCAGTTGAATAATATGCTGTAAGATCATTTGCTGATGCTCTAGAAGGAATTCCTAATTGCTTAGCAGATAATTGTGGTCTTAATCCAATTACATCTGTAGCTCAAGCAAAATCTAGATAGTTAGCAGAAAAGAATCCTAGAATCGGAATTGATTGTATGGAATTAGTATTTCTTTCAATTTTATTTTGTAGGGTACAAGCGATATGAAAGAATAAAAAATTTATGAAACTTTAAGCTCAAAGAAATAATAAATTTAATTAGCCACTTAAGTTGTTAAAATGATTTTGAAAATAGATGATGTAATTGCTCCTGATGACTATTGAGTATTAATAAAAAACAAATGTTCAAAAATACAAATTATTTAATACATCTTCCAGATATCGAAAAATTCAAAACTTCTTTAATTATAATCAATATTTTTTTTTGGATGGAGTTATTTTAGAAAGAACAAGATTGTTTTCCATTATGACTTTATCCATTTCATTTTTCCAATACTAAATTACATTTACTCTATACTTTAACTTCAGTTTACAAATCTTAATACTATTTATTCCATTCATCTCTCAATCTTCTCTCTTTTTCTTCTTTTCTTTGAATTTATTTCTCCAATTACTTTATTTTACTTTAAAGACATTAGTTTTCATATTCTAATTATTTACATCGATCCAAATTATCGTCCCAATCTTACAATTTCACTTCTAAATCAATTAATTTTTATCTTAACTCCTAAAAATTTAAATTAATTAATAATACTTTCTCTTTAACAGAAGACTTTTTTTAATTTAATTTATTTTTCAAAATCTCTATTTCTTCCAAATACAATTCTTCTTTTGTTGCCATATCTTTTAATTTCTTTTAAAGTTCTTAAGCAAATTTAGGTTCCGATATTCTTTAACTCTAATTCATCATTTCCAATTACTACAATTATATTTCATACTTCTATGTTAATTCCTTCTCTTTATCTTTTATCATTTCTCAATAGTTTATAATATATACATTCATAATATTATCTTAATTCTTCTTGCTCACCATTGTATTCCTATTAATATTGATATAATTTATTTAAAGCATCTTTTGCTATTTCACTCTGTCCTTGTAATTCTTCTAATAAATTTAGTTCTGTCTATTTAAGTTAATGTATTGTCTCTTCATATGTCTATATGAGTTTATCATATTACTCTCTGAATTTAATAATTTGAATATTTACTTTGTAGTATTGAAACTATCAATATATTATTAATTTGCTTAATCATCTTACAATTACTATCGTAATTCTTAGATTTATTTCTCATATTCTTTCATTTTTTTTGTCAACTTATTTTCTTGATTTTTTAGATTAGTTTATGATTTCTTTTATGTTTGACTTTTTGGTTTACCTTAATTCTTTCCATTTTATTATTTTTGAACATTTCCTGGTTTATTTAGAATTGGCCCTAAATTTTAATATATTTCAGATTCTGAATTGGAAGTATCAATTTTCCTTCCTCTTGATTATCTCATAGAAATTATTAAATTAAATAATAATTTTAATTAACTATCTGTTTAAACATGCCTCTTTGATAAAAATAATCAAATAAGTTCAACTTCAAATGAATTTGTCGAGCCATTATACACTAACAAGGCTGGAAATACATCTGTTTCATCTTCTTCAATTTCTTGATTTATACTATTTATTAATAACTGATCAATATTACATCTTTTACTATTCTAATCTCTTCTTTTCCTCTAATTCTGACTTCTTTGGTAATTTAATTCCTATAAATTAACAAGTTATATTATTGATTTGCTTTTAAGTTGATGTAATTTTAACTGGTTACATGTAACTTTGATGATTAGCGACATTAATTGTATTTCTTTGTGGTTAAATTCCTTTTTGATTTGCAGGCCAACTGAAAAATTATTAAAGCTCACATCTTTCATTTTGTAATTCTGATGTTTTATATAAAATCATTTTATCTGCAAAAATCAAATAATTGTCATATTAATTATACAAATTTAGAGTTTCTACCTTACTTTACTAACATTTTTATTATGAAAAATCATAACAAAAGTAATTAGCCATCTTTTTTTCATCTTTTTCCTCCTAATTTACGACAAGTATTTAATTATTATTAAATATATGACAAAATGCATTAGCTTTTAAAAGTTCAATTTTATGATTTTAATATATAATATTTGATGTTATTGAATGGCATATTTTGGCTAAAATACTTTAATTTAAATATCTTACTTCCAATCATAATAAGGTCTTTATCTCCAATTTATATCAATCGAGCAGGGCCATCTATTTTAAAATTTGGTAATGATAATATAAAAAATTATGGATCCATATTTTGAGAAGGATTTTAAAAAATTTAATTTAAATCTCCTTTGTATAAGGTTGATATGTTCTATTTTGTGTAAAGGAAATATATATTATATTCTAATAACACAATTTATTATAGAATTCCATGAGTTTATGATCTCAATTTTTATCTTATTTTAGGATTAGTAGAATCTATCAATGATAAACTCACATTTATTTTATATGCATGATAAAACAGCAATAACTTATTGTTTATAACTCCTATTAAAATTGGTAGTTTTTCGCGTTCTGGAAGATGTTTAAGATAATTAAAATAAGTTTGATTTCTCTTTAATATTAAATTTAAAAATACCTCTTGATTCATTTCTTAAATCTTATTCATAGTTAGACTTTGATCTTTTCTCAACCTTTCATAGTATTTTATTTATAATTGTTTCACTTCTTCATCTGTACTTATTGTGTCAAATGTGTAATGTTTCCTTTTCATCTAAATGATCGTCTTGTTTATTTTATCATAAACTAATTATTTCTCATTTTTTTATTCAAGCATAACAATCAATTGACTATCCTATTCAATTTAGTTGCTTTAAATCTGACAGACTGGACACACTTAAGGTCTTTAAATATCTTCTTAATTAAATTAGCACCCTACATCTAGATGGACATAAGGATTGTTTAATGACTAAAGACTACGTTGACTGAATTCGAACTTAATCTAAAACTAAGGTATATTAGCCATTCTATTAATTAAATAAATTAATTTATTAATCATTCAAAAATATTCATTAAATTTCTAATTCTATTATGCTATTTTTTATTCTGAACTTCATTAAATTAGATATAAAAAGTTCATTATGATTAAAAAAACATTATGTTATTAAATAACACTAAGTATTAAATAACAAAAAATAATATTAGAATTTTTTAATATAAAAAGATATTATAAATTGATTAATAATAATCAATTCGATTAAAAAAATAATAAAAATTATATTTTTAATACTAAAAATCATCATATTAACTAAATTTAATAAGATTAAGGATTCAAATAAAATAGAATAATAATTTTTTCAGAAACAACCATCTATTTTTAACTCTGATATCATTAATTGTTTAATTACAAAACTTTAAAGTTTTAAGGTTTCTTCATTTTAAATATTATTTAATAACTTAGAAGTATCTTTTCGGACATTTTTACTATTTTACTTTAACTTCCATCTCCTATATGGATATTTAAAGCCTTCTATTAATTAGCATATATCTGTTTTTTTTTAATTAGATGTAATGTGGATTAATCTATTAAATGATTATTGTAAATCATTCAATAATTATGAAGTTGATAAATTTTCAAAAAAAGAAAAATTGTTTTTTTTATAAAAAATATTTTTTTTATTAAGACTTTCTCTAAATAATTACTGTGATGTATAATTAATGATTCTAATAATAGGATTAAATAAAAAAATAACCACACAAGTAGTAATAAATAAAGATGAAAGCATATAAAGAATAAAGCCTAATATAGTACCAACTAATATGTTGTTTAATTAAGATTAGAAAGTATTAAACATATTCTTAAATTCCATTTAATATTTAGAGAGTTTGGTTTACCTAAAATATCTCTTCAATTTTACATAATTAAAATCAATCCTGCTGCCTCCATATTTTTAGTACTAATAAGTTCTTCTTCTTATTAATCATAAGTTTTTCTACATAAATAACCTTAATTCTTCCAAACAGTGGAATTACAATTACTTTCTGTGTCTTAACCCTTGGCCTAATTTACAATCTGTTAATAATCTTGATATCCTAGATTAGTAATGTTAGAATCATATATATTTGAATATTAAGTGACATTCAAAGAGCTTAATAATATTCGACCTGTAGGATTTATTATTGTAAAACTAACTTAGTCATCTGAATAATTAAATTAGCTGAAATTAACATGAGAAGCTATAACTCCATCAAGTTATCCGTTTGTATTTAATAAACTTTTGGTTTAAGCTATCATTAAGAGATTCCAAGTCCAATGAATATGAGGTTCACTAAAATAAGTTAGATTATGGTTATTATGCAATTGCAATTGTTCTAAATGTTATACATACCAGATTCTATCTTAAGGATTATAATCATTAGATAAAAAAAACCCAGGCCAAACTGTGAAAAAATGTATATCATTTGATGAGGCTAGTATAATATCAAAGTCTTAGTCTAAAAAAAGTACAGATTCTGACAAAAATGAGCAAAGATTTTTAAGATTCTATAGGACTTTATTCGGTTTAGTATCTTTATAAATCATATAACAAAAAGATGCACTATAAGCATATACATCCAAAAGATTATACTCATTAAGACACGAAGTTGGTTATTATAATGAACTTTGCATTATTTACTGAGTCATTTAATACAAAGCATTTACCTTAACAATTTGTTGTTGACTTCTAAATAAGGTCTATTATACTCTTTGGATGTTATGTGACATCATTATTTTTGTCCATTTTCCAAATTATTTTTAAAAAACATGTTCTGATGTTTCCATATAGAATTCAGAAATATAATACATTGTAGAATAAGTTGAGACAGCAATTAAACCTATTGTAAAAATTGAAATGCCAAATTAGATCATACAGATTTAAGTTCGTAAATGCCAATCCTTCCAAAACATTTTGCCCATAGTATTAAATTATAATAAAAATTTCTTTTAAATAATTAGAATAGCAGTAGAAAACAATTAATATACAAGATAGATTATTTAATTCATTTTAAAATAGACCTAATATAGAAATGTTATCTAAAATAACAATAAATTATTTTATAAATGTTAAATTATTTTTGCATTCGTTAATTAACTTTGAGGAAATTTTTTTTTTAATTTTTAAAATATAAAAAAATTGTAAATAAATTATGCTAGTGTAAATAAAAAATAAATCAATTTTCAAAAAAAGTCCAATCTTCCAATTTATTTTTCGTGCTGTTTTTGCTGAAAGTAATTTTTCTTGGTTCTTAAGGTTCATGTTTAAAAAGAGGTTTTGGTGGTTTTAATTTTTTATGAAAGCAATCTTGCCAATTAATATCACAAAACCAAGAATGAGATTTGATTTCTTTTGCATCTTCTTTGCTTCCTAATCTTTTTTTTGGGTTTCTTATAAGTAATTTGATAATAATGTCTTTTGCTTCTTAACTTAAACTTTTTGGAATTCTTAATGGAGCTCTTTTAATATTTTCTTTGAGAATTTCTTTTTCAGAATCATAATAAGGAGGAGCTCCAACAAGTAATTCATATATAAGAATACCTAACATATACCAATCAACCTATCTTCCATGACCTTTTTTCATTAACATTTCAGGAGCTAAATAAGCTAAAGTACCACAAAAAGATTAATTTAAAATTTCTTCATCTATACCTGATTTTGAAAGTCCAAAATCAGTTAACAAAGCATGACCATTAGCATCTAAAACAATATTATCAGGTTTTAGATCTCTAAATATAATTCCTTAAGAATGTAATGCTTCAAGAGCTAATGTTATTTCAGCTGCAAATATCTTCACAGTATTCTCAGAATATGAATTTAATAATGATAAATGAGTTGCTAAATCACCTCCTGAACATAAATCCATTACTAGATATAAATGATCAATTGTTTAAAAAGCCCAATTTAATTTTACAATAAATGGATGATTCATCATTTTTAAAACATCTTTTTCTATTTAAGCTGATTTTATAATATTTGATGTATTCATATCCTATTTCTTTAAAATTTTCATAGCGTATTATTTTTTTGGTATTTAACCTATTTTTTCAACCAAATAAACTTCACCAAATCCACCTTCTCCTAATTTTTAATAAAATTAAAAAGACTATGGTCCTATTTTATTTTATTTAATTTCTTAAGAAGTATTAAAATTATTTCCTTTAAGAGAAATTCTATAAAAGGATACAGAAGAATCAACAAATTGATTCTAAGTTGATTAATAATTATCTGTGATAATTGATATTCTTTATTTATCATTATCCAAAAACTCTTCTGCATTAGATAATAATTTTATTGCTTATTATTTTGTTAATTTTAATAATTTTTCAACATGATCTCTTCTGCTATTTTATAATATTAGATTTAATTCTTTTATCACTGTTCTTGAATAAGTAAAAGTGTTTAAAGATATTCCATATTTATCAAAAACTTATATAATATTTATATCTGAAGCCAATTCTATTGGAGTTAAGTTTTAATTATTTTTTGATTGATGATTTGCGTGTTTTTCCAATAATATTTAACAAACTTTATCATTTCCATATCTAGAGGCTATATGTAATGGAGTATTTAAATCAGAATCTTATTCATCTATATTAGCTCCAGAATTTATCAATAATTCACAAATTTTTGGGTCATTCTTTATTGAAGAAATATGCAATGGAGATTTTCTATCTAAAGACAACATCTTTGGATTGCCTTCTTATTCTAGTAATAATTATACTAATTCTAAATTGCTTTACTAACAAGCAAAATGAAGTGGAGTCCAATCATCTAAATCTCTCTAGATTTTTATTATTTATACTTTATGTTAAAATCAATGTAGATATTAGAATGACCAAGTAATTTCAATACCTTATCCTTTTTATTTTGTTGAACAAACTATAGTAGTTATTCACTAATTTTTCTGCTTTGTTTCCAATAATTTTTCCATGCCCCTTCTTTTTAATCCAAAATTGGAACTGTCAAATTTTCTTAATTCCTATAATCAATCTTAACTCCAGTGTCTTTATTTAATATAATACGCTCTTTATTATCTTCACTTATTTTCTTTATTGAGAGAACCACATCTTATGAATATGCTTTTTAAAATGCATCATAACATTCTTGCGAAAACCTAATTTAATAATTTATATTACTAAGAAATTTATGAAACAGCAAATTCCTTCTGATCAAATAAATCAAACTAATTTAACGATTCTGACACGTAACGAAATCTTTATAATTTTTGCTATCATAAACTCGCACAATTACTTCTTTAGACATTGAAAAAAAATATTTTATTCAAGAGAAATAAAGTTATTTAAATATAAAATTCCGTTCAAATAAAAAATAAAATTAATAATTACTTGAATACTTGCTCATATAAATGTAACAATTGTTGAAAGTTAAAAAATTTAAAAAAAGAGTTAAATTTTACAATAAATTATGTGAAATTCAATTTTATTAATCTAATATTTTAGTAGTTAACCCCTTTGCAGTAGATCTGGCAGCCATCTAATTTAATTTAATTTAATTTTATACATTTTATGAAGCCATCATAACAGACTTTTAAGATGGACTTGTTGTCATTCTTCCAAGATTATCCTATTAGAACTTTCTTCTAAGTTCCTCAATTTCTCTTTATTTAGCTGCTATCTCATCAAATTTTTTATTTAATTATTGTTCCATATTACCTAATTATCTGTTTTTAGTTTCCATATCATCATTTCTAAATATAATTTATAAAAATATTACAATCTTTAAATTTCTCTTTTTTATTTAATGACTAATTCACTATTTTATTAATCTCTTGATTCAATATCCTTTAATTAATTTAGCGTTCTTTATTATTCTCTTTTCAAGTTTTCTAAGTCTGTGCTCATATTATCATTTTCTTTCTTCTTATTAACTAATTATTATTGAATATCTTAGAAATTTGATTTATACTATGATAATTCATCTTACAAATGATAAATTTCTTTGTTATTAGCTTATTATTGTGTTTCTAATTTATTGATCAATTGTTCTTAATCCATTGATTTATTTTTATATTATTCAGCTTCTTTTTTAATTTAATCATAATCAGACAAGGGAACATTATTTTATTTAAATTATCTTTTCCATTAATCCATTTCTTAAATCTTAGCCTCTCTATCTTATCTAGTTTCTTCTAATTCATCATTTAATTCTGTTACATCTTTTGTTAATTATTAATTCTAAGCATACTATTCTTCTAATTAGCTTTATAGTTCAGCAATCTATGTATCATTGTTTTATATTTATTCTTCATTTTAAAGAATAATTTATTAGTTCTCTTCAATTAATTTTTGAAAATTAATTATTTATTCCTATTATTTTTTAATTTATTCTGTAGTTGTAATAGTTTATGATTTTAAATCCTTTTCAAATCTATCTCTTTCAATTGTAAGTTTTTAGATTTAACATTATTATTAATAATTTTGATCATCTAATTCTTAGATTTTAGATCTTTACTAAGCCATCTTCTCAAAAATAATTTTGATTTATTGTTCTAATTCATTTTTCTCATTAATAAATTAGATTCTCTAACTTTCTAAAATATCATCTCTTTCTCTCACATCACTTGATAATCTATCAACCTCTACTTAATATTCTTTTAATTTTTATTGTAAATCAGATAATTAATTTTTTTATATCCTTAAAGTTGTTTAATTATATGTTTTTTCTTTATTTAATTAAACACTTAAATCCTCAGACAAAGTAGATTTCTATAAAAATTCTTGTCTTGTTTCTTCAAGTTATTATAATAAAGCAGCATTTTATTCTTCTATTCCTGCAATTTTAACTTATAAAGATTTAATATTTGATTCATTCATTAACTTATCTTATAACTATTTAAAACTTTAATTTTAATGTTCATTTTCCATTCTTTCAATTTCTTAATTTAATTCAGTAATTTTTTATTCATTCAATTATTAAGCTAATTGAAACTCTTATTCTTTTTATCTTAAAATTCCTTTACTTCTATCCATCATCCTTTATTCAAAATCGCTTCTTGTTTATTTGAAATCATCTAATTAAGATTTATATAATTATAATGCTTATTCTGTTTAAAGTAAACGCTATTGAAGAACAATACATTAATCAGATGATTAATTTGAATTAATTGATAAATCTTTGAGTTTTTTTTCCTTTTCTATTAATTCCTATTCTTGTTGTTAATTTGTGTGAGTCAATCTTTATATCTCTTTCTATTATAATTGATTTACTGATCTTAATTCTTAAAGTTGTTTCCAAATTTCTTAATTTTATTATGTTAAATTTTAAATAGATTATTCATGTTATTAATATAATTTACTAGTTTACTCTTCTGCCTATTAGTCTTTACTTTGAACAAGATTAGTAATACTTTCCTCATATTATTTTTCCAATCTAATATACTTCTCTTTAGAAATATCTAAATCTGTTGTTGTTCTACTTAATTCTATTTAAAATTATTCTATTTTTTTTAATAGTAACTATTCTTATAATTCTTTATCAGCTATTATCTACTTCTCTATAGTTTATTATTTCTAGAGTAATTCGATTTATTATTTTTGTTCATTTATCTTAATTATATATTCTTAAATTTATTATTTACAATCTAATAACTATTCTTATGTCTATTTTTCTAAATGTTCATTCTCTCTCAATCTTTCAGTTTACAATTTGCTAAAATTATCATATTATTATTTTTGGTCTTGTAATTTCGAATTCATCTCTATTATATACTTATTCATCAATGACTGTTAGAGTTATTCATATTATTCTCTAAATTTTAGCATTAATGCATTACTTTAAGTTTTCTAGAGATGATTAATATTATTTATTCTGTTAGGCTAATTTTTACTTATTAAGTTCGTTCTCTTATAACTTAAATTGTAGATCTCCCTTTAGTAATTCATTTTCTTTTAAAAGTCTCAAATATTCATTGTCTTGTGTTTCCTTCATCTAATTCTGAAGATGTAAGTTTTTATTTGCCTTTTCTAATTCTAATAGGGTTTCATCCAATTATGATTACAATTCTAAAATTACAAAAAGGTTTTCTACTTGCATTTATCTTATCCATTTGCAGTAGTTTTTCCTTATACTTAAGATCTTGTAATTTGAGTGTTTATTCAGTCTACATACGAGTTCTAGATAATGGAGACACGGATGGTCGATTTGGAGAATGGTCCATTCTGTTAAATTATTTTTAAAATAATCGAATATTTGTTTATGATAAAGTTTATTTTTTTTATATATCACATTATATGGATTTGAAATCATATTAAATAGAGATAAATTAATTCACTTTAAATGGAAACTTGGTTATAATCTTGGAAAATAAGATGATTTTTTTAATGGTTTGTAAATCATAATATCTTTACATAAATCTGATAACTTTATTTGTTTATTTAACAAATTATCTTAAACAAGAATTTCATGACAAGAATGTTTACTTTTTCTATTAGGGATTTCTTCTGCAAAGTATGAACTATGCCGAAGCCTTGTAGATTTTTAGATTTCCTTTTTAAAATTGAGTTGTTTTTAATTCAACTATTTGAAATAATCTTCCATTAAAGATTTGAAGGAATGCTCTTATTAATAAATTTTAGGAAATTTATCAAAATGATATTCATGATTTGCATCAATCCTTTTTTTTTATTCAATTGGTTAATAAATTTTTTTTGGTCTCAATTAAACTTAAGACCTACTCTTGTGTATTTGAATAGGAGAATTCAGCTCCCATGTATTTTGAATATCTTTATCTTCTAAATTTAATAATTAAGTTATAGCATTTTACTCCAATTTGTCCATTTAATCTATTTATTTTTAATATATATAAACTTTTCTCATATATAATTATAATCAATATAGGCTAATAGCCCTAAGATCAATCACATACTGTTTAATAATTTCTATTCAAGTAATTTGATCGTCTCAATCTAAAAATAGATAGTCTAAATAATTAATACATATTATTTAATTTATTATTCTTAACTTTATATGATTTTACTTGTTTATTCTTCTACTAAAAGTCTATTTTTTTTCTCTTCTGCCAACTATTTTTACAATTGATTATCAATATGAATAGAGGGTTGACAAAAATTAGAAGCACTATTGATATCTAGAGATAATAATTTAATTAATTTATCGCAATTGTCATTTAATTAATTTTACCATTATTGTAAAACATTAGAGCTAACTTAAGTCAATTTATTATTTGCCATTTGTTCTCCAATAAATTTTAGATTTTTAAGTATTTTGTTGATTTGATCATCTTCAAAACTTCTCAATCGTATACTTACATCTCCAAGGTCAGCACTTGTGTCTTGATTTTTTAATTTTTCCTACTGAATATTACGAGAAACATTATTGCTTTCTAATTTAGACAATTAAGATAAAGTATTAAAATGATAATTAGTTTTAAATGGAGTTGTTTTGGAAGGAGAATTTGGGGTTTCTACTCTAAATGTTTGAAATTCACACGATGTTTTAGATACCTTGTGCTATTACTTTTATGATTTTGCTTTGGTTGAAAGCAGCTAAGAAATGATTTAATTCTGATTGGAAAACATTCCTATTGATACTTTAGGAGTATTGAAATAGTTAGATTTACTAGGTTTGTTTGAGGCTTTGTTGTTTAACATATTAATATTTATATTTTGTTGTTTTAATTGATGTAAATGTCATAAGTATTTGTTGATTTCAACATTCTCCCATTTTGAACAAGGATATATGTGTTTAATCTTCTCATATCTGAACTTCTCGATAATTTTACATGTGGTGGACTTTTCAACTTCAACTTCATATTCTTATCCTTTTGCTTAAACCTAATTAAAACCAATTTAAAAATCAGATCAATACCTTTCTACGATCAAATGAAAAGATTAATGTACCAGATCTGTTTTTAACTTTATGAGCTATTAGATCATAAAAACTGAGCTTATGTGGTAAAATCATTCCATTAGCAACTATAATCAAATCTTCTGGACTAAACTCAGTAAGCTAATATATTATATATTAACAAAATATACAAATCCGAAATCTCTTATGATTTCTCGTCTAGCCATCTCAAGGAATTCCAAAATAGTCATTTTTTTTTTTATTCTTAATGATTTTGAACAGGTTGAAGCATCCCAATATTGGAATTAAATGTCAATTAAAGAATCCTTTTATGATTCAACTTCCTTTTAATATTATTCTAATCAAAATTTATCAAACATATACCTGCCAATTATTTAGTCATTTCTTCTATTTTCCTTTCTCTATTCATATCTGGCAAATAGGTTGTGTCAACTTGTTCATTCTTACCATAACCTTTCTATGGACTACCAGCTTCATCTAAATCAAAAGAGAGCAATGTAGTTTTCTTCTAGTATTCCACTTTTCGCTTTTATTTTAGTTCTAATTTTCGTTTAGTTTCTTCCTCCTGCTTTATTTTCATATCTTGCATAACAAGATTATCAATATTCTCCCTCTTTCTCTTAAATTCTTCACGCGTAACTAAACCTACAGTCTTTTGTTTAAATTCATCTTCCAAAAAGTCTTTATTTGATTAACCAAACCGCTCCTAATCACAGAGATTTCAATAATCCTTACTCTCATGTTTGTTGGTGCCCTCTTTAATATCATCATCTCTTAGTCTTTTTTCAATTTTTCAATCTCATTAATGTCTATGTCTTTATACATTTAATATTTATATATAATTCAGTGATTAATGCAATGTTTAGTAGGCAACCCCATAGATAATAATTGTATACATTATTAACATTTATTTTTATTACTTCTATTCTCTTTTTGCTCTGAGTTTTTTACTATTCTAACGGGTGAACCTTTTTTCTTTTTTGTGCATAATTATTATCTAACTTCAGCCTTTATTTATTGGATATTGACTCTAATTCATTTAGATGAAATTACATTTCAAGTGTTTTATGACTAGTCTTTATTTTGGCATTCTTTTCAATTTCTTTAGTTTTTTACTCAAATCTAATTCTTGCCTTAACTTCATTCAGATCTTCTTGTGTAAACAATTACGATTGTATTTTAATATTATCTGTTTGTTATTTGTTATCATCTATTTAAGAATATCTTCTAGTAATGAGAGATCGTTTACTAGATTATGTATATCGAGCCCAACGATCAAGTGTCTAACAATCCTCTATACTGTTGTCTTAATGGTGTTATTTTTATAGTAATTCATCAAAATCATTAAGAATTGCATTTAAGGAGAGCATGGTTTGTTTCTCCGTTATAATTTTGTTATTCATTAATAAAATGTTAAATAATACACAAGCTCAAATAATGGCAACATCATAAAATAGTAGGCTTTAGAATTAGTTTAGAATATTAGAAAAGTTGTTCATGAAGGTTAAATCACAATATGTTACATGCCTGATGCCCATATATATTTTGTAATGATAAATACTTATTGTCAAACAATCTTTCCAAGTACTCCTTGGGCGATATAAAAGCCAGAGAAAGAATTTTCTTTTTTTATATCCAAATGCAACATCAGGTATAGATAGAAATAGTATTTAGGATGAATAGAATATTTATTATAGAAAGGATAAAAAAGAGATGTATTCATAATTACACTTTAACAGTTAGTTTAAACAATACCCTTTGAAAATGCTGTCTACATCCCTTAATTCAAATAAAGCATTTAAATTCATTGTAAAGATATAATAAAGGATTTAAGGAAGGTAGGGAAATTTTTATTGCTAGTTGGGATGTTATGGGAATAGCTTTAACTGATTCAGGATCTGCGTTGTCTAAATTGGAAACTTATAATAGAGAAATTGTTGAAAAAAGAAATATGGAAATGATGTAAACCTATTTAGATCTAAAGTAATAATAATAATAATAATTATAATAATGTTTGCATAATAATATATTATTTTCATTCTTCTACTGCTTATTTGGCCTTCCATTCTTTTTCTTATTGAAGTGCGTAATCAATAGTACGCTAATTTAAGTGATTAAAAATTTACCCTCTTATTATTGTATTGATATACCCAAAGCCATGGATAATAGCATAGACAAAATATTGCAAAGGAATCTGTTTATTTATTTAATGATTTACTTGCAAAAATGTAGACTTACCAAGCCCAAGGATTATCAGCAACATTTCTACCAAGAAATCTCCAAAAGGCTTTTACTTTTGGATCACTATTCAAACGAGATACTACTTAAGGTTATCTGACTATTATAATTCTTATTCTGTACTGAAAGATGGTTTTACTGTTTATTAGTAAGGTATAGTTTTGAACCATTGAGGAGTGTAGTCTTTAATATTATTATAGATTAGACGACCGTATACCATATCCAATTATTAATTTAATTTATATGATTGATATCCAAATAATCAAAGAAGGAATAGGAGACACACCTAGATTATATGAGGAAGTTTTCTGTAAATATTATATAATTAAACATAGTCTTTTTTATTGCTCATAATCATAAAGGAGAATTACTCACAGGTTCACAACATACAGCTACTAAAACTATTATAGGAAGAGGTTGGCTTAAACCACAGATTGAGGAAACTCTTACTAAAATGAAGTAAGGAGAACGAAGTCTTATCAAAATTTATCATTCACCTGCTACTAAAGTAATCCTATTCAATATTTTATAGGAATTTTATGATCAATATGAAATCGAGATTATTAGAATTGGTAGAAAGAAAAATAATCCATGGCATTTAGAAGGAGAAGAAGTTTATGAAAGAGCTCTAGAATTAAAAGGATTAGGCAATTCTGATATTAAATAATAAAAATATCTAGAAGCTCAAAATAAATATTTAGAATCACTTAATTTAATTAAAACAGAATATTGTGATAGAGAATTAGAATTATCAGGACAATTAAGATCTAATCTATCTCTAACACATCTGAAAAATAAATAATTCGAATTGTGCATTAAATAAGCAACCACAGTCTTACAAGGATAACCGTAAAATGTTAAATTACTTCATAGAAGAGCTGTAGCTTCAATTTAAGTAGATGATTTTGATAATGCTAAGTAAATTATATTAAAATATTAATATATTAGAACTGATTTAAAATTAGCTAATCAATTGGACCCATAAAATGAAGAAGTGATTAAAGAATTATAGAGTATTGGAGAAAAAGAAAAATAGATTAAGAAGAAGTAATAAGATAGAGCTAAAAAAATGCTTTTTGGAGAATGAAACATTAATAATAATATGTTGATATTAATACTTTTTACAATATGTTAATCAGTTATAGTGACTTTGGATAAAACTTGTTTATGCACTGAAATCTTTGTAGAAAGTGATTGCATAGCATTTGGATGTTAATTCTAATAAAAATTATGTACAAATTTAGGGTGCACTGAAGTTAAATCGAGAGTAGAATGTGATTCAAGATTTGATTGTTCTTTCGATCACAAATCTCAAACTTGTTCTGCTTTTTCATAATGCAATGCATATTATGTAGATGTAGAGGAACAATGTTACAATAAAGGTAATTAAGTAATAGGATGTGTATCAAGTGGAAAAAAAACAGAAGGTTATTATCAATGTACAAATTATCTGGCAAAACAAAAAGAATACGTAATTTGTTCTGATTAACTTACTTCAGCAGCATGCAATGGTGTATAAGTAGATGGTTATGAGTGTGTTTGGAAGAGCATAAGTAATTAATGTATAGCATTCCAATTAAAAAATTGTGATGATGCATCAGATTTAAGTGAATCCTTATGTGATATATCTAGTTGCATATGGTTAAATAATGAATGTGAAGAGAAACAGTGTAAGGATTTTACATCTCAAAGTTCATGTTAATACATTCCTCATTTGGATGGTAATTCATTCACTATTTGTTCTTGGTCAACTAATTCATGTGTAGAATTGAATAGTGTTTCTTATCTTTCATAAAATAATTGTACTAATGTCACCTTAGGAACACATTTTTGGAATAATGTAAAAAATAAATGCATTGAATGTGAAGGATTTGCACAATTATTTTTATTGAATTTAATTTTGTTTATCACATCATTCTGAATCAAAATTAAAATATAAATATTAATTTTTTAACAATCTATTAATGAAATAAATTACAGATAACGACACATACTCAGTTGATGGTATCAATTTACATTAATCATAAATAGGCTGGAATTTTGATGAATAGTTCAATTTCATTAAATATACTAAGTTTGTTATTCCTTTTGCTATCCTAATCAATATTTATCTGATTGTAATTACTTTTCTATACTAACCCATCTATCCACAATACTTCTATGAAACATTACTCTACTCTTCCATCTATGGAATATGTTTATCACTTTTTAATCTATTTTGGAAATAAGAAAGTAAAATTATATTAAACTTTTAGAGGATTCCATTTTCAGATAATTATCATTTGTTTTAAATGGTTTAATGATTATTTTAGCAATTTCCTTGATCATTTTCTTTATTGCTTCCTTTGATGCTGATTATAATTACAAAATCGGATCAGATTCAAATTATATCAATCACATTTAGGAATGGTAACAATTTACACTTTTATTTCGTTCTATTATATTAGCCTTATTCCTACTTTTAATATCCTATATATACATCACTTATAGTCTCTATCTTTGTTAAGATTAGTAAAATCTTATGATCGCTTTACATATTTACAACACTTTGTTTTTTATTACTGGAATAATTATAAATCACTACTCTAAATTAATTGGATTCTAATTAATCTTATTACTTTTATTAATTTCAACAACTGCATTAATTTATAGTGCTAATCTAAAAAAAATTAAAATAGCTTACTTCACTATTGGAGCTATTTTACTCTTTTATGTAGTACTTAATCAATATTAGCATTTTTCAAATGTGAGAGCAGCTAAATTAAATAAAGTATCAGTCTTAAATGATTGTTCAACTCATTTAAGAAATATGCATATGGACTTTTTATTTTCAAATACTAATTGCAAAAAATATGTAGAAAATGCAACTTGCACTGATGATTAAAAAGCTTTTATGTGGGAATTAGATACTAAATTACCTATTTCTTAGAGAGATACTAAATTAGGATGTTTGAATCTTAATTGTTGTGGAATTGTGGCTGACAGATCAAAATTTAAATTAAATGTCATTACTTTAGTACATTAATTAATTGGATTTGCTACACTAACTTTAATAATGTACATATCATCCAAACCTCCATTATTGAACTCAGAAATTAAAATCTATGATTTCATTTTTGGAACTATTCATTTATTTCTAATTATTTTAGCAATCTTCCTTTTCAGTAAAGAAATAAATTAAGATATTAATAAATTTAATTCACTTTCAACTACTAAATATTTAGATATACCAAATGGATGCAGTTTAATTAAGAATTTTGTTACTCTTGATTGCTAATTCATTTATTGTAACAATATCGAATTAACTATCAAATCAGATTTCCCTTTTAATTATTATAAATTAAGTAACTCAAAAGACTTTTATGTAGATGATTCAAATTTTACAGAATTAAAATTCATTGGCAAATTTGATTCAATTAAAGATTATATTTATTCAAATGTATATCATTTTTTTTAATTTAGATCTATATGTGTGTCACTAGTAAAACAGTTAATATTGATTTTACAGTTAAAAAATCTACGAGACTCCTTAAAGAAGTTAGTTAAAGTACTCCAATCTAAAGTTTAGATATACTTAAAAAACTTCAAGTTGTTAAATTTTGGATATTAGAATGTTAACTTAACATCAATTCAAACTATACTTTAATATTACTTAATCCAATAACTAATTTTGAATATATAAAGATTCAAAATCAGAACATCTTAAATTTTGTTCAAGAATAATCTTATTTATTAATAATAAAAGCAAAAGACTACATTCCTTATGAATAAAATATATTTATAAATCAGAATACCTAACTCAAAATAAATCTCATTAAATAATAGAAATAACTATCAGTTATTATGCAGGGATCTAAATAATCTATGCTTGGTACAACATTTGCTACCAGTATATATAAATAATATACAACTTCTAAATGGTTTGGATCTAACAATAACATGCATCTAGAATATATTGATGATACAACTTAAGTAATAAGAATAAATGAAGTTGATTATCCTATTTTAGTTTTTATAATTAATCCAAATTATGATGCACTATTAACAATTTATGATGAAGATCGAATATTATATAAATCATATGCTAATCAATAAAACAATACATAATAAGTTTTATGTTTATAAGGTAATAAGATCAAAGAATTAAAATCGTAAACAACTACTAAATTATTGCCGAATAGTCTTATATGTTGACAATTACTATTTTATATATAAATAAAAATTATAACATATTAAGTTTGTTAAATTTCAAGCCTTATTTCGAGTGGTTGTGGGAAGTAGAAAATACGATGGTTTATTGATAATGTCCTAAAAAACTTGTTTAGTTCTATTTAGCACTATTTATTAGATAAGAAAATAATTAGCGCCTTTTTTTTAGAGTGGATGTTGGGAATTAATTATTTTTATTACAAAATTAATGATTAATTAATCAGCTGATAAAAAAAATTTCTAAATTTCTACACCAATTTTATCTGATTTAGAAGAGGAAACGTAGAATAACAAGGAAATATAATAACATTTGTAAATATTATTTTATAATAATAGATAATATTTGTATATTTCTCCTAATTTATTTACAAAATTATGGCTTGATATTAAGAAATAATTGGAAATATTAAAGTCTTCTTAATATAATTTGAATCCTTTTAATGTACAATAAATTTTAGAAGAAATATATCGTTTGCATTTTCCAAATGTACAATTTTGTTTAAAACACAGCCATAACAAATAAAGAAAAAAATAAATTTCCGAAATTTCTATTTAGCTTTGGATGGTTTTCCACAAAAAAAAGAATTTATAGCAAAAATACCAAATATAGCTGATTTAGCTTTAAAAATGGATACTGAGTTTAGAGATTATGTAGGAATGTTGATAGAAAGAGTAGAGTTGAAAAGATAATAAGTAGCAATATTAATAGCAAATATGTTTTTATGTGTGATGCATTTATAACCTGACTTTAAAATATTGCCTCAAGTTTTTATAATGGGAATTTTATTTGACAGATAAAATGAGGATAGTATATAAAATAATAATAAGATTTAAAAGATTCGATGTTTATTTTATTATTTTTTGCATGTATTTTCACCAGATTTTAAAGGATAAGAAAAAATAGTATTTACAAGAAAAAAGGCAAATTTAACAATAAGTAATAGTCCATTATGTGATTTTATTTATTGTGAATATGGATAAATGGAGAATGTATAGGACTGTTATATAGTTGATTTTGCAAATAAAAAAATAGGAGGTGGTGTATTAAATTTAGGATGTGTATAAGAGGAGATATTATTTTTATGTCATCCTGAAGCTTTGGCATCATTATTAATAACTACAGAAATCAAAGCAGATGAATCAATAATAATAGAGGGAGTAAATAGACTAATAATGTATGAAGGATATAGTAATAAATTTGAATGTAAAGGTACTGTTAAATAAATTAGAAGTGTGAGTTTAATTGTAAAAAATTGTAATAATAATGATAGTGTATAGATGCTGGCGATTATACTGGTAATTACCATTAATAGTATAAAGATTATAGGAGAGAATTGATTAAATCATATAGTGGATTTTATGGAATTCCTCGTATATGTACTGGAAAATGGGGTTGTGGAGTTTTTGGAGGAGAATGGTAATTGAAAGCATTAATTCAATGGGTAGCTGCATCTTTAGGAGGATGTTAATAAATAGTATTTATAAATGATGAATCTTATGTTTTTAATTAAGCATTCAATTTGCTTAAAGAATTTAACTCAAATTAATTGTGGGAATAAATATAAAAATATTGTTACAAAAAATAAAAAGATGAATTAAGCAATATAAATGCTATTGATTTTATATTATCTTAAAAATAATTTTGAGTTTAAAGTTATATATATATATATATATACTTTAACGTATTATAAAATGCGTCATTAAATATCAAACTGCAATGGTATAAAAAGGAACTTAATTAGCTGTTGATTTTCAATTAATAAATGAAATTGTTCTTAATCTTGATAAGTTTAAGTTTTTCAATATAAGGCATCAGTTTGAAATTGAATTAAGTAGGTGGATGTACTTGTGCAATGGCATCTGTATAAACAGAATGTATTCCTTCAACATGTGATTGGGATACTACAACTTCAAAATGTATTAATAAATCGTGTGATAAATTTACTATGGAAATGTGTGATCAATTACCAGACTATTTAAAATGTGCATGGAAAGATAATTCATGTTAAACATTTACAAAATGTTCTGATTATTCATATAGTGATGGATTCAAATGTTTTAGAGTAGGTCCTTGTTAAGCTATTTTTAAGAAGAATACAGCTGGACTCTATCAATGTACAGATAAAACAAATGATTCAATGCATAGTATTGATTCTTGCATTGGAATTGATTAAGAAGGATGTATAGAAACAGTATAAAATGATGGAAAAGTTTGTTATTGGAATCCAAATACATCAACTTGTGAAGCTTGGAGTAACAGTGCTTGTAGTAACTTTGACAATACTGCGTAATCTGCATGTCCAAAGTTTTCTTGTGATTACAATACTGCAACAGGTAAATGTACTACTAGAACATGTAATACAATTGCTATTGATACTGCATGTACAATGGTTTGGGATATTACATAACAAGTAGCTACATAATGCAAATGGGCTAATTCTAATTGCATGGAATTTGATTATGCTACATTGACATAATCTACATGTTTAATGGGTTCAAATTTATCATATAAGTGGAATTCCTCCACTTCTAAATGTGAAGTATGTGTTCAACCAAAAAATGATGAGGATACAGATGATACATCATTTACTATTCAAATTTAAGGGCTTTTTGCCCTTTTGATTTTTATAATTATATGACATTATTAGAATATTTGAAAATTCTGTTTGTCTTAAATATTTTTACTTTCTTTTTTTATAATATTTTTATTTCCTAATACTAAAACAAAATTTATATATATATAATTTAATCATTTTTATTTCAATTTATTCAAACTTCCATTCTTAATCATTTCATAAATCTAATTCTTTAATGGTTATTTATTCTATAGTATCTTATTATAACTTAACAACATTCCTGTTATTAATCCAACACAATCTTATAATGCTAATCCTGAAGCTTTACTTTAAAATTGACTCATATTATAATCTTAACATAATTCTAAAAATGTTTCCTATAATTAATTATCTAGATTGCAATCTTCACTTTTTAAAACGTTTTCTTTTAATCTAGCTATTTTTTTAGCTGTTTCAACTATATCCTCTACTAACTAATTTTATTCATCAAATTTGTTTTTATATAATGTCATTAATATTCTTCTCATCTCTTTTGAATTATTTATTAGATTATATTCATATTTTTTTATCATCAAACTTTTTATTGTCTCAAATAAATTTAATATATTAGGAAATCCATTCTTCAATTTTTCTTATAAATATCTCAGTGATTCTTATTTTACTTACTCAATCTAACGATTCTCATCAACCATTCCTTCACAAAATATGCAAATCATTATATAAACAAAAACATGTGTATATTCTCTTAAAGAATAAGGACTTACATTTAAATTATCTAGAAGATTCTTACAATTATCAAAACCAGGATTCTTAGCAATAATATTTTTTAAATGCTCAATTGCTTCTTTATCAAACTCTTACATCTATAATACTTATGCATATTTTAAATGATATTTCTCAACATTTTCATTTAAATTAATCGCTTTAGAAAATAAAACAACAGATTGCTCGATATTTTATTTTATGTAAAACAATTATCCTAGTTCAAAAAATAACTCAGGATCTTAATCATTGATTTTTATTGCCTATTATAAATCTTAAATTGCCTCATCAAATTCTTATATTTATGTTCTGATTTTTGCTATTATAATAAAATTAAATATCTACCTCTTTATATATAAAACTTAGCATTATCGCTCTCCAATACTATTGCTTGATCATATAATTATTTTGCTTCCTTATAATTTCCTTACTATTCTAATAATTGGGCCTTTTCTATATAAAATCTTGGATTATTTGGTTTCATTTTAATTAATCTATCATACATATTTGTGGCTGGCTAAATATTATTATTATCTCTATATGCATTTCCAATTTTTAGCATTAATTCTTCATTCTTTGGCATTAATTATAAAGCAGAATCAAAATTTGTTTTAGCAGAAAAGAACTATTATCCAATCAAATGACAATACCCTTTTGTATTTATTAAATAAATACCTTTCTAATAAAATATATCTGATTTTTCAGAATTATCCTTCAACTATTTTAAAATCATATCATAACATAAAACTGCTTGATCAAAGTCTTTTATTTGAGTTAAACAAAGGGCTATGCTTAAATCTAATTCTCATTACCTTTATTTTTAAGAGCTTTTATGTTCTATTAGTCAATACTTAAACTTTTATTAAAGTCTTCAATTGCCTATGAATACTATTTTTAATTCATCAAAGCCAATCCTCTTTAAAAATGGGTTTATTAATCTCCAAATCCTTATTAAATAATTTTATCACAACAATCACTCAATTAATAGTAGAGTTTTAAAGTTTAACTAATCTTTGCCATTATTTTTAATGTTTTTATATCAAAAGGTTTTTCATGAATAATCTAATTGAAATATGTCATTGCTTTATGCAATTAATTTAAATTATAATGACACATACCAATCCCATAAAGGGAATCCACATTATTTGGATCATATTCTAATATTTCTTGACATAATTTCATTGATTTATCAAATTATTTTAACCCATAAAAAGCTTAGCCTTTTATTAAATAAAGTTATAAATTACTTTTACAATTTAAGACTACTGATTTTAATCTTGGAATTTACTAATCTTCTATGTTATCCAAAAATTCAAATAGTTAATCATATTTCTTTTAATGTAAATATAAATTAGTGATAGCATTAATTGCCTCAGGATATTTTGGATCTACATGAAATGCTTACTAATAATACTCTAGACCTTAGTCAAATTTTTGTTATCTTACAAGTAAATGACCTAAAATTACATTAAAAAATTACCATAGTTTAGAAGAGCTGCTTTATCCTTTTTTTTAATTTTCAAAGCATTTTAGATGTATGAATCAGCAATTTCAAAATTATTTTACATCAAATTTATAAAACCTATTCCAAAATTAGCTTCAAAAGATTTTTCATTCATTTCAAGTAATTTATGAAATATAGCCAATGCTTCTTCATATTTTTTCTCTAATGTATAAATATTTCCTAATTTAATTATATTTTATTAGTCTTACCCATTTCTGAAAGCGCATGAGAGTGCTATGTGTCAATTTCAGCAGCAGCTTTGCAATAATAAAGGGCTTATTCTAAGTTATTTAGTCCAAGATAAGCCAAACCTAAATTAAAGTATAATCTAATCAAATACCTTTAAAGTACAATGCATCAGCTAAATTTGGATGTTACTCTATTAATTTATCTAAAGTTTCAATTGCTTCTTGATATTATTATTTCTTTAAAAGACCAAAGGCTAGTTTATAAGGTTTAACGTACATTTGCTTAATTAAGAGTTATTTTTAAAGGTAAAAATATTTGGAGAACCCTCAGCTTTCCCAATAGCTAGGATTATAAAAAATAAAAATTACAAGTTAATGATGATTAATGATGTTCAATCTAATTTACTTCATTATTTTTTTCTTTTGTAGCTCCACTTCCCATTATTATTATTTATTATTAATGATATCTAACTTCAATATGTAATCAAAATTTATAGCGTTAAAAATTTGGAAAAAAACGTAGATAATATCAATTTTTATAATATCTTGTTTCTAATGTATTTAATTTAAATTAAACAAAAAAATTATTGTAATTGTATCAAACCTTTTTATTTTTAATATAATCTATCTATTAATTTATTCAAAACTATAAATCCAAATAAATTATATCTGGTAATTATGGAGTTTACAAAAGTTTTATTATCCTTTAATATGACTCTTTTGATTATTTTTTAGTAACTCACATTGATAGATATGAATGAGTATTTTATTTAGGAAAAATTTATCCAAAAATTTAATAAGAAGCTTATCCATAATTTATTTTTTAAAATTTATCATTAAATAAAAAATTGATAAGCACAAGTTTTATAAGAAAATATAAAATAAAAAGATTTATGAATTCTTATTCAATTCTTCTATTGTAATAAGGAAATGATGGAGAAAATAAAGAATGCTCACTATATGTTTACAGTAATTCTGAATTTCTTGTTCAAACAATTTAAATGATAAATAGAAATTGTGAAATCTAGAATTCAGAAATCATTTGAAGTTTTAAAAAAAAGTTAATAATAGATCATAATATAGTCGTTTCCATAAAAAGTAGTTTTTAAAGTAAACTAAATAATATTATAATTAATGTTATCTTAATTTTTCATAATTTATCAATGATTATTTTCTAAATAGGTAAGTTAAATTTATTGTAGGTATAATTAATTAAGTATCAACTAATTCCTTATTTTTATTTTGGTATAAATAGTGATAATAGAAATGAAATTTTTATAAATTCTTCTTCTTAATTTCTAATATCTTCAAATAGAATTATAATTGGATATTGAAATTAATATATATAAATTTTAGGAAAGCTAGAATAATTTTTTTAGATTGTATAATATAGATTAATGTCATATATAATAAGTAATATTTAATATTAACCATTAGGAAATAAAAAATAGATGATTAAATGATGAAATGTGTTGAAATAGATGGATAATAGTTTGTGAAAATAAATAGTTTTATAGGAAGAGATGATTAAGGGATTGTAGAAATGAAAAGTTGTAAGTTGAATAGAAAGAAATTTATTGGAATAAATACAATTCATAATAAATATGTCAAAAAATAATAAATTAATAGATGTGGCTAAATATTTAAGAAGGTTCTATTATAGAGTTCACAATTTTGTTGAATATAGAATGTTAGTGAATCAGAAACATATCTTATTTGTTGGAGGGAATAAAAATCCATTGACACCAATGTTATATTAGAACTTTTATCTAAATTGGTAAATAGGACATTTAGGTTTATAAGAGGAATTAGCTATAAAGCCTAATTTTATTTTAAATTAGGAGGATGATTTATAGAAATTGGTTGAGTAAGCAAAAAGTCGAAGTACTCATTATGATGCAATAATAATATTGGAAGATAGAAATGGATTGTAAGAAATGGGAGATAAATTTGAGATGCATAATATGTATAAAAGTGAAGTGAGAAGAGCATTAATGGCTTGTCATATGGCAACAAAGATTTTAGCTTCAAATGGGATGATATGTTTTACAATAGATTAGAGAAGCTATTTTGAATAAAAAGAGGAATAGAATATATCAACAGGTAAAGTGATGAAGGATTGTTAGATTGCACATTTATGTACAAATTTAGGAGAGAGAGATGATTTAGAGACAGATACATTAGTAGTAGGAGCATTGATAGAGGATGATAAATTAAGTGATATAGTAAAATATTTGAAATTATGGGCAGATGGAATTAAAAGACCAGCAAGTGGAACATTTGCTCATTTTAAGTATAGCAATCATAAAAAACCAATTGTATATCCTGAGTTATTATGATGATGAATATAAATAATATTATATATGTGTATTTGATTAATTTATTTTTAAAGACTCTTAAGATGAAAGAGGATGTGATTATATGTAATAATTAGTTTATTATTTTAATATTATTGAAAATATAAATAATATTAATAATAATGTAAAAGGTGTTAAGATTTCATTTTGGTGTCTTGTCAAGACCAAAACTACATATATATGATAGAGGTAGCAAACATACACCATCAGGAATCCGAGCAACAATTCATGGTGGTACTAGTTTTTCAGGTATATATATGGGTGGTATACTTGGAAATATTGGTTCTGAATTGATATTTCCTCATAATCATTAGTAAGAATAATGATGGATGAAATTAGATATAATTATGAAGATCATGTAAGAGAATTGAAAACAACATCAGGACCAGGTCAAAATTGGTTATTACATGATATGAATTATGATAATAAAGAAATGATAGAATGGACTATGAAAAATTCAAATGTTGTAGTAAATTTACTTGGACCAAGAAAACATCTTAAAAACAGAAAAGATTTTGAATGGATTAATATTACAGTACCTAAAAGGATAGCCGAAGCATGTGCTAAGAATCCAGGAGTTATAAGATTTATTCATTTTTCAGCTTGTGGTGCTAATCCTCATGCAGAATCTTTAGATCTTTAAACAAAATATATAGGTGAATAAGAAGTATATTTTATGATTGATAATATAATAATAGGTCCTTAATGCTTTTCCAAATGCTACAATTTTTAGACCTAGTGTTATGGTAGGAGATAATGATGATTTTGCATATCATTGGTAAGTATAAAAGAGATACTTCCATAATTTCAATATTGTTCCAGATAATTGTTAAGCTAAAAGATAACCTGTATTTTTATTTTTTGATATAGATATTTGTATAAGATGTTGCTTAAGCTATGTTAAATGCATTAAAGATGCCAGAAACTATAGGTTAAACATATGAATTAGGAGGACCTCATGTATACACATTATTAGAATGTTACGAGATGTTTCATAATGTTGTTTAAAGACCTCCAAAGTTAGCTCATATAGATAAATAAATATTATTAAAGATTGGTATATTATTTATATTCATGTTTTAGCTTAATATATTCCAAATTGGAAATATTTTAATATTGATTACATTCTAAAACATGGAGATGATATGATAGTATAATAAGGATCAAAAACTATCGATGATTTATGTGTTAGACCTTTATCACTTACTTAAGCTCTTTAAAATATCTTTTGGGATATTCAAGCACGTTATGGAGGTTCAAGTGAATTATATGAGAGATGAATTTAATATCGAAAATAATCAATTATAAAATCATTAATATTTTTATAGTATCTATAAGAGATCTTGCTCATTAATTGGTTTGATTAAATAATCTACCATACCAGCTTCGAGACATTTCTATTTCTCCTATAAATCAGAATATCCACTACATCCTACTATCAATTATTTTGGATTGATATTCAAAATTTACTTCGTTGTTTAAATTCCATTCATACCTGGCATTTCTACATCCATAAATACCAATTTATATCCTTAACAAATCTTACTGCATCTCTTTTCTTAAATCTTTATCAAAGAATCCTTTCCAGATGATACATATTCTACATCAAATTATTATATAGATAATTTCTATTTGTTCTATAATCCTATCAATATCTTTCGAAATGCATAACCATTAAAACAATCATCATCTACTATCAAATAATGACAACATTATTAAATCATCTCCAAAATAATCTTCTTGTAATCTTAATTAAATGTTGTTATCTCATCTACTTCTTAATATTAAGGTGAAATCTCTGGAATCTTAAAACTTGGTACTTTCTACTTATTTTTTGGAACCTCCATTATAATATCAAAGTAAAAATAAGAAAAATGATTCTATTAATCTTTCTTTGATTCAATATTCAATCCTGAACAACCCATATTTTATACTATTTAATTACTTATTACTAAGCCTAATCCTACTCCTTATTCATTCAATTTCTTACTCTCCTCTGAATTCACTTTTGAAAAAGCTTTAAATAAAACCTATTATTCTTCTTCACTTATTCCTATACCATCATCTCTTACTCCTATTCTCAATTTTTAATTTCCTTACTATTCTACTATCACTTCTATTCTAGTACAAGTAAATTTAAATGCATTACTTAACAAATTTACTATTATCTATTTTATTCTATTCTTATCTTATACTATATATTTAGGTAAAAATGCTTAATAATCACAAAATAATTTCAAATCCTTTATTTTTGCTTTCAATGAAAACATCTTTATTGAATCTCCTATCAATTTCTCTAAATTAAATGGTACTTTCTATATTTTAAACTTTCCATTCTTTATTTAAGCTAAATCTAATAAATCATTAGATAAATTCAACATATATTTTGAATTATCCAATGCTGCTTACAAATCTTCACTTATTTCTAAATTTTTTTTTATCGCCTTTTATTATAAAGCACATTCAATCATCTATATTATGCATCCTAAAGGTTATCTATATTCATGACTCACAAATGAAAGCATTTTAGATTTCTAAATATCATATTCTCTTAAATATCGAATCTTTTAACGATGAGTCACATCTCTACAAATTATTAAAATATTCTTCTCTTTTAATAAAGTTAATTAAAATTCCATTAATCTATCTGTATCTTATCTTGAATATGTTAAATTCTAAGATTTCTTTATTACTTTTTGATTCTCCAATTAACTAAAATCAATATGAGTATTCACTATTATTGAATCTTCTCTCCTTGTCTTCACGATCTTTTCCAATAAGTCTTTCATACTAAAAGTTTAATTTCTCTCACACAAAGATATATCAACTAAAGGCTACTTCAATGAACAAAACATAAATAAAGATTTGCTCAATTTTGAATTTGAAATATTTCCAAGCTTTTACTGAACAGAATCTCTCCTTTAATTTTAATCTTCAACATATTCCTAATTTTACAAATGTAAAGATTGTAAGCTTTCCAAAATAAATAATATATCTATCTCTTAATCTTTTCCAAAAAGAATCCTTGTTGCATTATTCATGTATGATATTTTATAAATGTTATTTTATTCATCTTAAACATTTAATACTATCAATCCTTCTTAAAAATATTCTAAAGAATTTTAAATTATTTCTGGATTTATACACTGTTATTAATTAAAACTAAAATCATCATACCCTTTTCGAAGTCCTTCTTTTGACTGATCTTATGAAAGTTGGGATACTATTGAAATTGCTCTTTTGGCTACTCCATCTAATTTATTCACTGTTCCAGTGTCAAGTGGTGGAATTGTTATCTCCTAAATTCTCAATGTTTTATTCTCTTTAAAATTTGCATTATCAATTATTGACATAATCAAACAGAGTATTAATTACGGAGATTCAACACTGAAATTTGTTTACAAATGAGTATACAATTACTAAAATATTATTACTATTAAGGTGGTGCCATTACATAGAGTACGAGGATTAATTAAATAATATTTTTATGGCACAATTTATTTGAATAAGTCCTTTGATATGTGTAGGCTCCATATTAATTATGCATATGTTGTCACATTGAGATTTGCAACATTTAAAATAATCAAGCAGATCAAATCTATTTAAATACATAGTATAATTCCGACTACCTTGACTTATAAATTGTTAAATCTCAAAACAAACATAGCTATTTAAATTATGCTTGCAATTATCATGCAAATCAGATTAATCGTTTCATTTCGTATTGTATAGAAATAAATTGAATAACAAAAAGTTAGACAATGTAATATTTAACCTCTTAAGAATTATCTGTCTTTCATTATAAATATTCCTTATTTTTACTAATCAATAAATTATTAATATTAAAAGTTAAACATTTTTTTTTGCAGAAATTAATTATTTTCATTTTTTTAATTACTAATACATTACTTAGGATCCATTAATTAGAATTAAACATTAACTGTATCCAAACTATATTTTATTAGTTTTTTAATTTTTATATTTATTTTTATAAAATTATCTAATTTATGGAAATATTCATAATAAATTATATATAAAATTATAGATAAATTTAGGAATATTTTGAATTTATTACTCTCTTTAAAAATTCCATTGTTATTATTTCCTATGTCAAAGTATAGAATTAATGAGCAGATCCATCATTTTAGAAATTAAAATTATTAATTTTAATTTTTCTTATTATTCTAAAATAAAATCAAAAATATATTGATTTATGAAAAATGCTCTTAAAAAAAAAGATAGAAATATTTTGTTTTTTTCTTTATATTTAAAGATAGTAAAAAATATCCTTCTTACTAAGTTAATATTATTTTAAATCATCAATTCCAGTTAGAATCTGAATGTTGATTTGGAACAAAATCAAACTTTTTTTATGATCCTGTTAAAAAGAAGTTTGAATTAGAATTCGTTTTAAAAAGCTAAAATAATAAAATTTGATTACATCCATCTCTTTTTTGAAAAGTTCATTTTATTGTCTAAATTATTCAATTTAATCATTCTATAATTCTAATGTTTGTAAGTGATGATTAATTTCATTGTTTTGTGTTTTAACTAATTAATTTAATCTATCAATTTCTCCTTATAAAACAATGATTCTATTTTCTAAACCAAGTTTAGTCTAAGTTAATTGAGAACAAGCCAATTATAATTATTCTCTATCTTTTTTAACCAGATTCAGCTCATCAATTAATTACTCAATTTTTTAATCAATGAATTCTTTATTTTCCATATCCTATCTATTTCTATTCATATTCAATGTATCAATGTCTCTTTCACTATGATAGATATATATAATTTTGATTACAATAATGATCTGAAAGAATTCATTTGTTAAGTCATATTAGCCATATTTTTTTTATAGTCTATTTATACTTTATTGATCTCTTCATCCTTGACTCTTACTAAATCATTTAATCTATTTATTTCTGCTTATTATCTATATTCATTTCTTCTAAGATCATTAACACAATTCTCCAATCTCATAGATTTATTGCGTAATTCGTCTAATTCAATAAGTTAAGAAGTATATTGATGTTTAAATCTATCAGATTCTTACAATTAATTCTCAAATGATTAATTCTACATATAATATGAATATTTATACTCTTTATTTAATAATTTCCATTTAAATTTCATGATCTTTCAATTTAAGAACATTTTGTTCAATTTCAGTATTTCTTCTTTTTAAATCATCAATTTCTCTTTATCTACATTCAAGTTATTCTTTAAGTCTTTTAATTTCACTATCTAATCCTTAAGATGAGATTTGCTAATAATTGAATTCTAAATAAGTAATTTTTTATTAAAGAGAGTCATTTTCTTATTATTTGATTATGTTTTATTGTTATAGTCTTTCAATTTCTTTAATCTGATGTAAATTAATCAATTCTAATTCATTAATTCTTTTTGTATAATTCATTTAATTAAGTTCTTCTTTATGATATTTTTATCTCCAAACTTCAGCCTCACTAATAGCATTATCTAATTCTTCTTATAATTTCATTATCTAATCATCAAACTACTTACTTCTTATTTCAGAACTATTTGAATAATTTATTCATTATTTACTTCTATTTGATTTATGAGAAATGTTAATTGTAGATTCTATCATAATCACTTTTTTATTTATCTATTTATTATTGTGATTATGATTCAAGAATCTAATACTTCTATTTTAATTATTCATGTTCATTAAGTAACTGATGATATTTAGCATCTCTCTCACCATTATGAAATTACTATTGTTACATCTTTTACATTTATTACTCATTCTATTTAAGTCTTACGATCAATTCCTATAAAAGAATATGAATAATAATTTCTTACATTTTTCTCCAATTCTGCCTACTAAGATTGATTAAAATAATAATCACATTATTCTTTAAGTAATCTTTGGTTTGGATCATTAAATGATTTAAGTCTTTCAATTTCTAATTATTGTTATCTAATTTTTTCATTGAGCTGTTAAAATTTATCATTTTTTTAATCTTATTCAATTTTCTATCTACAAATAAAAGATTCCTATTCCACTTATCTAATCTTTCTTTACAACTCTTGATCATATTACAATTATTGAGGACTTTAGAATGTTGGTACAGACGTATAATGATTAAGAGGTACTTCAACTACTTCATAGACTTTAGGTTTAAGAACAGTTTTCATTCCAGGAGGTGGTTGAAGGTTTCCCATTATTTAAAACTTTGAAACTGGAGATACTGACTTATTTGGATGACCTTAAATTATCTAATGTCTTATTGGACTTGTATTATTATACATTATTTTAATGATAATATTATTTTATGTATGCATTTCTCTATCTATCGCAGGATCAACACTTATGTTAACTCATTTATTCTTTTTTGATAACCTTAAAGTATTTGCTTAAAGAATCGTTGCTTGTCTCTCTATATCAGATTGTTTTTATGCTTTTGGATTGCTCCTATATGTAGAACCCTCTTTTGAAGGTTATGATGTCACAAGGTTTTTTAATCGAAATTTATATAGATGCACAATTCAAGGAGTTTTAACTTAATTTGCCACTATTTGTGCCTTTCTTTGGAGCACTTCTATCTCTTATTTCCTTTATATATCAATTACAAAAGGATAAAAGAAATTGATTTATTTTGAAAGATATGAAAAATTCATTTTCGCTATAGGTATCTCTTACTTCTGAATAGGTTTTACTGTTCCTTTGTTGATGGCTACAGTTCCATTATTTTTTTAATCTTATGCTCCTACTCCTTAAAAAGTTCCTGCTACTTGTTCCATTAGTTCAAATGACCAAGATAAATCAATTCAAAAGAATAGAAGTTTAAGTTTATATCTAAATCTTATTTTATTCTACCTACCACTACTAACTTCAGTATTAATATCTGTGTATTTCATATTGAGAACATATTTTAAGATAAAAAGAATAAAGAGTTAATACGAATTATTAAATAAACAAATAAATATTCAATTGATGTTTGCACGTAATTTAATACTCTATCCATTGGCATTATTTATTTGTTGGTTGCCTTCTCAAATAGTTTTTCTGATTTTTGTATTCAAAAATGGATGGATTGAGTAAATATAATAAGATTACTTTATAAAATAAGCTGGGCCCTATTATTACATAAGAATTTTATAATATGGAGCTAGTTTCTTGTAAGGATTCTTTAACAGTCTTGTTTATTGGTTCAACAGTTATTAGATGAGAAGGAAATTAAATTAATTAGAAAGGGAGAATTTAGATTATCAAAAAACAAGAACTTTTTTCTCAAATAATAATGATTAAAGTGAACTCAAAAGTAGCTAATTATCTAATAGTTTCGAAAATCTTTAAGATATTTGATAATTTTTATTTTTAATTATTATTTTTTATATATGCAAGCAAATTATCAGCCATTGAATATATAGTTTCTATAGGAAAACAACTATACTTTTTGAAGATTATTATTTAAACGCAACAGATTAAACTGACAATTAAATCATACAGATATTTAACAAAGTCTCCAAATTTATTGATGAAACATGGAAAGAAATTTGTATTGATTTCAATAAAGAGTTTTTTTACAAAATTTAAAAATCTAAGAAAATTAAACTTCAGAAATAGCAATAATAAAAAGTAAAATTGTAGAACTTTTTTCAATATAATTTATTAGAATTGCTAACATGACTTTTTTGAATGAATATCTAATGATGAAGAAAGAAAGATAAAAGATTAATTATAATATCGATATTAAAGAAAGTTATGGTTAATATATAATGGTAGAAAAAAGTAAAGTTTTGCAAAATAATTTTGAGTAAGGAGGAAAGTGTAATAAATAGAAGTATAAAGATTCTCAATGAAAGACTTGATTATAAAATATTTATTTTTAATATTTTGATGTAAGCTTGCCATATAAATGAAGTAAATAATTTCTTTAGTTCCTTCTTTGTATATTATTTTAAAATTTAAAATATTTATTATAAAATCTATTCTGTTTGTAAAGAATTTCTAAATTAAATATAATTAATGATATCTAAAATAAATTAGGACATATTTAATCCAACATTGAAATTTCATAGTTAGATAAATAGGTCTTAATTATTAACATAAGAATTTAAAGATTAATAATAAAATTTTTAAATTGTTCATAGGCAATCAAATAGTTGATGTTGATATATCTGGATTCTTAAAAGTTAAAGATAAACCTACTTATTATGGAGGTTAAAAATTTTATGAAGTAATTAATTTATTGTAACAAATTATTAGAAATTTTTGTTTTACCTCTTTATAGCTTTGAATTTGAGATATGTATACAGATTTAAAATATATATCAGAAGAAATAAATAAAAACTTAGAAATTGTATAATATAAACTAAAATATTAATGATTTTTATTGTTAATAAAATTCTGGCTAGATTCTCTTCAATTAATCCAATTTAACAATTGAATGCTAAATTCTAAAATTCTAAATATGAATAACTATGTGAGTATATGAAGTAGAATAATAAATCGATAGGAATTAAGTATATGGCCAAATCCATCTTTTAATTAAAGAGAGAATTAGATTTCTAATCTAAAAATTTAGAATTAATTTAACAAGTGACTAAAGAAATGAAAGTATATCTCTAAATTACAAAAGTTAGGATTTTATGATAAAAAAAAAATATGATATACGTTCATATCATTAATTGACATAGTTATACAAAAATATTGATGAATAAGAATTTGCAATAACAATTTTCCCTAGATAAAAAGCATTAAGAGAAAAATAGAAAAAAAAACTAGCTTTGCATGAGTTAGATAGATTTGATGAATATTTCAATTATACTAAATTAGATTCTCCAGCTTTAAGTTTTATTATTTTTAAACTCAATTAGAGCATGAAGAAGAAGACTTAAGAGAAGATATGATAAATTTAAGACTTGATAAATTAAATCCTTTGGGTTTGGAATTTTTCGCAGAAACTCCTGTTCAAGCTGTTGTTACTATAGAAACACCTTAATTAGATTAAGTTATGTTAATGACAATGTTAATTAGTTCTGGATGCATAGAATTTAAGGATGTTTCTGTTCTTGATAATATCAATTGGAGATAAGAATGGCATTAAAAATTATTACAAATAGTAGATGAGTATTCAGATTCATATAGAGCAAATATATTAAATTTATCAGATGTATAAATATATATAGATATTTAGCCATTATAAACAAATCTAGTTAAGTATTTAAATGCTTTTGGATTTATAGCAGAAGATGCTTATTATTTAGAATTATTAGCTATTCTTTCGGAATAAACAAACTATATTAATTGGTTGAATGATTTACATAATATAGTGTTGATGAATCAAATTCATTCTGCATGATCATGATTTTTACAATAATATAGATTTAGTTTATATGAAACCAAATTTAATGTTTTTTATTAATATGGTAATATATAAGTGGAGAATTTATATAAATTTAATGAACTTCAAATTTTTAGAAGAGTTTTCTTAATTATGGCTTTGTGCTTCAAATGACTTGTCTTTTACTGAATTTTGGAATTGTAGATATAAGAAACTGATTCTTTTTTAAGGAAAATAAATCTAAATATATTGTTAAAATTGATACCCTAAAGTTCGAAATGCTTTCAAGAATTCATCATTTTTAGTAAATTACAAGATGTGAGCAAGGTTACAGAGTTTATTTTTAACAGAATGCATTAATTCAAGAAATGATTATCCTTTAGTTTCTCCTAACAATTTATAAATAATGAATTGTTGTCTTATCGCATAAGCTACTAATGCTTTAGTAAAATTTTTATGTAGATTAGTAGAGTCTAATACATCCTTAAATTTGGCATCTTTTATAACTTTTTTTTTCTCATTTACTAAGTTTCTTTATTTTTTTGTTTCTTTTTTTAAGTATAAACTCTCATCTTTCTTTTCGACTTCTAATTCATCCGTATCATAGTTAGATTACTAACTACTAGATGGCAGATTATCATTTATGGAACTTTATGATTGTTCAACATGAGGTTCTTATTGAATACAATTCTACATTTGGAAATAATAGACTGGATATACTACTTATGGCTAATAGAATGGAAAGTAGTAGCAAGGATGTTAAGAATACAACATATTTTTGTTTAATATTAACATAGAAGTTTGAATAGTATGATTTCAATGCCACTCTTGTAATGGATTTTGCGTTATTTTTTATAATTAAAATAATTATCATCAAATCAAAACAATTACTAGTTGATAAATTTATATAATAGATGACAAAAGTTAACAGAAAAATATATTAACTGATAGGAATTACAAAACTAAGAGATAAAATTTATTTTTTAATTCTCAAAAAAATCATTATAATTACTTTTGATGATATACTATAATACCTTATATAAATTATAAGGATTAAAAAATAAACGATTTTTGAGTAATTTTAAAAAATGTAAAAAATTATCTTAAATGATGAATTCAATTAATGTTTCATTATTCAGCTACTTCAGGTTATTCTCCTTCTTTTGCTCCTTCTGCTTAACGAGCTTCTTCAGCTAATTTTGCTTCTTCTGCTAATCTTGCTTCTTCTGCTAATCTAGCTTCTTCTCTTGCTTATTCTTCTTCAACTCTTTTTCTTTCTTCTTCATCTCTTCTTTCCTATAATACTCGAGCAGCTTCATCATAATCTTCTTTTGTTATATCTACTTTATTTATTTTCAAAAAATGGAAATAAAACATTATAATTTCTTATTTAAAATTATCAGCCCCCATTTCATCTACTATTGGATTTGCCAATAAATTAATTGTTGTTATTGTTCTTATTTTAGCAATTTTTTTTAAATCATCAAATTTTGCTAATTAATTCTCTCTTAGATTCAAATAATATAATTATGGAAACTAAATAACAGGAGTTTTAATTTTAGTAATTTTATTTGCTCTTACATTCAACTTTAATAAAGATGGCAAATTGTTTAAAGATCTAAAATCTTTAAGTTCATTTCCTTATAAATATAATTCCTATTATAATTATTAAAAAAACAAATACTTTTAATAATGGCATATCTATTAATCCATCAGTAGTTTTAAGTTTATTTTTACCTAATTCTAAAATTTCAAGATTTTAATGTCCTTCAAATTCATTTGCTGTTACAATTTCATTTTCTATTAAATTTAATCTTCTTAATCTTTTCAATTAAATAGTAACAAGTGATTTAATCTTATTGGTTGAGAGATTTAAGTATTATAAGTATGGAAATGTTTCAGGATCTTAAAAATATGAAAGTGTATTAATTTCATTTTTAGAAGCATTTAATGAAACCAGATATCTAAAGTATTTAAAATTAGATTTACTTTAATGGTAAAAGATTTGTAATATCTACAATTCTATTTTATGAGATATCAATATATCTAAGATTCAAATGATTAATTTAAAATATCCTATCAATGTCTTTTTCTGCAAGTGTTAATTTAACATATGCATAAACAGTTTAAGTTTTACTTAAACCTGAAATTCCTTATAAAACTAATTCATTAAATTTAGCAGTGTCTTCTTTTAATTTAGCTTCATATTCTTCTCTAGCAATCCTTTCTTATTCTGCTCTTTCTTCTCTTTCTTTTCTTTCTTACTCTTCTCTTTCTTCCCTCTCTTTTCTTTCTTATTCTTCTCTTTCTAATCGTAACCGTCTAGTTTCTTCATCCTCTTCTGGAGGTTTTTCAGGTTCTTCTTCTTAAAGCTATTCTACTTATTCAGGATCTTTTATTTATTCTTCATTTTAGTCTTACTAAGGGTCTTCATCATTTTATTATTCTTGATTTTCATCATTTACCTATTCAATTTATTCTTAACTCATATAAATAATTAATTATTAAATTACAATTATACAGTAAATCAATAAAATATCTAAATATAAAATGTTAATTAAATCATCATCTAATTTCACACATTGAAAACAATGAAGATATATTATTTGAAACTTTAGTAGGAAATATTTTCCAAAATTTTAATGTCTCATCTCCAGATCCAGTTAAAATAGTTGATTCATCTAAAAAATAGTCTAAATTAATCAAATACCTGGACTTGCTGATAAATAAAGAACTCTTTCGGAATGTCCTTCTAATTAATGAATTCTTTTCATTGTTGGATATTACCATAAACATACTAAATTTTTCTCATAACCATGTGTTGAAACTAATTCATTAACAATTTTAGAAAATCTTAATTTACAAACCTGTGAATCACAATTAATACTTGTAATTTATTAATTAGTTAATGAACTATGAATTTTAATTGTTTTATCTTAATTTCCACCACCAGTAGCCAAAATTCCACAAGAATTAGGATTCCATGCTAAAGCTCTTATTGCAGCTTTATGTGATTTTATTTCCCAAGAAATATATTAATTATTACCATTAGTATTACCTCCTCTCATTTACCAAACAAAAACTTTATTATCATTACCTCCTGAAGCTAATTAAAGTTCATTCCCATCAAAAGTTACACCACAAACTTCCTATGTATGTCCTAATAATTAACATATTTAATAATTTGGTACTCTAATATCACATATATTTATTGTCTTATCCTTACTACCATAAGCAAATACATTAGGATTTGCCCAATTTATTGTACTAATTCTTTTATTTGACAAATTCATCATTCCAATAAAAGAATTTTTATTGTAATCCCATAATTTCAAAGAACCATCACAACATCCTATTGCCAACATCTATCCATTTGTATTCCATTACAAAGATGTATAATATGCAGATGAATCATTATTATTTAAAGGTTCTGCTAATTAAAATACTTTTGAATTATCAACATTATACAAATACACACATCTTTATAAACCAACTGCAATAAGATTGTTTTTTCCCCAATGAAGTGTATCTTAATAAAAATCATCTTCTAATCCAGGAGCATCTAAAACCTTTATTGGAAGTTAATCTATCTTTCTTTTTGGTGTTTCTAATTATTTAGACGATTAAACTTTTTCATGTTTTTATTTATTGAAATTTAAAATACTTACATGTTTATTTTCGTCAATTTCTAAAACATTTTCACTCAAAAGTTCTTCATATTGATTTTCCTCTTCTATTTCAAATGGCTATATTTGCTTATTAAATAAATTTCTTGAAACATTTAATGGAATATATCTATCACTGTAAGGAGATGCTTAAACACAATGATCCGGTGTATTTTATTTATGATTACTTTTTAATAAAGATTTAGGTGTTTTCCAAGGATTGACATTTTTTGGAGAATAAAAATCATTATTCTTAGGAGATTGTATTGTAGTAGATTAATTAGTTTTATTTTATTTCTTATCTTTTGTTGGAGTTGTTAATTAATACTTTTTTGGAGTGACATTCTATTATTGCGGTATCTATTCTTACTACATTTGAATTTAAATAATATAATTTATTAACAATAAATTGCCACACTAAATTGAGCTTTAAAAACATTAATATTAATCATAATGATTCGATTCTTATTTTTATTTATTCTATAACCTTTCCGTCATATAATTCATCATTATTCATACTGTAATAATCATTCTATTTATAGTAATCAATAATTTACTTCAAAAGCCTTTCTAAATTAATTTATTAATTGGCTTGTTTATTTCTAATCTTATTTTAGTTTTTTAAGTGCTTCAAACAAAATTAAAATCTATTATATTAATTACAATTTGTAAGTATGAATTTTTTCAATTTATAATTCTTGGAATAAGGGATTTAATTAGATTTAAACATGATCTAAATAATGTTTGACATAGATCCTAACCAAATCAATTTCTCTAATATCATGAGTTAATAAAATCTCAAAAAATAACCAAGTGGAAAGTTAAGTGATTTGCTACTCTTGACATTCCTTAGTATTAATCAATTCTACTGTTTCTGTCATTTTTGGCAATTAAATATATTTATTGCTATTGATTAGATTTTCAAATACTAATTTCATCTAAATTTTAATTCTATTTTTATACTTATCGTTTTAATACATCTGTAGGCCATTCATTACATTCTTCATAATTACTTTTTATAAAATTGACCCATAACTATTCAACTTTCTCTGGAGTACATAATTATATTCCTTAAGAATGTTCCATATAATCTAGACATAATAATTAACCAAAGTAAATATTATTATCTTCAAAGAATTGAAGAATAATTTTTGTATCCAAAATATCAATAAGAATTTTTCTTTTTTCTGTATGATAACCTAAAAATTTAATTTCAAATTTTTTACTTTGATTTTCATCTTCATTAGATATTACAAAATCATACATAATATCTTAAAAAAAAAGTTATTTACTCAGATCAGATGCTTACTTTTCTATCTCATCAATATCGATTCCTTGGACATTTTTTTAGAAAGTTCTTATAAACTCTTAAGCTTTGTTTACATATCTTAATCTTTTTTTGATTGGCAATTTCATTTGAATTTCTTCCAAATTCATCTCTGGACACTAACTTAAAGAAAATTATGCTAATTTTAACAAGATTTAAATTAATTATGGATATACTTCATGATTACCTTTCACAGCTTTAACTATGAATTATTTCTTTTACATTTGTAATTTCTCTAAATCATTATTACATTATAAATCCATCTCTTGATTATAATCAATGTATTAAATGAATTCTTTTAATTATTTTTTTATAAAATAATTAGCAATTGCTTCAGTTGCTTTGATAAGTTGAAATTAATTTAATAATTACAATGACTCGACTAGAATTTCTTTTGTTTAAGCTTTATTTAAGCCTTTTGGTGGTTAGATGTAGTATTCAATTAAATCTTTAAATTACTGAATTAAATCTATAACACAATTGCAATATTCATCATTTTATTAATCTTTTTCTTATAATTAGCATTTCTAGGCTAAATATTAAACGTAGAATTTGAAAGTAGCAAAGGGATACATATAATTCTTAAAACATTGAGTTAAATAAGAATGAGAAATGAAAACAGCTACTTCGTCAATTAATTTCAAAGCCTCAAGTAATTAATCTTATAATTCTGGTTATAAATCTTTATAATAAAGAAAGATTTCTCTCTTTTCAAGAACTTTATCAATTGTAATTTACGGAGTCTTGGAAAGTTTTAAGATTCTTTTTATTTTTTCATGGATCTATTCATTTGGATTAAGTTTTATTAAATCTATTTAATCAATTAGAAAACTTACTTTTTTGAGCAGAAAATGTTAAAATTTCATCAAATAGATTTTATACAAGACTGATTTTAAAATCTTAATTAGTAAAGAATTCAGGAAAATGATGTAACATATATAATGCAGTATCTCTGAATTTGGTTTTATCACTCTTAATAATATGTATCATTAATTGCTTTAATGCTAAATTACCAACATTATCACCACTAAGTATACTTTTGATTGATAAATCAAATATTTAATCTTTATTTTAATAACTGTTAATTATATTTCTGATACCTTATAATTCTCCAAAAAAGTAAATAAAAAATTACAATAATTATTTGATTTATATACAATAAGAATAGAGTACTTTCATTTAAGTCTAAAATAGATAATATTATTTACATGTTCAATATCCACATTTACACTAACAGCTAATGATTAATCAGAATAGTTTGTACTTCTTGAAATGTCTAATCTTGTACTTTATTCAAAAGTTTCATAAATATATTTACTGAATCCATTTTTATAATTTTAAAATTGATTTTATTCTTCAACTTATAAATCATTTCTTTAATTTTTAACTTTTTAATAATAGTTGGGTTCATTTTCAAATAATTTAATTAGTTTTTCAATTTATCTAAATACAGTTTGTAATTATTAGATTGAATAACTTTCAATAGGTTTATTACATTCTAAATTATAAACCTTTTGATTAATAAATTTTTTAGTAGTTAATGGAGCAAGTATTTTCCAAATTAATTAAGTTGTGCTTGACACTTTTTTTGATTTTTAATTTCTTTCTTCATTAACTAATGAACGTTTTATTAAAGCAAAATAAGCTTTTAGTGCTTTTTCTTTGATTATAGATCCTTTACGAACATAAAGTTGACCTGTAACCCAAATAGGTATTTTTTCATTATCATCAAAAAACTTTTAAATATTTTCTGAATAATGTATTCTTTAGTATGCTTTTTATAAATCTAATTAAAATTAGTGTTAAAGTTCAACATTTATATAAAAGTTCTATTCTTCTTGAATAATAATTTGCAATATTTAAGCACAGCTTTCCTCAATTCCATATGCTCTTATTAATTTTTCAAGTGGAAAATCTGCATCAACTTAATCAATAAAATCATAATGTGTAACTTTGATGGCTGTAAAGAAGCAATCAATAGGTCTCATTCTAACGATAAATTCGATTGTATGATCAGCAATACATACATAATGTTCAGGTAGATTATACAGCTAAGATTCATTAATATCAGTGTGATTAAATAATCGATTTACAGTCATTTTACCAATATTGTAAATGTTTTTAGGAATATCATGACCTTTTTGACCATGAAGTTCGATTTTTTCAATTGCTTCTTTTGATGTATCCCTATATATAGAATATTATATTTAGTTATAAGCATTGTATTTAGAAATTTATTATTCTAAACTTCTAAAATATTGGATATGGGCCATATCTAGAAATTACGCAATGATATAATTATCTAAATGAAATAATGACAATTAATCCTCTTTATATACATACTTCAGAATTTAATTTTATTAAATTGTTAACATCTCTTTTTGTTTGTATTATATTCTACTTTCATCTAAACATACTCCATATGGGATATCGGTATCGATTTTCATATAGGGATTCTTTCTTTAAATGATCTAAAATTCAGGCTTTAGTTTTATATATTATTATTGAGTAACATTTAAATTCTAAACAGTTGATTAGTATTATTTAATTTCATCGATAGATCTATCTTATAATTCAAATAATAAATGAAATTGTAATTAGTCTTTAGTTGTTATAATTAGTACGATCTTATTAGTTTAGTATTGCCTTTCAAAAAACACATGATAAAATTACAAATTTTGATAATCAAATTAAGTTTTGCATTCTACATTAGAATTGTAAAGTTAAGATTATTTTATAGTGATTATTTCTTAAAATAGTTCTCCTTAAAGTCCAATATCATAAATTGTTATAAACGTATCTTCAACATTTTCATCTTTATCAAGTTTTTCAAATAAACCATAACAAATATTAAATTCTTCTTGTATTTCTAATTAGATTAATCCTTATTATGAGGACCAAGGAGTTAAATCTTTGAAAATTCTATTGAATTGTTTCTTTATTTTTTCTTTGAATTAAGTAGTGTAGTTTTATGCTGAATCAATTGATTTACATGTGAGAGTACCTGAACTTCCTCCATAGATTAAATTTTCTTAATAAAAGATGATTTAATTAACTATTTCTCCATTAACATTGAATGCCTGTTTTAGCATTTTAAAATTTTCCAAATCTGCTGTAAATGTATACAAAAATATTTTGAATTCAGAAGCAATTGCCATTGTCCATACATCATTTAATTGTTAAAATCCAACGGCTGTAATATACTCTAAGTGATTAAACTATTGTTCTTTGACTCTAATTGGAAATTTATACTTTTTCTCATCCTACAATCAAATAGATATGTTTACAGTATTGTAATAATAATTAAGGTCTTCTTGTTAAGGTGAATAGAAATAGAATAATAAAGTTTTCTCATTTACCACAAAGTATAGAAAGCCATCTTATATGCCACTTAAAGAACAATTATCATTAATTCTTATCTGTTCATGATGAAAATTAACAAAATGTCCTCTATATAATGGAATTGCTAAAATGTATTATGATTAGATACATAAATTGCTAGGGAGATTGACAGTTTATTAATTTCCAAAAAGTGTGTTAATAGGATTGAAAGAAGTAGAGGATTTCTTGCTCTTCAAATCCTAAAAAAGTACTTATGGTGATGTTGTCTTTGGTTTTGCATGTAACATATTTATTTTAATTAAATATAATCAGGAATGATGAGTTTTACATGGCGCCTTTTCATAATCTAAGATGTTGCGCATTAAATATGAGACTGTTGGACACTCATCCACTTAATAATCACAATTTTATTGTTACTTGAATCATAAAGATCACTCTATATACTGAATCTTTTTGTTTATGATTTACTTGCTTCACCATCACTAGCTTCTTTCAATTCAATTATAGTCTTTAGAGTTGGCAACCCTTAACGTTAATTGTGTGGCTTAGCTTTTTGTTTTGCATTTACAAACCATTAATGTGTTAGAGCATCAGACAATGAGCAATTTGATAATAACTTTTTTATCAGATCCAATTGACTTGATGAAAATATGTGTATAAATTATGAATCTGGGGTCTTCATCTCTAAATAAAATATTAATATTCAACATGTTAAGACATCAATTGTTTCATCGATTAGTTCATATTTTATTACTAATTCCTTCATATACTTTTAAAACAGTTTGTAAGGGTCACTTTTTCGCTTTTATTATTAATTTGCGTACTTTCAAATCTTGATTTATTTTTGTATAAAATGTAATGATATAAAGTAAAACTCCTAATTGATAGAGATCAGAATGTATTCCTGGTATTTAGTTTTCTTCAAAACCACTCCAATAATATTTATTTAAATTAACCCATTTTAAATATTCATTAATATCATCTCCTTATTTGAAAGGCTAAAGAAGTTAAGTTATTTATTACATAGTATATAAAACCAATAACAGCAATCTCTAATGATTAACTTTCTCTATTGATTAATATATTTAAGGCATTAATATTACCATGATAAGCCTAGTGTTCATTTAAATAGCGCAACAAAAGTAAGATCTAATAAATCAACTAAAAATAAGATAAAATGATACTGTAGCAACTTAAACTTCCATAAACTATATATTCTCTAATAAGAAATTAAAGACTGGTTCACCTTCGAATCTTTCAGTAATCATGACGTAATTATTGGTATCTTCATAGATTCTTCTTATTTTGAGGATTGAATGATTCTTGCTTTCATGTAATAAGCCAAACGTATGATCTAGATAGGGTTGTTGCTTATTAATTATATAGGCAGAAAACTATTATCGATTCTTAGATTTAAAGATTTAGTTACTTTTTTTTTAATGATAGAGTAGAAATCTTGAAATAGCTGTTCCTAAAGACGATATTTGACTAGTAAGTTTTTCATAATGCAAAATTGCTTAATCTAATTATACCAATGTTTCTGAATATCGAAACTGCTAAAGAATAGCATAATGTCATTTCCAAGTAGGAGGAGATAACATTTTTTATTATTGTGAATCAATTGTTTCCTCTTGATTTAATATTGTGAAAGCTGAATGTAATGAGTATTGATTTTAAGAACATTAGGATATAAGGTACATTATTCTTTGATAATTTAACCATCGAACATGACAGTTAAATTTTAATTGAGAAGTATTTATGTTAGCCTTGGTTGATGATTCCATTCTTTTTAATGTTGAGTACATATTAAACTTTAAGCTAAATTCTTAAACTCATGGAAATCGTAGCTATCTTCACGACGATGTGCAAAATCATTAGTATTAGTTCTAGTTGATCTAGATATGAAGTTCTACATTTTAATTAATGTTTATTTGTTGTGGTAAGAAATAAAAAATTGAAATTGCAAACTTAAGATCTCAACCATTGTAGAGTGTCAAAATGCAATTGTAAGAGGATAGTATCGATGCCAAATTCGAATTTCACTTAGAAGTAAATCAATCAAGTATTAAATAGAAATTCTAATGGAAATTGATGAGAGAAGCAACAGGAGAAGAATTGGTTAGGCAATAACAAAAATAAAAAGAGAAAGAGAGATTGAAATTAGAACAGCAATAGAAATTATAAAAAGAAGATGAGGAACTCCAAAGATTGTAAAGTTAAATTGAATAACAAACATTTGTTCAAAAAGAGAAAAAGTAATTGCATGATCAATTAAATGATTTGTTCACTAAGTTAAAAAAGGACTATTTAATAACTCAAATTAAGAATGAATTGCTTAAGAAGATGATCGAAGATGATAAGAAGTAAATGGGAGAGATTACAAACTATGAATTTGCTAAAAGTTGAATTTGTTTAATAATGTATTATAATACTTAGAAATGTTACATATTTGGATTAAGAAAATGAGAAACGAATATTTAAACTAAATAAAATTAGAGAATAAAATAATTTCTTCTTTTATTTAGAGAATCGTGATGATCATTTATATAAATTTTATTAAAAGATATGAATAAATAACGCAAGACTCAATTGGAAGAGTTATAAGAGAAGGAGAGCAGCTTTGGTCGAGTGTTCAAAGTGGCTGGTCCATGTATTTAGTTAGATTTAATTTAATAGTGGTCGTTGCAGAGAAGATGGCCGGTGCTAAAATGTTTGAGTTAGTAAAGGTTGGATGGGATAAGCTTGTTGGTGAGATTATTAAATTAGAAGGAGATAATGCATCAATTCAATGTTATGAAGATACATGTATATAGATTATTTTTATATGATTAGCTGGTTTGACAGTGGGTGATCCTGTAATGAGAACAAAGTCTCCTCTTTCAGTAGAATTAGGACCAGGTATAGATAAATATTAATTAATATAGGTATTTTAACATAAATTTTCGATGGAATTCAAAGACCTTTATAAGTGATTGCAGAGTAATCAGCTTCTATATTTGTACCAAGAGGTGTTGATATTCCAGCTTTAGATTAAGATAGAATTTGGGAATTCAAACCATTGTCATCAATAAAAGTAGGTTCAATGATATCTGGAGGTGATATATATGGATCAGTGTTTGAAAATAATTTATTTGATGAACATAAGATCTTAACAGCACCAAAAGTATAAGGAAGAGTTACTTATATTGCACCAGAAGGGAATTATACATTAAAAGATAAAGTGTTAGAAGTAGAATTGGATGGAAAGAGACATTAATATGGGATGAGTCATTTTTGGCCTGTTAGATAACCTAGACCTATAATAGAGAAATTGTAAGGTAATACACCATTGCTTACTGGATAAAGAGTACTTGATGCACTTTATCCATCAGTATTAGGAGGTACTTGTTGTATTCCAGGGGCATTTGGATGTGGCAAAACATGTATTTCATAAGCATTGTCAAAATATTCAAATTCTGAATGTATTATTTACGTTGGATGTGGAGAGAGAGGAAATGAAATGGCTGAAGTACTTAGTGAATTTCCAGAATTAACAATTTAAATGAAAGGTAAAGAAGAGAATATTATGTAACGTACTTGTTTGGTTGCAAATACATCAAATATGCCTGTGGCTGCAAGAGAAGCATCTATTTATACAGGAATTACATTAGCTGAATATTTTAGAGATATGGGTTTTAATGTATCTATGATGGCTGATTCAACATCTAGATGGGCAGAAGCTTTAAGAGAAATATCTGGTAGATTAGCAGAAATGCCTGCTGATTAAGGTTATCCTGCATATTTAGCATCAAAATTAGCATAATTTTATGAAAGAGCAGGAAGAGTTAGATGTAGAGGTTCACCTGATAGAGAAGGATCTATTACTATTGTTGGTGCTGTTTCACCACCAGGAGGAGTAATTTATTATTTATTATTATTTATTAGGATTTTACAGATCCTGTTACTACTGCTACTCTTACTATTGTTTAAGTCTTTTGGGGATTAGATAAAAAATTAGCATAAAGAAAACATTTCCCATCTGTTAATTGGACTATTTCTAATTCTAATTATGAAAAAATACTAGAACCATATTTCAATGCTTTTGATCCAGAATTTTCACATCTAAGAGTCATGTTTAAATAAATATTACATGAAGAATCTGAATTAAATGAAATTGTTCAACTTGTAGGAAGAGATTCTCTTTCTGAAGATTAAAAATTATCTCTAGAAGTATTCACTCACTATATAATACTTTTTAGATTGCTAAAATTATTAGAGAAGATTTCTTATAGTAAGATGCATTCAGTAAATATGATTATAATTGCCCACTTTATAAAACTATTGGTATGATGAGATGTATTGTTTCATTCTTTGAATGTGGTAAAAAAGCTATTCTTGAATCTTCTGGAGATGCCAAAATTACTTGGAATATTATCTTAAATCAAACTAAACCATAATTTGTCAAATTATCATAAATGAAATTTGAAGTATTTTTATATTATATTTATCCTTAGGATCCTAAATAACCTAAATAAGAATTAATGAATTATTTCACTAAATTTGTTGATGAAATTAAATCAGCATTTAGAAATTTAACAGATAAATGAGTATTATTAAAATTACATAAACATAATTATCATATTCTTTACTTTAGCTGTTCTTCTACTTAACTTTTAAAAATATATTTTATTATTCTTATTAAATTATTCATTCTTACTTAAACACATTTCAAGATCAATATAATTCTTATTTACTTTCTAGACTTTTTATACCTTTCTCTGATATTATTATTTTTTAGTCTTTTTCCCTTACAATTTATATCAAAGTTTTTGAACTAAGAAATTTACTTCTATTTTTAGATCAGCCCAATCGAATTAGAGAAATAAAAAAACTATACAACATTTAAATACTTTCTGCACCTATTAACTTTTGGATTTAATATATTCATATAAATTAGTAAGCCTTTATTAATTTTAATTATAGACTCAAGCTAAAACTCTTTACTATTTTAAAATAACTATTACAAAACATAATTAATTTCACACATCATCAAATCTAACTTTCTTTTAATTCTGATTGAAATTAGCCTGACTGCGAAATAAACTATATTTTGTTTCTTTTTTCAAGATAGTCTTTTTAGATCCAATTGAAATAGAATCACATGAATCTCTCATCTAAGGCTTTTCTTTAACAGCATTTTCGGTTAATTAGATTGAATCGACTCTATCCATATCCCCTGTTAGTTCCTATATTTCTAAACTACTTGCAGCTATTCTATTATATTCCTTTCCAGTATCATCTATAAATTATAATCTATTATTTTCGTAAGTTTATTTTCTCTCATTCTCCTTATTCTAATCTGTACCACTTTAACGACTTTTTTTATTTGAAATTTAAGCTTTGTTCTTTAATTTAATCTTTTATTACTGTTATAACTCAAATCTCTAATCTCCTTAAGCTTAACAACAGCTTGATCCCATAAGTTTTAATTTTTATATTAATTATATTTTCCCTTATAATAAATTTCTAATCCATTTAAGCGCTTACTTCAAAACTCTTACATCTATCACTTTTTTAGATTTTACAATATTTTACAAAGACCATTTTAGAGAATATTATATCTATAAAAAATATACTAAAATCAAAAAAATTAACTCACTTGTTTTCTTTACATGTAAAAAAAAATAAAAAAATAATTCTCCTTAGGTTCTCTTTATAAACCACTCAAAAAGGCTTGAAAAATAGAAATTTATAATGAGCATATATGAAATGCCTATATTCAAAACTAAATTATTCAAAAAGAAGCAAATTAATTCATGATCATCACAACCTTAATTGTTACATTCTATCAGAGGGAAAATACAGCTTTTGCATCGTTTTACTATTGTGTATAGCTCGCTACTCAATTTTTTAAAGTATTAAGAAGTTAAATCAAAAACAAGAAAAATTTCCAAAATAATATTCTTAAGTAATTTTTAATTGTAAAATTTTTACAAAAATCACTTCTCAAAACATTTGATGGAGTTAATTTCAGCTAATATTGTATTTATATTCTGCTCTGATGAAGTTTAGAGTATACATTAAAAAATCTTTATTGCTTAAATATTAATACATTAAATAAGACTAAGATAATTTTTAAAGTAATTGAAAATAACACAAAAGAGAGATTGAGACAATGAAAATTCTTTCAAAATAAAACTTTGTCACTTCTAAAAAATTATTCCTTAAAATTATTCTTTGATGTCTCTTTGTTTTATTGGTCTTCAATTATTATATTCACTAAACAAATGATTTAAAAAATTTTAATTTCAGTATCATCATAAAATAAGTTAAAAAAGAGTTTTTAAATTTTACAAAATAATCAATAATTAAATTCGGAAATCATCTCATCCTAGAATTTCATAAAATTAGTATATTTACTCTCAACATAATAATATATATTTTAAGTTTACAAAATTTTAAAATTTAATTAAATATAATTCATTTACAAAAAATTATTCTTTGTAGCATTTACCTTATTCTATTAATCATCCTTTTTATATCAAGGTTTTACAACAAATTTTTATTTTACAATTGGATATATCAATCTTCTTCGTCATATATTATAGATTACTAATTATAATGACTACAATATTTTTTAATTTTCAATCAAATTTACACTTTAAAAAGAAAATTTGATGGAAAAATTAAAAAAAGTAAATTCTTTTGAGGTACTAATTTCTTGAAATTTCATTTAAGGATTTGCACTTTTTTGTTCATATGAATACTCTAATTTGGTCAAATTTTAATTTTAACACACATTATATTAAACTAAAGAAAAATAAAATTAAAAGCAAATATTTTATTCTCCTTTATTTTATTCTATGCTTAAAATATTTATATTTTGAAGTCCATTTTCGAGGATCTTGTAGAATAATCCTACTTTTTTAAAAATTCCAATGGGAATTAGTATTTCTAGTGATTCTATTTAAAATTTTCGTATTAGTTCGAAACGAATATGATAAATTGAGTATATAGGTTCTAATGTACACTCTAAAAAAATCATATATATTAATAACTAAATATAAAATATAATAAAAAAAATAACAAAATCATATTGATTGTTGCAAATCTAGTTTATATTGAAGATTATGTGGACATTATTGTATTTCAAAGACATAAAGTATTAAAATCGTGAAAAATAAGAAATTTTGGAAGGGATAAGTTTTTAAAGTAATATTTTTATACTAGTAATATAAAAATGATTGTAAAACATTTAAGAGACAGGATTAAATGAAATTAAGATCAAAAGAATAAAATTTCAGAGATAGGTTTACTTTGAAAATAAAGAATAATTGTGTTGATAATCATTATAATCAAAACTACATTTTATTTTTTTATTTAAAATCATTTAAGACAATTTTCTTAATTCCTACATATAAGAGTCAGGAGCTGCATAACTTTAGCCTTTTAACGCTTTGGGTAATTCCTAAATTTTTTCTACAGTCACAATTTGATCTGAGTTTTATTAGGTATATTCAAATTAAAAAATAATAAATTAATTTGTATAAGTAGAATTAAGATTACTAAAATCAATACTGGATTTTTGAAAAACAATCTACCAGGAGAGTGATTGTTTAATTCTAATAGGAGATTATTATTATATGTATTTTTATGCTTTAGGTGATTAATTATTTCTTAAAATGATTCAATTATGATTCTTTGAAGTCCCTAAAATTTTTTCTTTACATACTGTGCATATTTCTAATAAGTCAAAATAAAAGATGCCTAATGTATAGTATAATAATTATAAATATATAATAAAAGATGAATATTATATATAGATTTAAAGTTATAAGTAAGCTTAATCATGATATAGTGATGAAATGATTAATTTTAGAATAAGTTATTGATTTTTGAATTGATTGATTATTAAATTAGAATAAATATTGAAAACTAATAATAGTATTTGTAAAGTTTGATAAAACTATATAATAATGAATTATAATAATTATGAAAGTTCTTAAGTTTTAAAGTTGTAATGAATGAGATAAAGATTTAAGAATAAGTTTTAATGTATTTTACTGGGAATATAGGAAATTCGTTTTAATTAATTTCTAAAATGAAAACAGTTTTGATAGTAATTGCTTTATGTTTAGTTGGTGCAACATCGATATCACCATATACTAAATTGAACTATTCTAAATAAAGATCAATGGCAGCTGTTTTAGCTGAAGTAGAGTCGAAGATGGAAACAAACTCTCCATTGGATGCAGTTTTGAATGTTTTAAAATAATTCAGAGATGCAGTAAATGTAGAATAAGTAAATCATGATTAAATTTACAATATTGAATATAGTGAATGTGATTCAGAGTTTGAATTTAGAAATAAAGAAGTTGAGGAAGCTTCAAATGTAGTTAGAGATTCAACTGCTTAGTTGAATATATGCAAAACCTCTAAAATTAGAACAATTAATTAATAAGAAGTTAATTAATAATAATTATTCACATATTAAGAACATTTAACATTAGTACTTTAAACTGCTGAAAGTGAATAAGGATATTTTAAAAAAAGAGGAAGAGATTATGAAGATTCACTTCATGCTATTGATGAAGCACTTGATATANCTACATATAAGAGTCAGGAGCTGCATAACTTTAGCCTTTTAACGCTTTGGGTAATTCCTAAATTTTTTCTACAGTCACAATTTGATCTGAGTTTTATTAGGTATATTCAAATTAAAAAATAATAAATTAATTTGTATAAGTAGAATTAAGATTACTAAAATCAATACTGGATTTTTGAAAAACAATCTACCAGGAGAGTGATTGTTTAATTCTAATAGGAGATTATTATTATATGTATTTTTATGCTTTAGGTGATTAATTATTTCTTAAAATGATTCAATTATGATTCTTTGAAGTCCCTAAAATTTTTTCTTTACATACTGTGCATATTTCTAATAAGTCAAAATAAAAGATGCCTAATGTATAGTATAATAATTATAAATATATAATAAAAGATGAATATTATATATAGATTTAAAGTTATAAGTAAGCTTAATCATGATATAGTGATGAAATGATTAATTTTAGAATAAGTTATTGATTTTTGAATTGATTGATTATTAAATTAGAATAAATATTGAAAACTAATAATAGTATTTGTAAAGTTTGATAAAACTATATAATAATGAATTATAATAATTATGAAAGTTCTTAAGTTTTAAAGTTGTAATGAATGAGATAAAGATTTAAGAATAAGTTTTAATGTATTTTACTGGGAATATAGGAAATTCGTTTTAATTAATTTCTAAAATGAAAACAGTTTTGATAGTAATTGCTTTATGTTTAGTTGGTGCAACATCGATATCACCATATACTAAATTGAACTATTCTAAATAAAGATCAATGGCAGCTGTTTTAGCTGAAGTAGAGTCGAAGATGGAAACAAACTCTCCATTGGATGCAGTTTTGAATGTTTTAAAATAATTCAGAGATGCAGTAAATGTAGAATAAGTAAATCATGATTAAATTTACAATATTGAATATAGTGAATGTGATTCAGAGTTTGAATTTAGAAATAAAGAAGTTGAGGAAGCTTCAAATGTAGTTAGAGATTCAACTGCTTAGTTGAATATATGCAAAACCTCTAAAATTAGAACAATTAATTAATAAGAAGTTAATTAATAATAATTATTCACATATTAAGAACATTTAACATTAGTACTTTAAACTGCTGAAAGTGAATAAGGATATTTTAAAAAAAGAGGAAGAGATTATGAAGATTCACTTCATGCTATTGATGAAGCACTTGATATATTATCAGGTATTGCTAATGGTAAAAGAAGTTTTGTTGATTTAAGTAGTGTAAGTAAAATGATGTTATAGACTTCATTTAACATTTAGTAAACAATTATTTATGCTCCTATTTTTTATGCATTTTCATAATTAGCATCATAAGAAGATTCTGCTGATCCCAGTTAGATTGAAAGAGTAGAATAATTGTTATTACAATTAAGAGAAAACATATAAGATACCTATAATGAATTTATTGCTTCAAATTCTGCTTCAGTTGCTGCTTTTAATGATTAGAAGGAAAGAATAAATGTGATCTTAAATAGATTATCAAATTAAGATGAAAAATTATAAGATAAATTGGATCATTTAAATTAATGTATAGGAACTTAATCAGCTATTGTATAAGCAGCTTCAACAAAGTTAGAAAGAAATCAACAACTATGGGATTAAGCTGTTGCATTATGTGATACATTTTAAATTGAATATTAAAATGCTTCTAGATCAAGAAGATTAGAAATGTCACTGATTACTGAATTAGAAGAATAAGTCATTAAAAGATTCTAGTAAGTATAAGAACAAAAGCGACCTAGAATGCTTAGATTTGCCAAACTTAAATATTGATTTATATTCATAATCATTATGAAAAATACATTTCTTCCAAATTTTCATAACTTAGAATTAACTCTCTATATAAATACTGTAAATTAATTTATTCACAGAATTTTTATTTTTTCTATATTATATATTATGTATTATAGAAGAAATACTTCAGAATGTTTATTTGAAAATATATATTATAGAAAAAAAAACATTGTATAAAATGGCTAACATATAAACAACTGATAATATTACTTAAGTGATTCAAATAAATCCTTAAATTCAAACACTTCCAAATTAAGTTTAAATTCCTAATCAAATTACACAAATGTAATAATCCCAATAATAAACAATTACTGTATATGCTCCTTAATTAAATCTACCAAAGCCTTAATTTAATCTTAATCAAGTTCAAGCCATCTAATTCCCTTAATCTCAACATCCTTAAAACATGATTCCACCTTAATAATAATAATATGTCTAATATCAATAATAACCATAAATAATGTAACCATTGCTTCCTATTATTAAACAAGAGGAAACCTTAAAACATGATTAATTAAGATTGGCTGGTAAAATGGAGAGAAGATATTTTAATTTACAAGTTCTTTGTTTCTTTCTCCTATTTTAAGCCTTTGCTTTAATTCTATGCTGTGCTTCATATCAAAATAATTTTACTCAATTCCAATATAATCTTTATGGAAGCTTTAAAGTTCCCTTTTACATCTTTACTGTGATGATGAGTCTTTCACTTATTTATTCATACGCAATCTCCAAAAAATCAAAGGATAAATAAATTAATACTATTCTTTGTGTTTTTTATGGATTAACATATGGTTTCTTTATTTAAGCTTTGTATTCCTCTACTTATTATAATTTCACATATTATTAAAATGGTAACTATTATCACTTTTTGGAATCAAATGGAGATGATGTTATAGTAGTAATAGTATACAGTTTTATAAATCTTGAAACTTTGTCATTATTTTCTTATACAATGTAAGAGTTAAATCAATTAAATTTTAAAAGTAATTTTTTACTATTATAATTAGGTTCTTTCTGGTACATAGTGATACCTACTATTACCTATGGTGGAATTTTATTTTCTCTTTATGATAAATATGCTATTTTATGTGGAATTATCTTTGGTGCAATTTTCTTTGGGTTTTATTTATAATTCATACTGTAAAGAATTAATCAATCTACTAAAGTAATTATCATTTTTATAATCAAATAGTTTAATTTAAGAACCGATGATGGTTAATATGCAGCTGTTCTATTCAGTTTCTTAATTTTAATTCCATTTTTTGANGATTTGCCAAACTTAAATATTGATTTATATTCATAATCATTATGAAAAATACATTTCTTCCAAATTTTCATAACTTAGAATTAACTCTCTATATAAATACTGTAAATTAATTTATTCACAGAATTTTTATTTTTTCTATATTATATATTATGTATTATAGAAGAAATACTTCAGAATGTTTATTTGAAAATATATATTATAGAAAAAAAAACATTGTATAAAATGGCTAACATATAAACAACTGATAATATTACTTAAGTGATTCAAATAAATCCTTAAATTCAAACACTTCCAAATTAAGTTTAAATTCCTAATCAAATTACACAAATGTAATAATCCCAATAATAAACAATTACTGTATATGCTCCTTAATTAAATCTACCAAAGCCTTAATTTAATCTTAATCAAGTTCAAGCCATCTAATTCCCTTAATCTCAACATCCTTAAAACATGATTCCACCTTAATAATAATAATATGTCTAATATCAATAATAACCATAAATAATGTAACCATTGCTTCCTATTATTAAACAAGAGGAAACCTTAAAACATGATTAATTAAGATTGGCTGGTAAAATGGAGAGAAGATATTTTAATTTACAAGTTCTTTGTTTCTTTCTCCTATTTTAAGCCTTTGCTTTAATTCTATGCTGTGCTTCATATCAAAATAATTTTACTCAATTCCAATATAATCTTTATGGAAGCTTTAAAGTTCCCTTTTACATCTTTACTGTGATGATGAGTCTTTCACTTATTTATTCATACGCAATCTCCAAAAAATCAAAGGATAAATAAATTAATACTATTCTTTGTGTTTTTTATGGATTAACATATGGTTTCTTTATTTAAGCTTTGTATTCCTCTACTTATTATAATTTCACATATTATTAAAATGGTAACTATTATCACTTTTTGGAATCAAATGGAGATGATGTTATAGTAGTAATAGTATACAGTTTTATAAATCTTGAAACTTTGTCATTATTTTCTTATACAATGTAAGAGTTAAATCAATTAAATTTTAAAAGTAATTTTTTACTATTATAATTAGGTTCTTTCTGGTACATAGTGATACCTACTATTACCTATGGTGGAATTTTATTTTCTCTTTATGATAAATATGCTATTTTATGTGGAATTATCTTTGGTGCAATTTTCTTTGGGTTTTATTTATAATTCATACTGTAAAGAATTAATCAATCTACTAAAGTAATTATCATTTTTATAATCAAATAGTTTAATTTAAGAACCGATGATGGTTAATATGCAGCTGTTCTATTCAGTTTCTTAATTTTAATTCCATTTTTTGATATCAGAAATAATAAAAGTGATGAAATGGTTTAAGAATCTTAAGGCTAAAACTCTTAGTAAAAAAATGTACAATGAGGAAAATCATAAAACAATACCCATAATTTATATCATTAACTTGTTATTCAATATTATTAATATATTAATCGAATGACATCTCAACAAAAATAAGAAGCCTTTGTTCCTATCTTTTTATCTTTAGAAGAATATAATGAAATTATAAAGTAGCCCCCTAATATGCATTAATAATTGTTCCAAGAAATCTATTCAAAATAATAACAATAATAATAAGCTTAGTTACAACTATAGTAATAGATGCATCCTTATTTATAATTACAATAATAAAGTATTAATTAATCCTAAAGCTACAATCCTTAAATTGCGATTCCTAAAATTCCAACTCATCCTAATCAATACTCTTAAATTAATTCATAAGGATTACCCTATTAATATACATAACAATAATAATATAACTTGAATCAATATTTAATATAAAACTTGAATTAAGCACAAAAAGAGTAAATATAGCCTTTGAAACATGATGCTATTTCAAAAGCTGGAAAATTAGAACTTTAATATTTTTTTGAATGGTCTACTTCTTTATTTATAATTGAAATTTGTATTTCCCTCTTTATAAATACAATATCTGCTTTATTTCGTTGGGAACTGATTACTGGCTATTATTCATGGAGTCCTTAATTATGGGTAATATTAAGTGTATTCATAATTCTTAATTTATTCATTTTAACAAATCCAGCTTATATTACACATGTATAAAAAATATAAATATTTTAGAATAATAACTAAAAAGTCTTTTATTGGATACATGCTATTCTATATGTTCTACTTTTATAAGGTCTGTAAATAGCAGTTTCTGGATCAAATAGAATTTTTGCATGGGACACAAATTATTTCTACTATTTTTACTTAATAATATGTGTTGAATTTATTTCAATAAGATATGCGATAAAACGTCTAGGATTATAAAAGTCAATAAAAAAATATACTCATTTTATAATCTTTCCTCCTATCATTGCATATTTATTGGAGTTTATAAGTCAATATTATCGCTTTTTCTATTATCCTTTATTTTTATGGGTTATTATAGTTATGTTAATTGGAAGTGGCTTCATTTTACTAATAAATAAAATTGTTGAAAAAGGATATGTAATATATTTTATAATTTCTTAGAATAAATTTTAAACTGACCATGTTTTTGCCATGGCTATAAGTTTTCCAATTTTAATGATAAGTCCATTCTATGATAATGATGATGAATGATTAAAATAGAAATGATTTAATACATATATATATTTATAATAATAATGTAATATTAAGTATTATTTTATTAATAAATAGTGTTAAACAAATAAAAATTTATTCAAATTGTACTTCTGTAATATTCAACAATAGTTTAGAGTTACCTTATTTAAACAGGTTTTTCTAAATAAAATTTCATACCAACTTATTAACATTTTGGAAATTCAATTTCCTTTTAATGAGCTGAGCAAGCTACTATTATTGGAGATCTTAAGTCATTTTCTTCACAATATGAAAATATATGTTTAGATGCATTTATTCCATTAATTCCTAACATTTCTAAATCCATAAATATTAAACCGTACATATTGGAATTACAAAAGTTGCATTTTTCTCTTATTTTAACTTTTTCAATTGCTTTGTATCCATTAATTGAATAATCAATTTAATGAATTCCTCTAGATAAAATATTAAAGTATACATTCTAATTAATAGCATTTATAATGTATCTATATTGAATTAAGTATCATCAACAATTAATATTTTAGTGCAACAATCAACAATAGAACTCATCTATTTTTTTGGTTACGTAACTATAATTTAAATTTCTTTCAAACTTTCTTCATCTTCATTTAAATTTTCAATAACTTCACATTCCCCTCTTAAAACTGATAATTTATTACTAGTTGATTTTGCAATTTCTTATTCATAAATCTAAAGATCTTATAAATGTATCGTAAATGAAAAACTTGAACCTTTATGATAAATAGATTCAAATTTTAAACCTTAACCCAATTATTAAGCAATTTTATTACTAATTACTAATCCTAAACCTACTCCTTATGCATTTAATTTCTTACTCTCTTCAGAATTAATCTTTCCAAAAGCCTTCATTAACATTTCTTTATCTTACTCTTGTACTCCTATTCCAGAATCAGATATACTTATTTCTATTACTAAATCTTCCACTAATTCTACTCTCAATAATATATATCCTTCTTAAGTAAATTTAAATGCATTCCCTATTAAATTAATCATTATTTATTTTATTCTATTTTAATCTTATTCAATTATGTCTGGACAACCAGATTAATATTATAATGTTAATTTTAATTGTTTTTTCTCAGCTTGAAGATTAAACATCTATAAACATTCTTAACACAATAACTTTAAGTTAAACCTTTCCATTTTTAATTAAAACCTGTTCGCTTAAATCTGTGCCAAATCCAATAAGTCATTACATAAATTCAATAAGTATCTTGAATTATCAATTGAATTCTATATATATAAATTATTTTATTCTTTAGCAACATGTTCTAACATTGTTATCATACAACCCAAAGGAGCTCGGAATTCATGAGATACAAAACTAATCATTTTAGATTTATAATTATAATGTGTTTAAAGTTACTTTATATATTTCTTGTAACTCAAATCTCTACAAATTAAAGTCATAACTTTCTTTACTTAAGAATTTACATAAACATTCACTTCTAGAATAGGAGATGATTTAGACTATTAATATGCAATACATTACTTAATTAAGAAGTTTTGATTATTAAACATAAAATAAATAACTCTCTTTATTTTATTTATACCAAATTTTATCAAGCATTTATAACAAATTTACTTCCTTTGATCCTTGCTAAGGAATATGTTAGCTTGGCTATTTTGAATTAAATGATATGGATCCACTATATTACTTTATAGAATTTTATATTTCAATTCCTATACTTTTAACAGATTGCATAGATTTCTTTGCATCTAATTTTTCAATCTTATAATAATTTTAATAAGCTGTTTAAATCTAATTCTCATCTGAAATTTAAAACATTTGTTTAGCAGAACTATTAATAAAAGTTGGCTACTTTTCATATCCTTATTCATAAAGTATTACTCCTTCTCTAATTTAATTGAAACATGAATTTCTTGTAAAATTATCTTAAAATAGTTCTTATTAACTCATTTCTTTCCACTTATATCTTTCTGAATTCTAAAATAGCTCTATTAATTTTGGAGATGACTATAAATTTTATTATTAAAAGTTTTCATAATTCATTAAGGTAAATATAAAATAGACAGTGCCATAATGAATTGCTGGCCAGATTATTTATTTATCGAAATGTTCAAATAGTCTAACTATACAATAAAATTCAATGTATATTAAATTTACAAATAAGATCCAAAATTTCACTTAGTTCTTAAACATTAAGTAAGCATAAAATAAAGAGTGTGCAAAGCAAAATTAAGGAAATTAAATTTCTACATGCAAAGTATATGTTAATAATATTTGTATCATGATTATCCATTTTTTTTCTAATGTCTAATTGTAATAGATAATTATAATAGTAAATATTACCAATGCAAGTATTGTTAGATTCTTATAAGTGAAAGAATCAACAATTTATTATATTAGTTGACCCAATAATAAAAAACAATTAATAAATAAGGCATGTGATATTTTAATATTCATTATATTAATGTCACAACTGGCATGTACTACATCGTTTTTACCCAGGCCCTAATATCATTAATACCTCCAAAAGCATAAGTTCCAGTTACTGCTCCAGTAAAAGCATTATTGAATTCATTCTTTCCTACATACTCAATTTCAAAGGCATTCTTATTTTTTATTGCAAAATAATCAAAGCTCAACTCCTCTTAATTACCTCCCAATACTACAATTAGATCTCTTTTTTAAGCTGAATCTAATTTTTATTAATAATAATCTACCAGCTAATTTAAATTCTTATAAATAAAAAATCTAAGAACCTGCTCGTGGAACACTTAATTTTGTTTTTGATTTCAAATTTTCTATTGATCCTTTTTCAACATCCATTATAGCTATGTTATCTGTAACCTTTTCACCATTTGAACCTCCAAAAATTAAGATATGCTTCTCTGAAATAGGCATACAAGATGAACCCAAATGATTTGTAATATTTAAACCTTGTCTATATTTAAAATCTTTCCATTTTCTTGTTGTTATATCAAAACATTCTACTTTATTGCTATGTAGGATTTTCTAAATATAATTTCTATTAATTTTACTGTTTCTTCATTTTCAAAGGTGAATCCACCATATACATATACTTTATTATTTAAAACAAATCCTGAGAATCCAGCTCTAGCTTAAATCATAGGTTCTACTATTTCCCATTATTATTCTCCATTTTAATTGACAGGTCCTTTTTCATCATAGATTTCACATGAATTCAAGAAACCCCATTCATCTTAAATTATAAATTAACCTCCAACTACTAAATATAAATATTAATTTGTAGTTCCTGGTTTTAATAATTCAAAAACTTTATGATTATGTCTTGCATCATTCATTTATGGTATTACAGATACTTTTTCTGCTTCAATTTCATTGCCATCTTCATCTTCTCTTGTTAATCCTTATCTCCATAATTCATATTTAATTCTATGTCCTTCCATATGATCATGTAATTAAATTCTAAAACAAAAGGCTGAGCTCTATATGTGATTATTTTCATTATAAGCACCTCCTGTTATTAAAAATTCTGCTCCATTCTACTTTTAAACATATGAAGAAAAATAAGGAACACAAGGTGGTTAATCTTTACTTATGAAAGCCCATCCAGCTATAAATAATTTATTATTTTTACGTTCAACATTACCAGTAGCAAAATTATATCCTATTGATGGGTAAAATTATTCTTCTTATTTTTCTTAATCAACAAAAGGAGGATGAATTACAATAGTAAATGTAAACTAATTTTATTTTTGCATCATTCCCAATTTAATTTTTATATTATTTATGAATCATAAAAATACTATTCTAAATAAATATAAAACTAAATATCATTCACACTTATCCATATAAAATAAATATCACCAATTTTGTTAATGTTTTATTTTATTAATATTTTAATCATTGAAACCAATATATATAATTACACTCTTTATTTTCATTATCATTTAGAACTAAATAAAACATGGAGATATCATACTTATAATATTATATATTAAATCTTACATTAATCCACAAAAACAAAAATTATGTTAAATAATATTTTGTTGTAAACCAAAAAAAAAGAAGAAAATCAAACATAAAGAAATTCTGAATCCTCAATTCCAGAAAATTCAACTATGCACACAAATAATTTATAATAATCATCAATTTAAAATTCAACTAATTAAGAGACTGGCTCTCGTAATACTTATGCTTAGTTAGATTAAATTTATTAACCCTTAATACAACATAATTAATAATTATCTAGTCTAAGTGATTTATTAAAACAAAGATTTCTTATTTAGATAACAGGTATTTGGATTTTTTAGGAAGCTATATAAATAATTATGTCAGTCATTACTATTTTAGATTTTAACTACGATAATTTGTTTTATAATTTTGACAAGGGAAAATATAGAGCACCACTATATTTATTTTTTTTTATATCTGCCTTATAATTATTGCTAATCAGATTTTATAAACCATTTAGATGTGTATATTTTAAATATAATTACTAAGAAACATATTGCTTTTTTCATATTCTTGATTTTCACTATTTCATATTCCTTATGGATTAGTGGTCTTATAGCTGCAGAACATTCTGATATTTGGAATATCGAAATTAGTGTTTAAATAGGCTTTGCAATTTTTATTGGTATTATTTGTAATTTTCTTACCTTAATTACTCTACAATTTCAATTTTCTCTAACCAAAAAACAAATATCATTTTTTAGTAAGATGTTAATTAAATATTCTTAGGAACTATTAAATATGTTTTAATTCCTCCATTTATATATGCCTTTATATTTTAAATTTTCAATCCTTTTGATTATACTGCAGTACTTATTTTATGGATGTCAACTGAATTATGGGCTCTTACATTTGGAGGCTTATATCTCTACAGTATACTACAAATAATGCATGGTAAAGTAAAAAAAGATAAATTTATTTTAGTTTCATCTAAATCAAGATTAAACCATCTCTGCAGCACTTTTGGCATTTATCAACATGTTTTTTCCTTTTGGAAATTTTTGATATAACATAATATATAATAGAATGGATTTCTGAAGGGAAAAAAATATATAATAACTTATTTAATATCATTATTAATAATTTCTCAAAAAAGTCTTTATTTTTAACTTTGTTCATCTTTTCCTTCCAATGAAATCTAAGTATATCTATGATCTGAAAATATGTTCGTAAGTACTGCAGGTTGTTTCTGTCTTTTATTTATACGATCTTTCAAAATCCTAAACAATCGTTTGATTCTACTTCTCCTTTCAACATTTAATTCTAAATATTTTGACTTTTAAACAAATTCTATTTTAATGTATTTTTTTATAACCAATTTAATAGTATCTAATAATCCTTCATATTTTGAAATATGAACAGAAATAAATTTAATTATACTTTAATATACAAGATATAGTAATGAAATTAAAATTAAAATTTAAATGATGTAATTTATAATAATGGATTTATCTTATATTGAAAATTAAATAAGGCATAATAATAAAGAGATTGTGCAAAGAATTAAACAATCTATTTCAAATTTATTTAATTTTCCTACATTATAAGGTTTACTATTCGTAAAAATTAGGTAATAAGTAAAAAGTAAACAAATTAATAAGATCCCTTTAGTAAAAATAAAATCTTATAATAAAACAATAATTAAAGTAAGTAAAAGTCTTTAACTTAATCTGATTAATTCCCAATAATAATAATTTTTTTAATATTCATTAAAGAGATACCCAAATTTTTGTTTAATAGAATAATTATTAAAATTCTTTTTATTCTGATTAAGAGTTATAAATAAAATAATTGGAAAAATCAAACCAAAGCAAATCATCAAAGGTATAATAAAAAAATAAACAGCTCTTAAATGTACAGGAGTCCAATATTTATGAGCAACATTTGCACTTATCCATTCCTGATTTCCATACATCTTTGGGGTTAATAAAGAAGATAGTCTAAAATTATAAATATTAATTTTACATTTTAATTAAATTTAAAAAGCCTGATAAATATAAATAAAAGAATGATGAATAAATTGTTTCTTGGGAGAATTTGTTAAGTTATAATTGGTAAAGTAAAAATGAAAGCGAAATAAATAATATATACTGAATTATTTGAACTAAAATAATGAAAGCAAGATTTAAATAAATATAATCTATATCCATATTAGAGAGATAACAGTCAAAATTATTTGTATTAGAATATGTGGCATTTCCAACAAATTTAAATAGATCCTCAATATCAGATATAAAATTCAATTAAAAAGTATAAACAACTAAAATTATCTAAAAGTAATTACTAATTAATTTAATAACAGTTCCTGATTGATCTAAGATTAAAAAACTATTAATACCTTAAGATAATCGCACAAGTATATCATACATTTTAGTTTATGCTTTGCAATAAAGAAAGTTTTAATTCTATAACTGGGTACTTTTGACTGTTAAAGTAATCTATATCAAAACCCAAATAAAAACAAAGAAAAATTCTAATAATATTATTCCCTGATTTCCACATAGTAAACAAGTATATTCTGCTGTTTTTGAATACTTCCCAAGTCCTCTTGTATTGTATAGATCACATTCTTAACAAAGGGCTCCAATAGTTCCTTTCAAACATGTTTCATCTCCAATTTTCCATCCTCCAAGACAATTTTTTGGTTAATTCGAACATTACTCTAAAATTGATGAATATAAATTATATCTCCAAACTCCTGGGTATAAATCTAATAAATTTTCAGTATGATTTCTTATATAATATGGATTTGATTTTTCGCATTAACCAATAAGAGGATTTATACTATAATATCCTTTTGATGCATTACAAGCTAGACATTAATCATCTAGGAAATATTCTCCCATTTAACATTTAATTGTTTTAACATAAAAATTAAATTTATAATTTGCATCCTCGATGGCATCACAACTAATTCTTACTAATAATTGATTATTGGTATATGGATTTAAAATAAAAGAAGTATCTTCTAAATTAAGTGCATTTTCATCAGTATTAAATTATTTCTAAGTATAAGAAAAATTATTCTATAATATTGTAAAATCTTCATTCAGTAAATCTTATTCTATATTGCATAAAGTTTACAAATCATTTAGAGTTTAATCTTCTTAAAAATAATTTTAAATTCTCAATTTTAAAATAAAAGAATTATTACTAAATGTTAAACTTTTCATATCAAATTCTCTATATGATTATAATTATTAACCACTAGGTAGATGCAGCAATATAATTCCATTTTATGTTGAATATTTATTTTCAAATGAATTATTTATAATATAATTAATCTATACATTTGTATAAATTTTTAATTAATAATACTCTTATCCATAATTATTTGTCTTGTAAAGTGCTCTATTATTAAAAAATAAAGTTGTTGATAAAGATTTTACTCGATCATTTTTAAAAATTTTATTATTAAATATTCCACCACCTTGATTTGCCTCGTTTTCTGATATCACTGAATTTTTTATATAGAAAGGAGAGTTTTAAAGGTATATTGCTCCTCCTTTTTATAAAGCAGTATTATGAATGTATAAAGATTATTATATTTTAAATTTAACATTTGAAATAGAAACTTATCCATCTTTAGAATTTGAATTATTATAAAATACATGTCTTTTCAAAATAATTTATTCTTCTTGTCCTAATTATTATGAACTAATATTGAGTTTATTGTTTGAACTACAACTATTATTGATAAAGTTTAATTATTCCAATCTTGACTTAAAATACTTTTAATAATGAATGTTAAATAAACCAAGTTAAAACGTTATATGAGAAAATTAAACAATAGTCAAATCTTAAATTAAGAACTTTTGCTAATCATCAAAAAATTTAATTGATATTAATTAATCTGGAGGCAGACTTCTAAGTATAATCTAAGTTATTAAGCAATTCTTTTGTTTCAAAAAAAATGAAATAGCTTATGAATTCTCTAAGAGAAGTATCTCTTATTTTTATATTTAGAAACATGGTTCTTTATAAAATGAAGATAATCTAAATTAGTTTTATTATAATGTTAATTGATTAATGTGTAAATATTTCAATCGAGAATCTACAAAAATATTTATAATATACTTTTATATGATTCAAATAAGATCAAAGAATTAGTCAATAGTTCTCCAACTTATAAATTAATATTTAAAATTTTCATATTTTCAATTTTGGTCAAAGAGAAGACAGGTTAATTAATTACATCAAAACTCAAAAAAATATCATTAATAGTTAAATTACTAAATTATAAAATTTTGAATACCAGTAAGCAAGATAAAAATATCCATTATTTTCCCTAATATAAGATAATTCATTCTCATTTAATTCTTAATATTAATTTGTATTATTTAAAAATGCATCAAAATATACATTTGCTTAAATCTTGCTTAAAATAACAAAATTATATTAGGATTAAAGAGAAAATTCTATACTAAAAAAGCCTCTAAATAACGATATAACATTTTAAGCAGTAATATTTCTGAATTCAAGTCGATTATAAATATTAGAAGGAATTAAATACAAGAAACCCCCATCATAAAGACTGTAAGAATTTTTAATCTAAATATTAATGAATTTCATAAGCAAACTTGAATCCTTTGCATTTACATAAAAGGCTCCTCCTTTACTTTCCTTTTCCCCTATTGCTATACTTTCTATAATTGATAAATTATTTATAATAAATTCACTTTCTAAAACTAATTCAATTTTGCAAAATCCCCCTTAGAGAGCTTTTGAAAACATTGAAGACATGTTGATAAATGTTAGATACTAAGATTAAATATTAAAAACACTTCCTTCAGATTATATAGGGAACAACTACTCCAAGACTTTTATTGATAAATTAGAATAAATGGTATTTATGTACTAATATAACCAATCAGTATGTATATTAGCAAATGTACTTGTTAAATTTTATATTAAAATTTGTTTTGATTCAATATAAACAAGGGCATTTGAAGTATATGTAATAAGAGTATTATCGAATTTAAAATTGGTAAGCATAATTTCACTCTAAAATGATAGAAAAGAAATGAGAGATAATTAAATAGAGGTTTTTCTAATTTTCTCGTAAGAGTTACCAAAAATATATGAAAATTAAAAATTATCAAAAACTACTTTTGATGCTTTACTATTTTAAAATTAAATTAAAGATGTTTCATAAATTCCAAATTCTTAAATAAGTATTATATTCTTAATTTAAAAGCCAGAAACTAACACTTCCAGAACATTTGAATCATCTGATAATTTAATGAAATTTGAATTTTAGATTTTTAAATTGGTGATATTAAATCCTATAAATGTAATAAATTTCGAACTCTGAATATGAATTAAATTTTGTAAAGTTGGTTCAAAATTAAAATCTAATTATCTTTCATGACTTATCAAATTAATAGATTGTAAACCATAAATTTATACATTCTAAACTTTAATGTACATTGAATTAATAATATTAATTTAAAAACTGGAGGAAATAATTTTTGAGCAAAAATAATCTTAAATTAAAATATTTTTAGCTTAAATAGAAATGAGAAAATATATTTAATTTTAATCCACAGTCTAATTTAAAATATCAATTAAAATAGTTTAGATTTTAATATCCATATAGTAATCATGATAAATTTTAATTAAGTTACTATTTGAGAATATGTCAATAAGATATAGTTGTGAAATCTCAAGTTTTAAGGAGTATTGAAATAATCTTGAATTAGATTAGCTTGAAAGTAAACTAGAATTAAAAAATTTTGTTTCAGCAATTTCGATATTTTAGAATTGAGCAGAACTATGTATCAAAAATAAATTAGTTTTGGTTAAATTACATTATTAAATTTTAATACCTTAAATAATTTAAGAATTTGCTTAATAGTTTTTTATAAATGAAAATCCCTCTATCATGGAATTCATAATTGATACTTCGGAAAAACTAATGTATGATAAGAACAATTTATTCTGTTCCCCAGCAATTAAAATTAAATGAGAAAATTTAAATGTACAATTGATAAAGGTAAGGTTATTAAAATACATAAAATTCTCTACGTTATTAGGATCTGTGAGATCTACTTATATTATACTAGTGTTAAGAAGGAAGCAGTTTTTAAATATGACATTTTCTAGCCTCATACTTAAACCATTTTACGTTTTGTTTTATTTAATATAAAACATAGGAATATTTTAGATTTAAATAAAATCAAATGTTACTGAATGAAATTCTAGAAAATTTATATCGTCCAAAGTAAACAAAATTTTATGTAAATTTATTTATTGTTCTAGTGTAATTGTAATATTTTAAAATGTTAGCTTAGTTCCATTAACGGATCGAATATTGAGTATATTCCCACAAAATTGTTCATTTAGTGAAATTTAAAAATCTTTAATAATTATTTCATTAAAATCGTATATTTTAAAGCCAAAGGGACAAACCATTAATTCTTCTAATTTAGAATTAATAATCAATTTGCTAATATATAATTCACTATAAATAGGATTTCCATATGGTATATCAACAAGAAAATTATTAAAATACTAGATATATACATCAATATTAATTGTAATTGTTGAGAATGTAAGGTTGCTTTCAATTTCATAAAATTAAATATAGTTGTCGAAAGAGTATATTAGATTCTAAATGTATTTCACATTGTTCTGTGCTTTTGGTATAGGCCTACCAGTTAATTAATCAATAGAAAGTTATTCAAAATTAGTTTATAAACAATATAATTATTCTGTGAGTGTTTAAGGTTAACAATATAAACATTAATAAGGACACTTGAAACATCTACCTTCATAAAGTGTAATTTTTTCTAAATATTGACTTGATTGACATTCTAAGCAAGAATCTGTGGAATATTGCAAACAATAAGGAATTTAAAATTCAATGAAACATAACCTAGAGTAAAGTTAGCTTCCTTTGCAAATGCCATAAATATCCTGATATTGAAAGTTACTAAATGCTATTTGATAGTTTTTGGATATGGCTTAAAGAAATGGTTAAACTTGTGTAATAAATGTATTATTTGCTATAATGTAATCAGGTAAACATTCAGTAAATTATTAATTACATTAATTGCATAAACCCTAATTATTTATATAATACCCATTAGAACATTAAGTACAAAAAAGTTTTTTTCTATTTGATTAAATACATTTAATACATTTTTCAATAAAATCTGTGCAATCAGATATTTCATATCCTTAATTAAAATCTTTTGTTAATGTAGTCAAACAAATTTGATTGCCTTATTCATTGATATAATAATCAGTGCATAAATTATTATTAGATTATTTAGGTTCGCATTTCATTGATAGAAAGTTAAAAATGTAATTTTATTCACATAATGCACATCCTATTAAATAATCTTCATTTAAAATTTCAGATTCTTATTCAAATTGAAAATTTTAATTAACTTAATTTATCAAAGTAGATATTATAATTTCATCATCAGGAAGATATTAAAAGCAATATTTACAATAAGGGATTGTACATTATTGACAATCTTATTTATTTAATTAAAGAATATCATTCTTATTAACACATTATAGACAGATTTTGTTATAGGAATTACATTTTAAGCATTTAAAACCACAAGTGTTTTCATTATAATTCTCGATTGTTTATTTTGGTAAACAAACTTAATTGATTTCATCATATTCAAAAAAACAATAGACATAGGCTTATTATCCTAAATGATTCACATTAAGTTTATGACAGTTCAAAGAGGTCTGAATAGGATCACAAAAAGTAAAACAATAATTACATACTCTTAATTCATCATCACCGTAGGTATACAATCTATTTTACATTAAATCTATCAAATCCACTTTTGAATACATATAAATATCTTTCCATTTACTATTTATTATTTCATAATTAATACAAGTAGTATTAAATATCCATGTTTTCCAATTCATTAAACATTCAATACATATTATATATCCATTTTATGATTAAGAGGGACTAAATGTAAAAGAATTAATTACCATCTAATACATTCTCCATCATATAAAAAATAGCCAAAAGCGCAAATTATTTCAGGTTCTATCTAATCATAACCTTAAATATCTGAAGTCTATTCATATTCAATCTATACAAAAGAGTCTTCTAGCAAATTATAACATTGATTATTATTTTTTTCTAAAGTCCAAAGACGACAAGTGCATGTTGATTCAACTTCATTATACACTCGATTTGAATTCTCTTCACATGATAAACAATTATTATAAAATGGGCCAAAACATGTAGTGCATGATAAATGACAAGGTTTAAAGTTACTAAAATCTGACATACAAGCATTAAAAATTAAAGAAGCAATCTAACCTTATATTTATAAATCCTAATCTGATTTTGCATTTATTATTATCTAACTTGCAGTTTAAGAGAATTATCTTACCTATTATATCTCTACTATTATATTTTAATTTAAATCTGGAAAATAAATTTATATTAGAAGAATTTCATTCTGATATTAAATTTTAATATAATGCCAATTATTTATATCTCTTGGATCAATATTAATTATTTATTTTTCTTTAATTAATGATTTTATGTAATCTTCATTGTAATAGTTATATGGAAACTCAAAAGAATAATATTTACAATAAATTATTAATTCCTAATCACTTTAAAATTGATAGTATAACTAAAATGTATATCTTCCCAGAGAGTAATTAGGATTAATTTCCTTTTATGTATCAATAACCAAAAACTAAATCAAACTTTAGGAAAATATTTTAGTTTCAAATTTATTCCAAAGCTACATTTAAAATTCTTAATATATTACAACAGGCATATTGAGGTTATTTACTTTTGTAGATACATATTGCATGGATTCAATTGAATAATCCTTGCGTGATTCATAACAATAGATAGAATATAGATATTCAATTTTTTCAAAATAAGTTTCACATAGAACTTGAAATAAAATTCCTTAAAATCCCTTAAGATTTAAATCCTTATTTATTCCACCAAATCTAAATTAGACGTTTTATTATGATAAAATAATATTATCAATCTCAATTGTATCCATTTTATATTTTGTATAAACTTTTAATTTTAGTAATTATTGCTACTAAGAATAACTGAAAATCGTTCCTACTTCTTAACCTTCGTATTATAAATAATCTTATTGAAATTTATATTCCTAGAAAGTATCTAAAGTCAACTATATTTTTATCACATGATAAATTTCATATAATTCAGCATTTATGCTTTGATATGCAATAATAGTATGGTCTTTAAAATAAGCTGAAAATAGATGTGACTAGAATTATTAAGGCGAATCTAGTGTTTTTGCTATATTTATCAATTAGTTTAATGGGGTATAGTAAGTAAAAACACCATAATTGCAATTATCCTTAATATTCAAAATATTTTGTTAAGTGGGATATTAAGGTGACAAAAGTAAAACTTTACAATAATAGAGCTGATATGATAATGAAGTTAAGATTAGAAATATTTCTATGTACATTTATGAAATAATATAAAAAGAAATTATAATTAAAGTTATATAAATAATTCTAATATTTTTTTAAAATTAATTCATGACTCAATATAAATTTTTAGAAATAATTTAATGTAATAAGAATTAAGTCTTAAATTAGAATGTAATTTTGAGCTGATTTTGTTTCCTTAACAATATATTATTTTTTGGTTTGGAGAGTATAAGCTATCTATTATTTTTGTTCCTTTGATAAAATTGAAATTTTACATATAATTAAATTATATAATTAATAATTATTTTAAATGGTGCTAGAAACTTAATTATTAATAAAAAATAGATCATCAAATATAGTAATTCCTCCACCAAATATAAAAAGTACTAGAATATATCTATTTTTAGAATATGCTGATAAGACTGCAGAATACGTGGCTAAAAATGGTGCAACATTTGAAGATCTTGTAATGCAAAAAGAATTAAGCAATCCAAATTTTTGTTTTTTGAGAAGAGATGATCCATATAGACCATATTATGAAAATAAAATAACAGAGTTTGCCAGAGGGTTAGTTGGTATTTGATAAATTATTATTATTTTTTAGCTCCAATATAAGAAGAAGAAGATTAGAAATCTAAACCAGTACCTAAAAGTGAATAACCAAAAAAAGTAGTAAAGGCACCTCCAAATGATTAATTTACAGTAGAATAACCAAGAAATTTGTCTGCATTAGATTTAGACATAATTAAGCACACTGCAATTTTTATAGCAAAGAATGGTAAGAAATTTTTAGTTGCTTTGACAGAAAGAGAAAAGATGAATCCATAATATGATTTTTTAAAACCAACTCATGATTTATTTCAGTTCTTTTCTAATTTAGTAGATGCATATACAAAATGCTTGTAACCAAAAAAAGAAGAAATTGATAGATTGTTAACATATGTTTAGGATAGATAAGTAATATATTAAAGATGTCAAGAAAAATTTGAGTATGAGATTTATTTGAAAGAAGAAAAAGATAGAAAATAATAATAGGATGAAGATGAGAAATGTAATATAGATATTTAATATTATAGAATAAATGGCTATGATTGATTGGAATGATTTTACTATTTGTGAAACAATAGATTTTGCAGAGGATGATAGAATAGATAAAGTTTTTGAAAAAGGAATTTAAAGATTTGATAAAATGGATTTTAAAGGTGCTGATTAAACATAATTTTGTAATATAAATATTTATTTTTAGAATAGTAATAAAATTTAGTGCAAACAGGGCAAGTAGTATCTAGAATAATAAATAATCCATAATAACCAAAAGAAAAATAAATAATAACTTTAAATTCAACATTATAAAAAGCAGGATAATAAGGAGATAGTAGTGCTCCGATAATATCAAATTATTAAAGACCTTCAACGTAAAATGAACAAGTTTTCATAAAATGTGAGATATGTGGAAAGAATTTTCCTAAAAATTAGATAAATGAACATATCTAATTAGAATTATAAGATCCTCGTTATAGTGAAATAAAGAAGGAAATAAATGAGAGAAGCAAAACTACAACATTATAACCAGGTAATATGATAGCAGAACATTTATCATAATTAAAAAAGAAAAGACCAGATATATTTGAGGAAGATCATAGAAAACCACCTCCACCTCCTCCTCCTTAATAAAGACCTTAACCTCCAAGACCAGCTCCACCTCCACCACCACCTCCTCCTAAATGAATATTATTAATAATTTTATATTATGAAAATAATCATTCATAAAAATAGATTACTTTAATATTCTGTTTAATCGAAAAATAATTATCCACCTTCAGAATCTATTTAAATTCTTAATTCATTTCCTATCACAATACAAAAATTCATGTTTTTTGTCATAGAATCAACTTAACCTTTATATTATAAACTTGTATAAAAGTTTTCTTTCTCTTTCAATACTTCAAATATATATCCTATACCATCAAATAAAATTTATGCACATATTTCATTTGGCATTTTTAAAAAATTATTAATTATTATTGATTTCTTTAAATCATAAATTGTTATTGGATCATGATAAATTTTGTCTTCCAAAGGCTGTAATATGATATAATTTTTTGCATTTTATATTAATAATTGATCATCATACTTATATTTTTCATTTTTATTTATGTAATTTTGATTCAAATTATTAGATTCTGTTGAAAATACATCAACAACCTTAATTCTATAAGTTGGAGATAAGATTATTTCCATATCTTTAATTAAATAAAAATTTTATTGACTGCTGTTATTTTAATAATCCTTTATTTTTGGTGAAAAATGTACTATAGAGTCCAAAGATTATAAACTAAATATCTACCTGTTTTATTAAACTGTCATTAATAAATAGTTTTGTAAAGTCTTTAAAAATTCAAATTATTTTAATATTGGAATTTTTTTCATTAATTTCTATACATTTAAAGTGTGGGAAAATACTTCCCCATCACATAAATCCTTAAATATTAATGTAATACAAACTGTATAATCTATCTCGGAATCTAATAAATGAGAATTGGCTGTAAAATTAAATGGGACTTTACTATGAACTAGATCTTGATCATTAATAAAAGTACTTACTGATAAATCTTACATTTCTAAGCTTTTAAAGTATTTTGGTAATTTATTGAATTTCTGAACAAAGATATTGAGGATTTTTGTTTTTTCTGACTATCTAAAAAATTTAGACCATCCTTATTATTAAAGGTTACCTTAAACGCTTACATAATTTATGAAATTATTTAAATATTATTTGATATAATCTTGAATTTACATGTTTGATAGAATTTTGCTTGATGGTTTTGGAATAGCTGCATAGATTTCATCTTTTTTTTGTTCTGTTTTTTAAATCAAATCTTTATTTCCTGATTAGACAATATATGAATAGATGCTATCAATTTTTTCTACAATTTGCTAAGAGAAATTAGAATCCATTTAATAATATTTTTAGTTTTAATAGAAATGAAATTTATTAAGGTTATATATATAATTGAATAAATTAGCTAAAAAAAGAATGAAAAGATTATTTTATAGTTTAAATAAAATTATAATATAGAGTAGATGAGAGTATGAGTATTAAAAAAGGATGAGTAATATGATTGTAAAAAATAACAATAACATACAAAATAAAAAATATCAAATATTAATATGGTAGTATTCTATGATGAGTATTATTGGTTGTTATGTTTTGAATTAGAAAGGTTTTTTAGCTGATGATCTAATTAAATTAGGATCGAAAGGTTTTTTAGGTGTTGAAGGTCTAAGAAGTCTTGAATTCATAAATCGTTAAAAAAATATTTAAATAAAAATGGAAAGTGTGAATTTTGGTGGAGATAATCCTTAACCTCGTTTTGGTCATACAATTTGTGTCATAGCACCTAATAAGATAGCATTATTTGGAGGTAAAGATAGAATAAAGATTTAAAAGGTGCTGTTGGTGATACTGGAAGGTATACAATAACTGGAGATGTATACATTGGAGATATAATTTAAAAAAAATGGAAACGAATTGAAGCTAGTGGAAATATACCTACAAATAGAGCAGCACATCAAGCATTAGCTATAGAATTAAATCAAATGATTATATTTGGAGGAGCAGTTGGAGGTGGTGGTTTAGCAGATGATAATTTATATGTATTTGAATTAAGAGATGACACAGGAACTTGGGTAACAGTACCTGTAATTGGAACAACACCAGGAAGAAGATATGGTCATACAATGGTGTTAATAAAACCATTTTTGATAGTTTTTGGGGGGAATACAGGTTAAGAACCTGTAAATGATGTTTGGAGCTTTAATTTAGAGAAATCTCCTTATTCATGGTAAAAATTGGAATGCTCATCAGAACAACCTAATGTTAGGGTTTATCATTCAGCTGCATTATGTTCAACAGGGTCAGCTAATGGAATGATGGTGGCTTTTGGAGGTCGTACTAATGATTAAAGTGCTTTGAATGATACTTGGGGTTTAAGAAGACATAGAGATGGAAGATGGGATTGGGTTAGAGCACCATATAGATCATAAACTGAATAACCAGCTTAACGATATTAACACTCAACTTTATTTTTAGGAACATTAATGTTAGTTATTGGAGGTAGATCTAATAATGTTGGAGAAACTTTGCCTTTTGAAATATATGATACAGAAACCTCTGATTGGTATAAATTTTAGGCAATACAAAGATTCAGACATTCATCATGGTTAATCGAATAATTTTTATATCTTCATGGAGGCTTTGATTCAGATCAACCTAATATACCAACTGAAGGAATACTTAAATTAGATTTGAATAAGAGATTTGCTTAAACTCCATAACTATTAAAGTAGTTGAATACTATTAAAGCTGATTAATCATTTTCTTAATCATTTAATCCTAAACCTTCTTCTTCTTTAGCCCAAACCTAAGATTAATTTAAAAAAACTAATTAATAAGCTTCTGCATAATAATAAAAAAGTAATACCTTCTAAGTATTTAGATTAAAATTCATATCAATAAGTTAGAGTTTCAAGTGCAACTAATAAAAATATTAGATTAGCGAATCAAGCTTTAGTAGCTATGACATATGGTCCCGAAGAGGATATAACAAATTAAGTCAAGAAAGTACCTATTGATAAATTGTAAGACGAGCATAAAAAATTAGGTCCAGGATTTTAAGATCCTAATTCATAAAATAAATCATAATTTCTAGATTAATTATGTTAACCTTTTATGTAAAATCTTTTAATTCCTAAAGATTATTAATAAATTCCTCCAAATTCTAATTTATTAACAGGTATTAAAAAGGATATGATAATTAAATTGTGTGATGAAGTTTAAAGAATTTTAGAAAAAGAACCAAATTTACTTAGACTGAGAAGACCAATAAAAATATATGGAAATTTAAATGGTCAATATTTGGATTTAATGAGATTTTTTGATCACTTTAAAGCTCCTTATGATAATTTATACAATGGTGATATTGATTCATAAGATTATTTATTTTTAGGAGATTATGTTGATAGAGGATCAAGATCATTAGAAATCATTTTACTTTTATTTACATTGAAAATAAAATATTCCGATTAAATCCATTTACTTAGAGGACATCATGAAGATCCTAAAGTTAATAAAATTTTTGGTTTTGCTGATGAATGTTTTACTAAATTTTCTGAGGATATTATGGATCCAAATAGTGTTTACTAAAGAATAAATAGAGTTTTTTAATATATGCCATTAGCTGCAGTAATTGAAGATAAAATTTTATGTATACATGGTGGTATTGGTTAAACAATGCGAACAATTGATGAAATTGAATTAATATAGAAACCATTAGAAATAGTTCATGATCCTAAAACAGTATTTCTTATTATAATATATTCAAGTATTAATAAAAAATAGCTTTGGAACTTCTTTGGTCTGATCCATGTTTATAAGATGAGGAATTAGAAAATTAGCCAAATCCTGAAAGAGATATATTTTAAAATAAATAGATGTTTAGATTTGGAACAAATAGAATAAATAAATTTTTGTAAGAAAACTCTCTTAATATGATAATCCGATCTCATGAACCAACTATGGAAGGATTTGAAAGATAAAACAATAATGTAATTACAATCTTTTCATGTCCAGATTATGGAGGTAATCAGCCTTAATGTAAAGGATGTACAATATTTAATAATATATTAAAGCTATTTTAACCATTTCAAAAAGAGGAGATATAATACCTAAAGTTATATTACCTGCTGCTCCAAATTAAGAATAAAGATGGATGGACTTAGAAGAACCAATTTAAAGAAAAAAGGGATTTGCTAAATATTTAGTTATTGATAATGAGGAAGCTTAATTAAGAAGAAGACCATATACACCACTTAGATAAAAACGACCTTCATCTTAAAAATAATTCAAATGATCTAAATTAATATATTTTTGATATCTACATTACAATTTTTACTATGTCTTGAATGGTTTTAAGTTTGAATTGTAATTTTAATTCTTTATTAGTTCTATATTGATTGATAGACATGAAAGAAAGAAATCTTAAATAGAAATTGCTTATATTAGGTTTTATTAATAATATTCAATCGTAAAAGAAATCTTTATATTACCTAAGGGATTCATCTTCCTGAACTAATGATAAAAATTTAACCTTAGTTGGTTTATTTTCAGGAATCAATTGTTATTTAATTTCTTTCATTTTCTCTTCTATAATATGTATAAATAAAATATGTACATTTTCTTCTTTCAAAATCTTCCTCAAATTTTCTTAGAGATTCTTCAGAAGCTTCATAAACAACTTTAGCTGAATGAGATTGTCCCTTAAGTTAAATTAGTTAAATTTAATCTCTTTCAATAGTTTCTTTTTCTTTAGATTCAATTTTATTTTTTTAATCCTCTTATTTTTTTTTTTAGACTTTTTAAGTGTAAGTGTCTTAGGAAAAACTTTACATATAATTATCAAGCTTTTAAGTTATTTTTTTCTCTTTTTATTTGACTTGATTCACTTCTTCAATTTTTGGAATATCATCAATTAAAGGACTTTAGTATCCAGTAGGTTTTAATATTTCTGAATCTTTCTATTATATTTATTCAACCTTAACTTCAGGTATTTATTATTTTTCTGTCTCTTAAATTTATTAATTTTAGATTTCAATCTAGGGATGTATTATTTCTAATTCTTTTTCTTAAGCTGTATCAACTAACTTTAAAGCTTTTTTTAAGGATTTCACATGAGACTCTTTTTATTATAGTTGCATATCAATTTCTTGATTATTTAAAATTTATGGTTCTGTATTTTAAATATTTTCTTTAGTCTTATTAGATTATTCATCTACAATTTTATTTTTTTACTGATCCTCTTTTTATTTTTTAATAACTGTTTTTTATTTCTAATCCTTTTAATTAGTTGAAGTTTTCTTAATTAATTCTTTAATAGTTTATTATTAGATTTGAGGTTTCTTTTTTAAAGCATCTTAAAGTAAAGTCAATTATAGTTCAAAATTAATAGAGGAATTCTTTTCTTTTTCTTTAGAAGTCCAAAAATATTCATCATCTTCCTCTTCACTTAAATCATCAGAACTTAATTCTTCACTAATATTCTGACTAATTTCTTCTTAAACTTCTTCTTAATCTAATTCTTGAACTGATAATAATTCAGATTCTTCCATTTTCTGTTATTTAAATTATTCATCAATCTAAATTTGTAATTAGTTTTTGGTATCTGAATATACAATATTTTATTCATTCTTTAAAGGTGATTCATTTTGATTATTGAAACTTTGATCAAAAAATGTTTTCTTTAGTTAATTAAAATTATTACCAAATCAATTAATGGTTCTATGGTATTTTAATTTGCTTGTCCACTATTTTATTAAACCTCAATTAATAATATTTAAAATATACTTGGTGAAAAGGATAACGATCTTATATGACCTTGACTGCTTACTCTACCACTGAATTTTGGAGCATCTGCTTATTCATCTAATTAAAGATTGCTTCCAATAATCAAACACATTCCTATTGCTGTTTATTATACATCATTTGTATTAATTTATAACTTTACTTGTGTATTTTTATTCTAGTTTATTGAAATGTTAACAAATCCATTATGATGATAACCAACAAGGAATGCTATTGCTTCAACCTTTTATTAGAATTAAGGATAATTAAATATTGCTTATTGAGAAGCTCTAAAATTTGAACAGTTAATGTAGACTTCTTCATCAGTTGTTGCTAAATATCTATATGTTGCATTCAAAGTGACAGCACTAAAAAATTGAATAATAAATTCATTCTAAGTTATATTTTTCACTTTTGCAAATAATGCTGTTGTAGATGTATGTTCTACCAAAGCTAATGCTACTTAAGGAATTTTTGTGAATGGATTATCAAATCGAACTAGCTAAGATTTAATAGATAAATACTTGATTATAAATTTATGATCCTTTCGCTTCTTCAAATTCAATAACTCCTATTTCTAACTCTCTTGTTTCATTTCCATTCTATGAATGGCAAATTAAAATAAGTGTTATTATGATCAATGTTTTCATATTATTAAAATAAAAACGAATTTATTAAATATAATTTATTAATTAATTCATACTTCTCATTCATCCAGCCGTGCTCTTTGACTGAACTATCTATTTTACTTTGAATTTTTATAAAATAATCTAAATAAATCATCTCAAGAAAATACAGATTCCTTCAATTCAATTTTCATTCCATTATTTAAGCATAATAATAATTCAAAAAACTTATTGATTCTTAAATTTAATGAAAATTAGCAGACTAATTCTACTTCTTAAACTAATTTAACTTTGTTATTGTTCTATTGAGCAAATGACTTAACAAAATCCCACTACTAAAAAATAAATTAATCTCTTATCTAATAAATTTTACGGAATGATGAGCTATTATTCTCCAATGTCATTATAAACTATTTTTATAGAGCACTTTGTTGAATTGGTCGATTAGCAATTTCTATTCTCCGCAAATTTTGATATGGAGATATCAATAATTGCAACTTGTAAACTTAATCTCTAAAAGAAAGAAATTACTCATACATTAATATTAGTTTAATAGCAAACAATATAAACATAATCTTTTGTTGTTTCATTTGATCCTCTCTTTTATGAAGGATAACTTATTTGTACTGCTTTTTCTTATGATGCTAATCAATAATAACTTCTATTTATTATTTAGACTAAAAATGATAATCAAGATAAAATTTTCAAATAAATTTAATTAGAACCCAAAAATGTTTAGTTTGTATTTGGTGGCGTAAAATAAAATTTAAAACTTAATAGTTTTTAAGGGCAATTATTTCCTATATTCGATGAAACATAAATAAATATTTTTTTCTATTTGAACAATCTCATCACCGTTGGTGTATGTTCTAATTATTAGGATACTTATATTTTTAATTCAAAAGAATACGGTTAAGAAAATAATTGGCAAATAACAATGCCTTCTTTAGTTGTCAAAGATTATTCAATTTACTTCTGGCATAAATTTACAACTCTTATTTAATTTATCAATAAAATATATTTGATACACATTGATACTTAAAATGAGTATAATCCATAATATTCTTTGGGAACCAATACATTAATGATTACCTATGAATTTTAGGAAAATAATAAGATTATGGTTGCTATTAAATATTATTCATATGAATTTCCATATATCTTTTATAATAAAGAATATATTTAATCATAAATAAGAGAATATAAAATTTAAGAGATAGATCTTGATCTAATTTATTAATGGCATTATGTAATAATACAATATTAATAAAATATATTGTACATAAAAATTTATTATCCAGATTAATAAAAATATGTTGAGTTTAAGGATGAAATTGTAAGATAATTTTCATATTCATAATTTTTATTAACATTTGGAGAGAGTTTAAATTTGAATTAAAATGAAGGAATAGTTAATTAATTTAAATTTAAATTTTGTCATGAAGATTTTTTAGATAATTATTAATGCCATTTCTCCTGTGCTACTTGTAATGGACCCTTATAAAATAATTGTTTAAGTTGTCCTTTAAATTCATATAGGATTTATGATTTTGAAAATCATACTTGCATTTGTGAACTATGGACAATAGAGTAAAATGAATAAAAATGTTTCTCTATTTAAGATGTAAGTTAAATGACAGTAGAATACATTGAAAATATTGGAAATTAAATACTCTCTAATTTTGATTAAATTGAACCTACTATTATTTGTGCATTTGGATATTTTTTATTTGAAGATGATTGTTATTAATGGTATTTATGTTATTTTTCTATAAAATAGCCCATCTTCCTCTAAATATGTAGATTTAATTTGTCTAGAGTGTCTTGACGATTGGTAAAACTGGATTTAAAATTCTATTTGTCAGAATTATGTATAAATAAAAGTTTATTTGGATTATGAAAAATTTTAAGGTAAATACTTTATTGAATATACTTCAATTCCATCCTTATATTTATTTGTAGATCATGAATTAAAATTATGTAATAATTGTTTGGAATTTTGTCTTCATTCTTCTATTTCAGATTATTGTAATTTAATAAAGGATTAACATTTGGGTAAAGATACTTATGTTGAATGTAGTTTTGGTTATGATAGTAAAACTTAAACTTGTTTAAATGTAATTTATGATTCAAATAATCGTAAATGTTCTGGATATACTTGTAACAAATAGTGCAATTGTTGCAGTGTTGAAAATTATTGCATTTAATGTATTAATGAAAATGATCTATTACTCTTAAATAATAAAGATTGTCTTTAATGCAATATAAAAAATTGTAAGTTTTGCTTTCAATATTTTAAATAATCTGATGGAATTGTGACTTCTACACTTTTCTATTAGAATTATTAATCTATTATATTAGATGAAGATTATTTAATTGGATGTGCTTTATGCGAGGATAATTATTACTACAATTTTGTTTTAAACATTTGTGAATTTAAAAAATTACAAATTTCTGAATCTTGTAATAATTATTTTATTGATTAATTTAATCAACCAATATGTTTAACTACTAAAACTTAGAATTTCAATGAAGGAATTGAAATTTCAGATTGCTCTTAATTATTGAAATCATGTTAGAAGTGTGTTAAATCACTTTTTAATAAAATGTTTTGTACTCAATGTTTTTATGGTTACTTTTAGAATTCTAATGGATATTGCGAGCCTTGTGATAAAGAATTTAAAGAATGTAAAATACAATATCTTAATCAGTATGATATAATTATTTATAAATTATAACCTTTTCTCTTAGCAATATCTTATGGATAATTAATCTTTTATCCTTCTACTAATCTATTTAATAATTTAATTGGAATCTGCTAACAAAATAATGAATGGAATAATAATTGTTTTGAAAGACAAAATATACCTTATTGCAAGAAATATTATAATAGAGTTTGCATTGAATGCATCTCAAATCCAACATAAGTCATCACTTTATATAAAGGATAATGCTATTTATGTTCTTATTAATGTAAAATATGTCTTCCATCTTTACAAAATCCTTCATAAATTAAATGTTTTGGCACTGATTTTCAAACTAATTATATTGATCAGCTTTCAAATAGAGTTAAAATCAAAAGGTAAAATCATGTGAAATATTCTTCAGAGTTGACTGTTAATGAATTAATTTGGAAAGATCAATATTCAGAAATCTTTAATCAATAAATATTTTAAAGAATCAATTTTATTAATCTTCTAAATGGTTAATTTGAATATTATTTTTATAAGAGATAAACATAAAATATTACGGAATCTTATGAAAAATAAATTATATAATCAATAACAGTATATTAAGATAATAACTAATTATCTAATTTTAACTCTTTAACTTTTATTGATTATCAAATTATTAATTTAAATAATATTACTATTTAAATTTATGATTTAAACAAAGATAATATAATTTAAGCTGATTCATAATACGGAGTTCATATCCAAATTAATAATCTTTTAGTGAGATAAAAGCTTTATTTAAATCTTTAAAAATACATATTTCTTTTTCATAATATCACTAGTCTATCTATCAATAATCTAACACTTATCAATATTCATTTACAAAATTTTCATCTATTTAAATTTTCTATTTTTAATTAAACTACTAGAATTAAAATTCATTTACAAAATATTAGACTTTTAGATTGTTAATTAATAAATTCAAGCATATTTTCATTAAATTAATTAGAAGGTATATTTGATTAGAACACAATAAATTTTGAATAAATTGTATTTTAGAATTGCAATTTTTTTAATTCATTTTTTATACTATTCTCCGAAAATCAACAATGTTATTATTTATAATCTTTGTATATTGATGGTTTAAGTATTTAAGAAAGTGATTTTAATTCAAGTTAATTATTATCTAATTATTCAGCAACATAAACTACCTTATCATTAATAATTTTTAATACATCTCAGCTTATTAATTCAAATTTCTTTGTGGCAGATCTTTAATTTAAAATTTAAAATGCCTCAATCATAAATACAATAATAAAAAACAGTTTAATTATTTATTTTAAATACTAAATTTTATTGAATTATTAGAAAGAATTTTTCATTATAAATGGATTATTTTTATCTTTTTTAACTACAGATTCATCCTTCATTAGTCTATCTTCAAACTTAATTAGTTTAGTTAATATTTAAAATGTTGAAATAAGAAATTTAAAAAGTTTTAAAGAAAAAACGAAAAATTAAGTAAATCTTTTTATGATTCAAGCAGATTTTTTAATTATTAAAAATTATTTTAGTTATGATTTTAACTCTAATCTAATTTAAATTAATATTCTAAATACTAATATGATAGAATTAACTAACTTTTTAGTATAAGGAGAGAAAATTAATCATAGAATCAATCATGAAATAGAGTTTTCTATTTGTCCATTAGAATAGTAATTTTTAAATGTTTATAATTTCACTAAGATTACAATTTAAGACTTTAAAATTTCAAATTTAACAATTTGTAATAATAACTTTATAAAAATAGCAGATATTCAAAATTTAGCAATTCTCAATATAGAGCATCTAATTTTAAAAGATATTTTACTTTTATAACTCTAGGGCACTTCATAAACATCCATTATTTCTATATCAATTACAAAATAGTCATAAATTTACTTTAATTCATTTATAATTCATGATTTATATGGAAATAATTATGAAAAATTAAGGAAAACATTTGAATAATTGACAATTATTAGTGTATATGGACCTTAAAGCAGTATAAAAATTTCAAATAGCTATTTGAAAAGTAATATTTTAACAAATAGTACTAATGCTTTAATTTATTTAGAACTGTATTCTATATTAATCTAAAATTTTACTAACATTGAATCAAACTACTTTACAAATTCAATATATAATTATTTAAAAGAAGAATATGTAGGAATTTCGATTTAAGCAATTTAATAATTGTTTCCAATTAAATCAGAAGGAAGTGTTTTTAATATTCACTCTTAGAAATTAGAATTATTTAATATTGTAACAAATAATTCTGTTGCTTTATAAGGTGGGTTTTGTAAGATTGAATTTATTTTAGACAGCGAATTATATGTTTAAAATGCAAATATTCTAAACAGTAAATCACTTTAAGATTAGGAAAGTAAAGGCGGATCATTTTATGTAGATGCAAAAGATACAAATTTAATTATAAAATTTATAAATCTAACAGTTTCAAATTCATATTCTTTATATGATGGAGGCTTTTTATTTTTAATTCCTTCTGATAGTTCTAATAAATTGATTCTAGAAAATGTAAAAGCAAAGGGTGTTTTTTCAATTTTTAGAGGATTTATTAGTGCAGATTTTTCATTTCAAACTAATTAAAATTTAGTAATTCTAAACAATATTGACATTTAATTAGAATATGACCAAATTGAAGACATGACAAAAAATTATAATGATTTAAAAGATAATTAATTAGATTATGTTAAAATAAAAAATGGATATTTTTATTTCAATTATTGGTATGTTATATGTTATAATTTTAGCCAAATGTAACTAAGTAACATAAATATACAATTTGAAATTGTGACCTAACCAATCTTTTATTTTACTAATATGCAAAATCTAAACTTAATGAATTTCTATTTAGAAGTTGGAGAATAAACAAGTAATACAATTATAGAATTTGAATCAATTAAAAGTATAAAATGAGTAATTATAAAGATTCTTAAAATAAAAGTTTAATACTTTAATCCTTTTAGGCTAAACAAGTTTAAGTTGTAATACCTGTTATTTTTTACCTAAAACAATGCACTACTATTTATCTTTATGAATTAATCTATCTTAAAAGTTCAAGTATAAAATAAATTGCTATTAAAACTAATAATTGCCTATTAAATTAACTATCAAGAGTATACTAGAATGTTGAAAGCATTATATAATTCAAATTCTTAGAACATTTTAAAAATTTTAGACTCTCAAATTGTTTAATCCTAAATTTCCAAAAAAATTAATTTTAAATTGCTTTAATAGATATTTATTACTAAACTAAAGTAAAATCTAAAATTGAATTTTTATATATTTTAAATAATAAATGCACATTTTCAACTTGTCTATAAATTCGATCTCACTATTAGTAATAAACACAGGATGTAATATTAAAATAGATTTACATGTTATATAATAATAATTCATCATATGGACAGCTAAATCTTAAAAATATAAGTTATTTGATAAAATAATCATATTTTATAAATAATATGGCAACGAAAACAGCTGGTGCTATTTATTTATAGAATAGTCCTTTAAAAATTAAAAAATCATATTTCATAAATAATACTGCTCCTAATTTTGGAGCTATATACTGTTCAAATATAAAAAATAAAGATAGAGAAGACTTAATTTCAAGTTCAATTTTTTTGAATAATCTGGCTGTTTAAGATATAAACTCATTCGGAATAGAATTTTATTCAATAAGTCTAATGAAACCTGCTGAAGAATATTAAATAATTTCAAATTACTAAAAAGCATTGAAATTTAAGAACTAACTTAATCCTGAATTATATGTTCTTTACATACCAAGTGGATAAGTTATAAAAAATTATTAAATTTTTGATATGAATACTCTAAGATATTCAAATTAAGAATTAAGTTTAAAATTTAAACTTTTAAATTATTTTAAAGAAAATTAAATCATAGATAATTATTAGATAAAATGCAATGTAACAAGTAATTTAATAGATAAGGATTTAAATATTTTATAAGAAAATATATCAAAGTTCAATGCAGAATTTAATATAGAGGATAGCGAATTAAATTTAGAGAACTAAATATTTATATTAAATCCTTATTCTGATAATTTTTTAGAAATTCAAATATAATGTGATAATATAGAGAATAATTAAGTTTATGAATTTCTTGCAAAATCTTTTAAATGTTAAATGGGAGAGTTTTTTTATGAGAATTAATGTATAAAATGTAATGCATCTCGAGGATATTATAGTGTTAATCCTTTAAATGGTGAATGTATAAAAGCAAATCCAGATTTTATAAAAAATCATACAGAAAATTTATTAAATCTTAATGAAGGATTTTGGAGATTAGATATATTAACATAAATTGGTGAATATTGTTCTAATAATCCATCTAATTGTTTAGGAGGATGGGGTACTGGAGATGTAACCTGTATAAATGGTCATTTAGGAGCTTTATGTGAAGCTTGTGATATTTATAATATTAGAGGTGAAGGCAAATATTCAAAAAGTAGAAACTATAAATGTTCAATTTGTAAAGATTATGGTTTCTTAATTGTTGAGTTCTTATTTGCTTTTATATGGGCTTTTTTATAAATTGTTTTGGCTGTTAAAAGTACGCAATTACAAAATCAAAAGTTTCTTTTATCTAAATCTTAAACAAAATTTTATGATATTTTAGTTAGACTTTCATAAGATTAATCTAGTTCAGTCATTAAACTAATAAGTAATTATTTTCAGATAATTATGATAATCTATACCTTTAAAGTTTAATTTATATCAAATTTAGATAGTTTATTTTAATTTGTTGGTAATTCAACTTACTCAACTACTTATAATTTTGATTGCTATATATCATAGATTTAGTAATTAGACATTATATATCTGAATTTGATTTTTATCTTATAAGTTCAATTTTTGTAATACGTCTTGTATCTTTTATTGTCATTTTTTATTAAATTATCAAGACCTAGATTTTTCTCTTTAGAAACTATTTATTCATCATTCTTTTACTTATATTTATCAGGCCAAATTAATTTAATATACCTGTAAAATTTAATATTATAATTAGATTAGCTTAATTAATAACTCCAAAAACATTTAGTGATGTTTAATGGATCTCAGCAAATCTTTCATATCGTTATTGGACAGAAAATCATTAGAAAATACTCTATGCTCTCATTTTACCTTTATTAATTGTTTTTGGAATATTAATACCTTTGTTTTTATTCTTAAAGTTATATAGTAATAAATTTAATCTAAGTAATTACAAAATTAAATAAAAATATGGTTATTTATTTAATGAATATTCAAAAACACATTTTTATTGGGAATCAATTAAATTGATGTACAGATAATTATTGATTCTTATCATAGTTTTATTATAAGATTATATTGTAATAAAAGGAACAATGTTAATTGGATTACTTTATGCCTACTAAATTATTTTTGCCTTTAGTAAACCATATAATGTTGGTAAACTCAACAAATTTGAATTATCATCAATTTAAATTTGCATGTTGTCTTTTCTTTTGTGCATTTTACAATATTAAATCTAAGAATTTTCTGAATCGCTAAATATTATTTGTTAAATTTTGATTCTAATGACATTAATAATTTTAGTTACAAAATCATTATTCAAATTTATTTAAGTATGTAGCTCAAAATATGAATCAATTATTGATTATATTAAAAATGGAATTGTTAAATGCTTACATTTATAAAAATTGTAAGATTCTAAATTCTTTGAATTAAGCAGCAAAAGAAAAGCAAGAGTTTTATAACATTTTAAGATAATCAAATAAAATGTACTTAGAAGATCTATATCAAACCCTAATATTTAATAAACCTAACATATTGAAATCATATTATGTTCTAGTATATCATCACCATCTTAAAAATAAATAACTCCTGGAAGAAGATTTGTGTGATTTCAGATTTTTTTTAATTAAATATTACACCCCGATATCTTTTTTTTTATTTACTATTTATTATAATAAATAAAATTTTAGTATAATTTTAGCTGGTTTCTAAAAATTTTAACAAAATATTGATATTATTATAATTCGAAACATATTTAACAGATAAATTTAATTTTTTTACAATTTATCAAATTTTTAATAATGAAGATTCGAAACTTTATTTATAATTCTTATAGCAAAGTTTAAACTATTGCTTAAGTATGGTAACTTAAAATTGATGTGAAAAAGATTAAATAATAAAAGTGAGTTCTAATAAAAATTTTAATATTTGATTTCTATTTTCCATTGTTTTTGCGAACTTGATTATTTTGGCTTTTTTAATAAATAAATCTTTGATGGAATGTTCTAAACATAAAATAAAGAATGTAATAAATTTAAGATTAAAAATTATAAATGTTAAAAATATTTAATTTGTTAACGATTTTTGTGATCTTAAAGATAGTTTAAAAAATTTTTGCAATAGTAATTAAATAGTTCTTTTTTTGATGGAATGATTTAGCAAACTAATTTGAAAATCTCGAAAAATAAAGGACATGAAAATATTATCTATTGCTGATTTAAATGATTTAGAGGTAAGATTAATTATATGCTTTTTTATTTATAAAAAATAATCTCTTATATGTTTTTATTAAATAAGAATATATTGGACTTGAACATCTAATTGCTAATTGAAAATTATTAATTATTTCATCAATTATTTAAAATTTCTTTTAAATTGTTCAAATAGTAAAGGATTATTTAAAATAAATGAATAATACTTTTTAAATTGATTGAATAGAAATAATATATATATTTAAATATTTCAGTTCTTTTTGATTAGATAATATTGAAGATGATAATGATAGTGTTTTTGTTATAACTAAAATAAAGATGTAAACAATTTAGAAAGAATTTGTGATGATATTTATTTTAGAAATAAATGAATAACAAATTTATAAATAAATAATAATAATGGGAGCTTAATGTTGCACTTTACCAACAAAATTAACAGTTTATGAAATAGATATAGACAGTTAGAAACTTAGAGGTAGTGTTCATACTCAATCGAAACGATCTGTAGCTAAGAAAGAATAGAAAAGCGATGAAGAAATATTAAATAATCAAAAAGAAAACTATGAAGATTTTGAAGTTCTTGCATCAGGATCAATAGATTTAAAATAGAATTAAGATTAGATTCCTTGTTTAAATAAATTATTTTAGAAACAAGAAAGTTAAATAGAATCAAGTATGATTGTATCATAGATATATCGAAATAGCAATTCCAAGAAGTAAATTTTAGAGAAAGATTACAAATTCATCAGTTGGTTCTATGAAATTAGGAGCAGAAGTGTTTGTAAATCTTAAATCAGGTAGTATTCATAAATATTATGAAACTGGAGAAATCTTAGGATAAGGTGCTTATGGAAAGGTTTGGAAAGTGACACACAAGAATACTGGTATAATAAAATTAAATGATTTCAGGTATGATAAGAGCGATGAAAGAAATTAAAAAGAAATCAATAATAATTGAAGAATAATAAAGATTGTTTGCTGAAATGAATATTTTAAAGAATTTAGATCATCCTCATATAGTTAAACTATATGAATTATATTAAGATTCAACTAATTATTATCTAATTACAGAATATTTATCAGGAGGGGAATTGTTTGATAGAATAAAAGAGTTTAATTATTTTAGTGAAAGAAAAGCAGCTGAATTAATGAGACAAATTTTATCAGCAGTTGTATATTGCCATTAAAGAAGTATTGTTCATAGAGACCTTAAACCAGAAAATGTATTGTTTGTTAATGATTCTTAAATATCTCCTATTAAAATTATTGATTTTGGAACCTCTAGAAAATATGATTCAAACTAAAAAATGACTAAAAAATTAGGAACTGTATTCTTCTATAATCAAATAGGCGTATTACATAGCTCCTGAAGTATTAAAGTAAGAATACAATGAAAAATGCGATGTTTGGTCATGTGGAATTATTTTATATATCCTTTTATGTGGATATCCTCCATTTACAGGTAAAAATGAGGATGAAATTATGTAAAAAGTATGTGAAGGAGAATTAATATTTGAGTGTAAGGTTTGATTTTCGAAATTAGATTAGAAGAGGATTGGGAAATGATATCCACAGAAGTTAAAGATTTAATAAGAAAAATGTTACAAGTAGATCCAAACAAAAGATATTCTGCATTATAAGCGTTATCAGATCCATGGATAAAAAAGAACTAATCGAGCACAAAAGTAAATAAATCAGCTTTATAAAATTTGTAAAAATTCTAAGTATTTTTTAAATTTATTTAGGCTTAATCAGTTTTTACTTAAGCAGTTCTTGCTTTTATAGCATGTCAAATGACATCATAATAGGAATAAGATGAATTAGCTAAATCTTTTTAATTTTTAGATAAAAATGGGGATGGAATTTTATCAAGAGAGGAATTAATCGAAGGTTATATTTGTGTTTTTAAAAATAAGTAATAAGCTATTTAAGAAGTTGATAAAATTTTATCAATTGTAGATATAAATTAAAGTGGTTAAGTAGATTTTTCTGGTAAATGATATTGATTTATTATTTTCAGAATTTTTGATGGCAGCTATGAATTAAGAAAAATTGGTTTCTTTAGAAAAAGTAAAAGCTGCTTTTAAAATATTTGATGCTAATGAAGATGGAAAAATATCAAAAAATGAACTAGAAATGATGATAGGAACAATAGAAGATGATATTTGGTAATAAATTTTATTAGAATGTGGAGCATAAGGAGAAATAACAGAGAAATAATTTATAAATATTCTTCTTAATTAAAAACACTGAATTTACTATAATTAATTTGTTCATTTAATAAAAATAGAAATTAATATTTTAAAAAAATAATCAAAATATTGAGCATGCAGAACAAAATTCTCTATCTTCTGTTTAGCTTCTATGTTTAAGATCTTCTCCTTAAATATAAACAATATCATCAAATGGTTAAATTATTTATTAAATTGAATTATTCTTTATTTGCATTTATTGTCTATACTAATCTTCTACCTTTTTTTATCTTTCTAATAAACCCTCCATTAACCATATTCGTTATTCACATGGCATTGATAATTAAAATCTAAATTCTAAATATTTAATTACCTTAATTCTAATGGATTTATACCATCAAATTAAGCATCTGATGACTCATCTCTATAGTCTAAAGTTAATATACAAGGTTTTATTTATTCTTTTGAATATGTTTTTAAATCAAATGAAACTAGAATTTCATCTAATCCCATATCAATTCTACTTAAAACTTCAAATTTATCTCCTCCATTTATTTTCTTTCCCAAAATCACAAAATGTAAAGTATCACTATCTAATAATATTGGAAAAGAACATATTAAATCATCTCCAAATGAATAAATTGATTTCTATTCCTATTAATTCATAGCAACTTTGTATTTGATTTTGTAATATTTAAATATATCTGTCTTTAAACTCTTATGTCTTGTATAACTTATTGAAAGTCTATTTGGTTAATCAAACTTTATTTATTTAAAATCTTTCAATATTTTAATTTACTATTCTAAAGTTTAAATTGAGTCTGTGATGATTCTTTAATTCAATTTCAAATCCATTATAAATAAATGGAAAAACATGATTGCTTAAAAACATTCATTTACAAAATCATGAAATGTTATTTCTTCATATAATTTATGTTCTCGTATCTCTTGTTTTGATGGTTTTTCTCCTTTCCTAACTAAATATATAGTGGAGAGAACTTGCCTTTAAAATTTATATCACACAAAGTACCATAAGAAACTATCTTCTGGAATTTAGTTTATAAACTCTAAATTCATGAACTCATTTAAGGGATATTTAACTGATTATTCCAATAAAGTTAATTTATTACTCATCTTCTATTCTTCTTATTTAATAATCGACTTTCTTAACTCCTACATTTAAATAAAAGAACAGAAAACGCTATAAAATTATTAATATTATATCAAATATTAAAAACTCAACACACTATCAAATAAAAACTACACTATACTCAAATTCAAATATAAACAACTTTATTAGGATCAACTTCTTTTCGCAATAGATTCAATTCATAAAATCTATTCCATGTTATTTCTAATTAAAAAGTTCTTATTCTTTTCAATCAAACATAAGATATTCTTCTTATTGGATCATTTACTGTTGATTTAATTTATAAAACAACTTTATAAACATTTTTTAATTTTGATTTCTCTAATGAATTTCTAAATTATCTATCTAAATTTGGACTTAAAAATATATTTGTTTATTTACTGATACACTAGGTATTTTTCTAAGTTCAAAAATTCACATTTGAAAAATTTTAATAAAGTATTCATTAAATTCAATGCTAACGCTTCTTTTAGACTCATGATATTAATTTATTTAACTCTCACAGTCTCATTAAAATATTAATAATAATTATTTCTATTTCTAAATCACATTATTTATAACATAATCATTCTAAATAAAATATTCTAGATACCCTCTATGTTTTATCCTTTTCTGATCCAATATTTATCTTATGTTTTCTACTGTTTCATTCAAACAATCAACTTATTTCAATTTCTATATATAAATAAATCTTCACAATCTTCATCAAATATATATACAAAATATCTACAATTTGGATCATGTAAATACAATAGTTTTACTATATTATAAAATTTAATATAAAATATAATAAATATTTAAAATTTCTTTATTATTACAAATTATAATTCAAACTTAATGCAAAAAAATTTAATCAACCTTTTTTTATGTTTCATCATTCATATATCTCAAACCAAATGAAATAAGTATTTGACAAACAGATTATAAAAAGCTTAAAATCTCCTTCAAATGTTTTATGCACTAAATTTAATTTAAAATATATTATCAACAATTTATTCTCAACTCACAATAATGTAATTATATTCTAAAATTATTATAAGGTAAGTTCCAAATATCAAATGTAACTCATCTACACAGCATTTTTCATTTTTGATTTCAACCTAATAAAGATAACTTATCATGAATGAAGATTTTACTTTGAATTCTATTATCAAATCAAACTATTAGTTAAAAAATCTAATATTCTTCTTCATAAGCCCCATTCAGAATGATTTACATCAATCAAATCATCAATTTAAAAAAAATTAATTTTCTTAAAATATGTAATAATCTGATTAGATGAAATTTGTAATTTATATAAAATACAAGATTTATTGTGCCAATTAAATTTATAATTGATCAAATTATTTAAAAAATTAGAAGGATCATTTGATTATTAGTGTTTGATATTCATTAATTATCAAGTAAAAAAGTTTTATTATTTGATAATTTAGAATGTTCCCAAAAAATAGTGTAAAAATTTATCATTTTAAAGAAAATTTTACTGAAGTTTACTTTTTTTATTTAATTTCTTGAAATATATTATACAATATACAATATTAATCTAAGTGAAAATATATTATTTCATTAGAAATATAAGTGATATCTTTAGATCATTATTTTAAATAATCATTACAATGTTTTTTTAAATCTTTTTAAATAACATTTATTTTGCACTATTTTTAATTAACTAATAAAAGTCTTAGAGGTTGCAAATAAATTAGAAATATAATGATACAGAAAAAGTTCTCTTTATCATTATGCTTACTATTTAAGATATAAAGATAATAGCTTCAAAGCTGTTATTAAGAATAGTATATAAAAGGAAGTTTTTATTCTACAAATAGAAAATATCAAATAATTTATTTGTGAAGTTTTAATAAGAAATAATACAATAATACATAATAATATAAAAATTATACTGAATATTATTTTTATGTTTATTTGTTTCATGGTTAAAATTACTCATAAGTTCTACTACCTCTAGTTTATCCAATAGAAGATGTAGTAGTAGTTCCACCTGTTCTAGTTACTACTCTGGAGGATGAAACAACAACTTCCTAAAAAAATAAATAAAGTGATAGTATACTTTCTTTTATCCTTTCTTAAGTGCCTCTAACTCAGCTTGACACATGGTTAATTATTCTTAGCATTCATTATAATCGTGATTAACTTTGATGAATTTCTACTTCCAAACTTCAACTTCTGATGAAAGATATGTCACTTTTTCTTAGATAACAGTTTATCCTTCAGATTCTAATTGTTCACATCTAAGTCTCCATTCTTCAAGATCTCCTTCTTTAACTTTTATTGTATAAGTCAATCTTTCTATTTCTGAAGATAGCATAGCTATTTTAGTCTTTTTAAATAAGGTATATAAATACCTCATAATCTCTTAATTTAATAAGTAATTCATTATTTTCTTTTCTCAATCTACCATTTTCATCTTGCAATCTTCTGAGTTAATCTTCTAAATCTTTAATTTGGCTTTCAAATTTAAGTCTAATGTTAAAAAATTCTCTTTCTTTAGTAGCTAAATCTTCAGATTAAGAGCTTCTCAATTAGATTTCTCCCCTCATGGATTATAATTACATTTATAATGAATCATTTTCTAATCTTAATTGTCTTAATTGAGCCTCTAAGAGTTCTACTTTAGAGTTATCTACAACAATTTTATCTTTTTCCACAATTTTTTCAACAACTTAAACTTCTTTTCTTTTTTCCAATTCAGCAATTAAAGATTGTAAATACTCACATTCTAATCTCCAAGGTGCTTCAATTTCTTCTTTTGAAACTACAATAACATTCATGCATAGAGGTTATGCAGCAACACAATTCTATTGTACAGAATAATTGCCTTAATATCCAATTTAAGGAATTGCAGCCATATTTGAGATATAACTTTATCCTCCAACAAAACCTTATGTTTAAGTTCTTAGAACTTGTTAAGATTACATTCTAGGTATTTTAGTAGCACTTCTTTATTCGACTTCAACAGTGGTTTGCTTGAATTAACAGATAAATTTACTTAAACTTTTGGTGTTTCTCTTGTAATTACTTATTCCACTCTGTCTTAAGTGACACTTCTAATATTATCCTTAGTGCCTGAGGTATATTGTCTTTAAGAAGTTGAAGATGTTACATATTATCTACTTTAGAAATCACTCATCTAATATCAAATAAATTTTATTTATGAAGCAATCAAATTTGTATTTTGGATTTTAAGTACTTAAATGATACTAAAAAGTAATGATTTTATATAAATTTTATGTTGTATACCGAATTGATTGTAAAGACAGTTAAACTTTAAGAATTGAATAAAAAGATTAATATAAAAAGTTTAGAATAATATATTTAATAAAAATGTCTTTGGCTTTAGCAGGAGTAGTGCCTCCTTTATATGAGAGGAATCAGGAAGCTACAATATATATAGGAAACTTAGATTAGAAAGTAACAGATGACATAGTCTGGGAATTATTCATTCAATGTGGACCTGTAGTTAATGTTCATATTCCTAAAGATAAAATTTCAGGAGAACATTAAGGTTATGGTTTTGTAGAGTTTAAGAGTGAAGAAGATGCTGATTATGCTATAAAGATAATGCATATGATAAAATTATATGGGAAACCTATAAAAGTGAATAAAGCATCTTAAGATAAAAGAACATAAGAAGTTGGTGCTAATTTATTTATAGGAAATTTAGATACTGAAATAGATGAGAAAACTCTCTATGAAACATTTTCAGCTTTTGGTCATATTTTATCAACAAAAGTATTGAATGTCCAATATATATTATTAGATAATGAGAAATCCTGAGACTGGAGTTTCAAAAGGATATGGATTTGTAAGTTATGATAATTTTGAATCTAGTGATGGAGCTTTGACAGCTATGAATGGATAATTTTTAGGAACCAAAATAATTCGTGTTGAATATGCATTTAAAAAAGATGCAAAAGGAGAGAGACATGGAAGTTAAGCAGAAAGATTATTATCTGCAAATAGACCTTTAGCATAAAAAGCACTTTTAGGTTTTGTTGGATATATGCCAACAGAATTAAGAATTCCTTTACCTCCTCCACCTTCTATATAAATATAACCTTTACAAGAAGGATACAAACCTTTTTCTTAATAAATTCCTATTCCACCTCCTCCGCCTCCTGGAATTCCTAAATGATTTATAGCGTAAATAATATATAAATTATAGTTATTCAATTATTATTCAATTATTTATTTTCTGTTTCTCAATAACTTAAGCATATTGTTTTGTTCTTTATTAGGAGTCCACTAAATAGAAATGCAATTCTTCAATATTCTATTCATATTCAGTTAATGTTCTTGTATTTAACAACTCAAATTTTGGTTTTGGAACTGTAGTCATTTCTGTAGATAAAGATTACTTTGTTTATTATCCATTTTACTCCATTTGTTATAATAAATCACCTAAGAAATTTATTCTACTTATTCTTTCCTCCTTACTTTTCCTATTAATTATATTATCGCATTCAATACTTTCCATTCAATATTACATTCTATCTCTTTTACTATGAAGTAGATTAACTACTTGATGTTATTTCTGCTGCATGATAATTCTTTAAACGAAACGAAGGACTTCTTTTAATCTATGTTGAAAGAAATAACTATTAGTAATTCTAGACTCACTCAAATTAACTAATACCTGTGCAATTGGCCCAGCCTATTATTAAATCTATCATTCTAAACAAATCTCATTATACTTCTAATTGCTGCAATTCACATTAACTAGGAGTTCTGTTAGGACTTTATTATGTACAACATCTCTATTGACTAGAACTATTTAATCTAATCCCTTAAGAACTCTTAGCTCTATTAGGATCTATTATTCTTTATCGTCTTCTTGAATTATTCAAATATGGTGTATATCGAATAGGACAAATGTTCATTCTTTATTTATTTATATATATAATAATAAAATTGTTCAACATCTTTTTCTATTCCTATCAAAATTTTCATTATTTTATATTAATATATTATTGTCTCATTTTATATCATTAATCTTGTTCAATTCTTATTTTTAAAGTAAAATGCGAGAATTAAAAAAATGAAAGAATGAGAAATTAAGTTTCTATGATAATTATTTCATCTAACATAAACTTATTATTATCAAATCTTTATACTTTCCTAAAATTTAATTATATATTTTATTAAATTTAAACTCATATTCATATTCTTCAAATCTACTCATAGGGTTTTCTTCTTTCTCTCGTCAATTGTATATTAAACCTTTTTTACTTATTTTTAATGATTTCTCAAGAAAACAATGTTATCTTTCAAGTAGGAATGTTGAATTTTAAAATTTATTGACTTTAATCCTTTTCATACTTAGACGAAAGAATCTCATTAACTATTTATTAAATGAATAATTTCAAGATTTTTATAAAATTTTGTTGATCTCAAACTCACAGGTCTTAAAATTTGGATTAATTATGAAATAATAGCAAAAATACTATTCATCTTTTTGAAATGGATTTATATACTCACAAAAATTCTATAAAAATATCTTAATGATCTTAATTACTATTTAATAGAAATACCCTAAATTTTTAATCTCACTAATAAAAAAACATTGTAATTTTATTTTTTAAGTTGATTAGATTCTACATAATAGCTAATAGCTAAATGATAATAAGATAATGATAGAATTTGAATAGACTTGAATGATTATTATTCGTTTAACAAGTTAAAAATACTATAAAATTTTTTATAAACTAATTCATAAAAATATTTTAATATTAATTAAATTTTTAATCTATTTTTTAAAATTTTATATTGACAAAAAGACTTTAAATAGTGGTAGAAAGTCTAGGTGTGAAATAGATCAAAATAAATCAGCATCCCAGATTAATTGTATAACGATTCACATTTGATTCATCATTTAAAATAGATGAATAAGAATTAACAGTCCCATAATCTCATATTTTAAATATTTCTATGTATCATGATATTAGAAATTAAATTCCATATTATTTTATCATGAACATTTAATATTAATTTACTTATAAAATTTGTCACTTATGTCTCTTAAAAAGTCGAGAACACTAATAAAACAAATATATTATAATCAAAAATTATTCTAGAAATGTGTAAATCAAAAATTATAGAGGAATGCTCTTTGTCATGAGATAGAAAACATTCAATTAAAAGGAATATAATTCGAATTAGTTTGTGATTAATAAGATTTGTTTTTATTATAGAAATGAAACTATATTGTATTAAATAAGAGGAACGAACCAATCCATAACCACCAGTAAGCATTCCAAGATCACTTCCTCTCGGTAGAAATAATAAGTATCTCCAATTAGTTTAGAAGAGTGAAAATTGCATATCAATTTAAAAACAATGGTGTGTTGTAGATAAATTCATGAGAGCTTTAAACAAGTTATAAATAGCTTAAAACAAAATATAAAATTAACCAAAGTACCCTTTTGTGTTATAACTGTCTATAAATGAATTTATCGTATAAATAGTGTAAATTCTAAGGTTCATTTGGGTACCAATAAAGTAGAATTAGCAATGTCTAATGAGCTTTCTTTTTACTCCAATTTTCAGCCGATTCAATACTGTTGTCCTCCTCCAGTTAACACACCAACTCCAACTATCAAACTTCCTATTCATAAAAAACGGGAAGTTAATGTTCTTCAAGACCAGAAAGACACTAAGAATATCCCTAAGAATTACTGCAAGAGTATCATCACTTTTGCTTGCAAAAATTAAAATCTCTGTCTTGAAATACTTAAAGACTAGTTGAAAGTGGTTAAATTCTTGGAAAAGATTACTGTTTACAAAAAATTACTACTAAACATAAGAATATTCAGTAGTCTTTTGTAACACTCTGAAGATCCTGAAGAAGAGGAATTTAGAAGGGCTTTCAGAATCATCAGGTAATTTCATATACTATATTAAAAGTCGGATATTTATCAAGAAATATGCTATAAACTATATTTTTAACTCTAAGATAGTCTAGCATAACTGGCATATGAGATATAGATCATAGATATATAAGGGAGTTAAAAATCCAAACAATTTTTCACATATTAAAAACTTATGAAAAAAGTTTGATTGAATCCATTTGAATATAATATATATTTAATGAATAACTAATCCATTAATTAGATGTTTCCATTTCTATTGTAATCTCTGTTTCTATCCCACTTCTGCCTCTCTTAATCATAACTCTAAACAAAGTGATATATCTTAATTTAATCAAAACTAGACAAACTTTTACATTTCAAAAAAATCTAGTCACAAAAGTGCAAGTTCTGCAAGAATCTCAGAAAGAAGGATAGAATAAATATAATATAAATATATTCTAAATCGTAATTAAACATTCAATATAATTAATAATCATCAATTTTATATTATTAAAGTCATTAATTAATCTCTCACTATTATCATAAATTTAATTAAAGTACATACTATAGAGTAAAAATAAAATTTAAACCTCTAAACAGAACAACGTTGTTTAACTGTTGTTGAATTGATTAAACTTTATATAGAATTTAAATTAATTAACAACCGTCATCATATATTACAAGAAATCAGATCACTTATTAAATTTCTATAAAAGTAATTAAAATCCTTATCAATTTCAAGATCACTTTAACTATATATATTATCTAATAAGATTATTCAAAAAATTAAAAATTTTAGGACTTTTTAGTTTGATATAAAGTTGCCCAAGAGGGAAAAGATAAGAATATATATTAATTAATAAGGAGAATTGGATATTCATATTTTCTTATAACTATATTTTTATGTATTAAAATTATCAATTTAATTAAAATAATTCTTTTAAAGTTTTGATTGTCTCTTAAGAATAATTAACTTATTATTAAATTCTTCATTCTAGATTTAATGATCAATTCAACCTTTAAATGTTTAGTTTCCAAAAATTATACTTTTTTCAAATTCATTTCAAAATCCCAGACAATATTTTTTTCAAAAATCTTTTTAAAATACAACAAAGCTATATCTTTGAACTATTTCTCTAATTTCACAATCAGTTGCTTTCTAACATATACATTCTTTCTCGTAATATTCAAAATCACCAAGGTCTGAAAATTAGTTATCCTTCAAATTAATGAAAAATTGATTATCTCATATACTTTTTTGAAATATATGAACTAATTAAAATTTTTTTGAAGGACTATTTGAATAAATGCTCCAATTTTGAGGGTGTAAAATATTTTTTTGGACAAAATACTATCTAATCTAATACTGATCATCTTTTAGAATTACCATCTTTTTGTACCAAATTTGTTATTTTGTAATCATCATATTGAAAATAATTATTGTCAAAAATGCCCATTTAGTAAAAAAATAATTATATTATGGATGAAGATGAGAGTTGATTTTCTCAAATTAACTAATTGTTTGATTCAAATATTGTTTCCCTAATAATTTATTTTAAAAAATTAATTAATAGAAAATTATTAATNTTAAACTAAGGCTTAAAAAACTCAGAAACTAATGGCATTAAACTAAAGATATCTCATTAAAAGAGAAAAGCTTTCTTAATGGAGATTAAGATAGAAGCAGTAGTCTTTACAGATACATAAAAGTGAAGTAACAAATCTATTTAGGCTAAAATAAAAAAGGATCAAAATCTTAGAGGAAGATCGAATACTGTTACTTCTTGTATAAATTTTAAAAAATTATAAGGTATTGATTGTTAAAACATTTCTTTTTTCTATATTTCCCATGAAAAACATTTAATATGTTAAAGAATCGTTACTATAACAATCTTAAAGATTAAGAAACTTTGATAATCCAAAAAGAGATTGAGTAAGAACTTTTAGAAAGAAAATAATAAAATATAGTTAAGGGGAAAAAATCATAAAAAATTGGCTTGAAGAATAAAAAATTTCAGCTTTAAGCTTAAATAGACAATGGTTGGCTTTTTCCAGAAGTCAAAAGAAAAAATACTATATTTTTTACAAAGTTTTACTCAAGTAATTTAAAATGTATGAAATATTTATGAGTTTTTCTGTACATATTTTATTAATAAAATGTTGTGAATAATTATATTTGAAAACCTTCAATTAAAGATTGAATAAAATAAATAGAGTTTTTTCTTTAAAAAAAACAGAAAAAAGCTAATTTTTTTTTCAGAAAGTCGGAGAGTTTAATTTAAAAAAAAGACCAAATTGGTTTTATTATATAATTTTTCTTATAAAAATATAGAGATGAGAATAATAAGTAAATAAATGATGGAGGGATTTCTAAATAATTTAATAATAATTATAGATAAATAGAAAAGTATAGAGGAAACAAAGCAATTTTATATTTTGTAAATATTAATTTACACTTGACTAGTTTGAATTTTAATAACATTAAAACCTACCCTTTTAATTAGTAAATGTAAAGAATTTTTGATAAATACATATACTTACAATAAGAAAATTTATATGAAATAGTTATTTAATTAGAATATAAAAGATCTTAAAACAAATATTGAATATTATAAAAATTATATTATTATATTTAATAATAATAATAAAATTATTAAGAAATGAAAGGACTTAATTATTAAAGTACTTTGAGTTATACATTTTCAAAATCTAATAAAGAGATAAAAGAAATATTAGAATTTGATGGATTTAAAGATTATAAGATAGATGAAGATTTAAAGATTGTTGAATATACTATTAATCATTCAAATTCCATTTAATTAAGTTTATTACTTTATTTACAAGTAATCATATAAATAATAAATAGCAAATCAAATTTATATAATTGACTATAGCATAATAAATTTAATTATGTTTAGATATTTATAACAAATACAAATAGTTAGAATAATAAAATATTTAACATAATTATTTATCTTCTGATAGAATTTGGTTAAATATATCAAATAAATAACATTAAATAACAATATTACCAAATAATTTATATTATACTATACATTTTGTTGGTTATGATTGTCCATTTTATGAAAGAGATAATTATTTGAACTCATAAACTAAAGATGATTAAGCTATTAAACAAATAATTATTATTATTTTATAAAATGCAAAAAATAGAATGAATGATAAAAAGAAAAAATTAGACAATATTTCAACAAAAGACTAAAATATGAAGGAAAAACAATAATAAAAGAAAGAAAAACTTACAGAAAATTAAATAATATTCAAAGTATTACTTGATGAAGGAATTTACAAATCATTTGACAAGTTTATTTTATCATCTTAATTTATCTTTGAGAAATATGAGAATATTAATAATTTAAAATAAAGATTAAAAGGAGTAGATAAAAATATCACATAATTTAATATTAAAAGGAATAATAGAAATAAAGATGTTATAGACAATTTAGTTTAAATTCAACAAACCTATAATCATAAATAATTCTACGAGTTATCATCGATATTATATTAAATGTTTAAAAAAATTGCAGATCATTTTAGAAATGCTACAATCTATTAGTAATAAATGTTTACAGATACAATTATTTATGAGCATTTTCAAAATTAAATCGAACATATTGATAATTAAAGCATTTAAAAAGTTATTGATGATAATAAGGAATCAATTATGAAAGATTTCAAATTTGAATTAGATTTAAAATCAATCTAAGACGATATAAATTAATAATTATCTAATAAATTCAAAACTTTTAGATATTTTTTCAATGATTTTAAGTTATTAAAAGATAAACTCATTTTGAATTAAATCTAAAAGCTAAAAGAAGAAGTAATTAAAGAAGTAGTAACACAAATATTATAGGATTATTTACAATTATTAATTTTAAAGCTGATAGATGATTTAATTTGATTATTAATAATCATACAAAATTTATATTTAATATGGGTTATAAAATAATAGCATTTGTATATCAAACAGGGAATCTTGAAAGTCCCTTTAGATCTTCCCTTTTGACAAATCTTTTTCCTGGGGTTATACCATTTTCAGCTTGAATTAATAATTGTTCATAGATTTAATCTCTTCTTTCTTCTTCCCAAGCTTTCATCTTATCCTTTTATGATTCAATGGCTTCATCTACTGTTTTTTTGTAGAATGCTGCTCTATCTTTAGTTTTCATTGAAAAAAGTTCTGTTTAATCAAAAATCAATAATTTCCAATCTTAAGTAGCCATTACTTATTGTTAAAGTTATAATTAAGCTCTAGGTTTACCATTTACAGTTGTTCTTGGAGTATTTAAAATAATAGAAACTCTATGATCTGGAAGTGTAACATTAAAAAAGTATGTATTATTCCAATTATAGTAAGTTTTCCAATCATATTATAAATGAGTATTGAGATCCTAAATATATAAAATATTATGAATTACAATTTAAAAATCTATAATTTATTGATCTAAATGCTATTTTTCAGTTCTATTTGCTAAGAACATATTTTCAGCATTTTAACAAGCATCTTCAAATGGTTTCATATTCCAATTAGGGTAAAATTATTGAATATAAAATTTAGCTTATTTGAAAGCATAATAATTAGCTAATGGAACATACTCACTTTTAGTTGCCACATTTTTTAAGAAATTATACCAAATTTCTTAATCATTAACTTGATTAAACATAAGACCATAAACTATGTTCTATAATTCTGAAAATGAGAATTTTAATATATTTTCTTTGATCCAATTTAAGAATATAGGATTTTAAGCAAATTCAGAATTAATAGCTGAATATGCATAATAAATCTTAAGAATATTAAATTAAATAATTACTCTAGATTTTTCTAAATGTTCATATTAGTCAAAATACTTTAAAGCAAATTATTCTAAATATTTGTATGTTTCAATTGTTCCAGCTTGAATTCCATTATTTCCTTTAGAGAGAGCATATAAGATATGAACTAATTAATATTCATCTGGTTCTTATAATTAATTTTCTAATAAAAAGATTAAATCATTAAAATCTATATGTTAAATTCAAATAAGATACTTGGTACTTTTAAAATAGAGATACCTAAAAGAATTCTTGTTATGTCATCCATATTATATTTTCCTTCTTTTAAAGGACCTACAAATGCATTCATAACACTTAATCTATATTTGTCATTAGCTGTAACATCATAAGATTATGCTCTTAAATGTTTTTTAGGTAAATTATTTGCAATGGAATAAAAAGCTTAAGCCAATTTTGAATGATTATTTTGATATTCAGGTAATAAAGTAATGAGATTATCAATTAAAACTTTAGCATATTTATCATGATTAAATGTTCTAAATGCATATAGTGCTTCAATAGTTTAATCAACATTTAATTTTTCTTATGAAACTAAATTATAAATTAAATTATGTAATTCATAACTTCCAGCTTTTGGATAGGTTGTTGCCAATCCTCTTTTCAATAATATTAGTTCATCAATAGTAAAATGATGAATTTGTGATTTAACAATATTTTCAATAATTTCCCAAATTTTATATATATCCTCTTTATATAATAATTCATTTTAGAGCATCCATGCTATTTTAGGCATTTCTTTAAAATTTGCTTAAGAGACTGCTTCTTTGAGTTTAGTAAAAAGATCAGGTAATTTTTTATAATGATCTTCAATGAAATAGTTGGGATGATAAACTAACATAAATATTTTAGAAATACTTCTTGAGAGTTATAGAGTTGAAGCTTCCTTAATTTCTTAGATAATATTTTTGACTTCACTATGAACAGAAGGATTTGAAAGAAAATCATTTTTTCTTAAATTATATTGAGCAAATCGTGGACTTCTGTAATTAAAAAATAAATCCTTAGCAATTAATCTTTCAAAATATCTAATTGGAGGATTTTCTCCCCATAATTCATCTATCTATTCTTCTTATTATTCTTAAATAGTAGTTTATGCTTTTTTATATCTGATAAATTCATCTCTTTAAAGTTTTTATTTAACATATTTTCTTAATGGAGCTATATATACTTATCTAAAGAGTAATAATTGAATTACCTTGGAACAGGAACAGTATTTTTATCAAATACATAGAATTGAGTCTTTTTAGCATTTATATCAGGGACTTTGACATCTAATAATTTATATTTTTTATCTCCTTTATCTTTTGAGAAAACAGTTTTTTATTCATAATAAACATAATCTGTTTTAGCATCTTTCTCTTTTACAAAATGTAATTTAGAGCTAACCATTCTATCTAAACAAAAATATTGTCGTACACAATTTCTTATCATAAAATTTAATTTATAGATTTTAATGTATTACATTATAGACAATATTTGTATGAAGATTATCTTTTAGATGTAAATTAGATATTGATTTATATAAAGGATTATTGTTGGATAAAGAAATACATACAGAGTATTGAAATTTGTGAAAAAGAATTATGTAATGAAAATATATCAATGGATGGCAAATATATATATTTAATTCGGATGAATTGAGATTTTATAGATTTTTTAAGATGCTTAAGATCCAAATCCAACAATAATTAATCTTAAATAATGTTCAAATTATTTTTAATAATTAGAATTCAAAATGACAGATATGATAGTTAATGATATTATATTAGTGATATAAAATCAATTTAGATAATATTTTAATACATATGGAAAATAAGAATAAAGATTGACTAAAAAAAGACTAAAGATGATATCCATAATAAACAACTTAAAAATAATGAATTCCATTAATTAATTAATTTATTTATTAAATTAATGATTAAATATAAATATATAATAGGCTGTTTTATAGCAAAGGGGAGATTAAAGAATCAACCAATGTTAATACCTATTAGATAAATGATTTATATAACTAATTCTATAATCTCAAATTATCTTAGCCATTTCTATTGTATAATAGTAATATGCTAATCCATATACTATTATTACAAATACAACATATGACATCAAATATCCATTTATCTCATTTTAAATCACTCTAATTGAACCTAAACTCAAGAATATAAACCTAGATTTATATCAAAATGTACAATCCTATTGTTATTACTTTAAATACAAGAATTAATTTTCTGGTATTTGAAAATACAATTCTTGAATTCTCTGGTGTCACTTATAAATCATACTAAAATCTATTAGTTATTAATGATAATATAGTTAATAAAACAAAAAAAAATGTTCCAAGAGTAGGAATTGCTAACAATATAATCTTATCACTTGTTACAGTCTATTCCCCCAATGCATTATAAAAAACAGGAATCACCAAATCAAGCTATCAATTTATACTAACTTTATACTTGATTATATAGTTGTATAAAGAATACCCACATCAATATTAATTCGATTAATGCCAAAACTTCTAAAATCATATCAAATGCATCATATGGAGGTATAGGTTATTAATCAGTGTAATATCCCTATTAACCACCAAAAAAAAATGGAACATATTTCTTTCCTTAATAAAGAATTGTTTCAACAGGTAAATGAGAATCCTCTTTTAAAAAATTACTCTATGATCTATCCTAATTAATCATTTTACTTTTAATTATTAAAATTTCTTAAATTATATTACTATTAATATTCAATAGTTTGAAATCGAATATATAAAAAGAGTTTATAAAGGAAAAAAAAAAATATGATCAAAATCATGTGAAAAAGTAATATTAGATTCTAAGATAATTGATTTTTAAATCAATAATAATAGGTTTTAATTTAAAAATATGAAATTCTAAGAATTAATAATATTAATTTTACATAGAATAGATGAGAGTTAAAAAACTAATTCAAATTAAATAAATTATTTTTATTATATAAGCTAATTATTATAAGCATCAAGGTATGAATTATTTTTAAGTTTTTAAAGTGAAACTGTTCTATCAATGGAAAAAGATCTTAAAACAAATATTGAATATTATAAAAATTATATTATTATATTTAATAATAATAATAAAATTATTAAGAAATGAAAGGACTTAATTATTAAAGTACTTTGAGTTATACATTTTCAAAATCTAATAAAGAGATAAAAGAAATATTAGAATTTGATGGATTTAAAGATTATAAGATAGATGAAGATTTAAAGATTGTTGAATATACTATTAATCATTCAAATTCCATTTAATTAAGTTTATTACTTTATTTACAAGTAATCATATAAATAATAAATAGCAAATCAAATTTATATAATTGACTATAGCATAATAAATTTAATTATGTTTAGATATTTATAACAAATACAAATAGTTAGAATAATAAAATATTTAACATAATTATTTATCTTCTGATAGAATTTGGTTAAATATATCAAATAAATAACATTAAATAACAATATTACCAAATATATTATATTATACTATACATTTTGTTGGTTATGATTGTCCATTTTATGAAAGAGATAATTATTTGAACTCATAAATTAAAGATGATTAAGCTATTAAAAATACCATTATTAATATTTTATAAATTGCAAAAAATAGAATGAATGATAAAAAGAAAAAATTAGACAATATTTCAACAAAAGACTAAAATATGAAGGAAAAACAATAATAAAAGAAAGAAAAACTTACAGAAAATTAAATAATATTCAAAGTATTACTTGATGAAGGAATTTACAAATCATTTGACAAGTTTATTTTATCATCTTAATTTATCTTTGAGAAATATGAGAATATTAATAATTTAAAATAAAGATTAAAAGGAGTAGATAAAAATTTCGCATAATTTAATATTAAAAGGAATAATAGAAATAAAGATGTTATAAACAATTTAGTTTAAATTCAACAAACCTATAATAATAAATAATTCTGCGAGTTATCATCAATATTATTTTAAATGTTTAAAAAAATTGCAGATCATTTTAGAAATGCTACATTCTATGAGTAATAAATGTTTACAGAAATAATTATTTATGAGCATTTTTAAAATTAAATTGAACATATTGATAATTAAATCATTTAAAAAGTTATTGATGATAATAAGGAATCAATTATGAAAGATTTCAAATTTGAATTAGATTTATAATCAATCTAAGACGATATAAATTAATAATTATCTAATAAATTCAAAACTTTTAGATATTTTTTCAATGATTTTAAGTTTTTAAAAGATTAAAAATATATAATGAATTAAATCTAAAAGCTAAAAGAAGAAGTAATTAAAGAAGTAGTAACACAAATATTATAGGATTATTTACAATTATTAATTTTAAAATTAGAAGATGATTTAATGTGAAAGTAATATATTTAATTAAATATGTTTAAATTTATTTTTTTAAAAACATGAGATCACTTTTCAGTGTTCCCTTAATTAAACTGTTTTTCAAATTTAATTTTATATAAATAAAATTCGATTTAACAGAAATTAAAAAAAAATATAACTTAACTTTTAATGAATAAAATGAAAACAATTTTAGAAAAGACATATACAATCTATAACTCTATTTATATGATTTAAATTATTTAATTAGAATATTTTTTTAAAATATCTTAAAACAAATATTGAATATTATAAAAATTATATTAATATATTTAATAATAAATAGGAAATCAAATTTATACGTTTGACTATGGCATAATAAATTTAATTATGTTTAGATATTTATAACAAATACAAATAGTTAGAATAATAAAATATTTAACATAATTATTTATCTTCTGATAGAATTTGGTTAAATATATCAAATAAATAACATTAAATAACAATATTACCAAATATATTATATTATACTATACATTTTGTTGGTTATGATTGTCCATTTTATGAAAGAGATAATTATTTGAACTCATAAATTAAAGATGATTAAGCTATTAAAAATACCATTATTAATATTTTATAAATTGCAAAAAATAGAATGAATGATAAAAAGAAAAAATTAGACAATATTTCAACAAAAGACTAAAATATGAAGGAAAAACAATAATAAAAGAAAGAAAAACTTACAGAAAATTAAATAATATTCAAAGTATTATTTGATGAAGGAATTTACAAATCATTTGACAAGTTTATTTTATCATCTTAATTTATCTTTGAGAAATATGAGAATATTAATAATTTAAAATAAAGATTAAAAGGAGTAGATAAAAATTTCGCATAATTTAATATTAAAAGGAATAATAGAAATAAAGATGTTATAAACAATTTAGTTTAAATTCAACAAACCTATAATAATAAATAATTCTGCGAGTTATCATCAATATTATTTTAAATGTTTAAAAAAATTGCAGATCATTTTAGAAATGCTACATTCTATGAGTAATAAATGTTTACAGAAATAATTATTTATGAGCATTTTTAAAATTAAATTGAACATATTGATAATTAAATCATTTAAAAAGTTATTGATGATAATAAGGAATCAATTATGAAAGATTTCAAATTTGAATTAGATTTATAATCAATCTAAGACGATATAAATTAATAATTATCTAATAAATTCAAAACTTTTAGATATTTTTTCAATGATTTTAAGTTTTTAAAAGATTAAAAATATATAATGAATTAAATCTAAAAGCTAAAAGAAGAAGTAATTAAAGAAGTAGTAACACAAATATTATAGGATTATTTACAATTATTAATTTTAAAATTAGAAGATGATTTAATGTGAAAGTAATATATTTAATTAAATATGTTTAAATTTATTTTTTTAAAAACATGAGATCACTTTTCAGTGTTCCCTTAATTAAACTGTTTTTCAAATTTAATTTTATATAAATAAAATTCGATTTAACAGAAATTAAAAAAAAATATAACTTAACTTTTAATGAATAAAATGAAAACAATTTTAGAAAAGACATATACAATCTATAACTCTATTTATATGATTTAAATTATTTAATTAGAATATTTTTTTAAAATATCTTAAAACAAATATTGAATATTATAAAAATTATATTAATATATTTAATAATAAATAGGAAATCAAATTTATACGTTTGACTATGGCATAATAAATTTAATTATGTTTAGATATTTATAACAAATACAAATAGTTAGAATAATAAAATATTTAACATAATTATTTAACTTCTGATAGAATTTGGTTAAATATATCAAATAAATAACATTAAATAACAATATTACCAATGAATTTATATTAAATTTTCCAAATTAAAAATAATTAGATAAATAAATAAAAAAAATTAAAAATCTCATGATTTACAATTAATATTCAAAGCATTACTTGCTGAAGGAATTTTCAAATCATTTGAAAAATTTATTGAAGCATAGAAATTATCTTTTAAAATTATGGTGCCAAAGATAACACATAAAGATTGTCAAAATTTGAATTAGATTTACAATCAATTAAAAAGGTATATCTTTATTATTATAATAAAATTTTTCTTAAACTATTATAACAAATTAAATCAAAATATTGAAGTATTTTCTTAATGATGTTAAATCTGGTTTACCACAATAAGTATTAGAATTATGAGATGATTTTTTATGAAAAAGTATTATATTTAGATTAATTATTGTTTTAATCTCATATTATATAAATACAATAGATTTGGTTAAGGGAAATTGCACTATTTAAATTGCTTTATCTGAACTAATAATATTTAACCTTTTTAAACACTTTTTATTATCTTGGTTTTAATTTAAATTTTCTTAAGTTTATGTTTAAAATAATTTTAAAAATTACATTGAATGAAAATTTCTGTATTTTCTTTATTAAATTTTTTTCCGATATAAATTTGTATTCATATATTCGATTTTTGCATCAAATACTAGATAAATACATTCTTTAGTCTTCATTTTGGTTAAATATAGTTTTAATAAATTTATTAAATACTTTTGTAATAACCTTAAAAGAATGAAAGGCTTTAATTACAAAAGTTGTTTAACTTATCCTTTTAATCGACCTATTAGCGAAATGAAAAGTATAATAGAAAAAGACTCATTCTAAATTTCTGAAATTAATGAGGAATTGAAAATAGTGACATATACTATCGATAATTCTAAATCTATCAAATTAAGTTATTTACTTCAATTCATTGTAATATTATGAATATTTTAGGAAGTGAAATTCTTGAAATTATCCTTAGCCTAATTTATATAATTAGGCATTGATATTTATAATAAGTATAAATATCTAGTATAAAACTAAATTCAGCATAAATATTTAAGTTCAGATAGAGTGTATTTAACTGTTTAAAATGAATAATCTGCTTTTAGTATATTGCCAGGTTTGTTAAAATATTCAATAAATTTTACAGGTTATGATTGTCCTTTTTATGAATTGGAAAATTATGAATTTTATTAAAAGAGCGATGGATAATCGATTAAAGAAATTATTACAAATATAATATAAATAGCTATCAAATAGTTTAATTTAAGAAACAATGCGATTAACGAGTAGCCATAAAATGATAGATGCAATATTTAAAATAAAGAAGTAATTTATTAAAAAATATACATCGATGGGATTTGTAGATCTCTTGATTCGTTCTATATAAATGCTAACGAAATATTTGAAAAATTTAATAATTATGAAAATCAATAATAACTTTTAAATGGCATAGATCTATAATTTGATAAGAACGTATTTTGGAGAAATAAAAGATTGTAAAAAGTAAATGAAAATATTTAAACTTTAATATAAAAAAATTATCAGATCCATAAATGGTACAAAACTGAATATCTTTTACTTTAAACTCTACCATTAATAATAAAAGAAGTTAAGGAATCTTATTTCTATCAATAACAAATTTTGGATCAATACAAAAATTTCAAAAATCTTTAATTTATAATAGGATGCGTAAGTGATCAAGATTGTAATTCAATAATTGATAGATATTTGCAAAAAGCAAAGGAAAAATACAAATTCCACATAGATAAATCTATTATCTATTAAAATACTATTTCTTAGATACATATCAAATTCAAATGCTTGAACTATTTTTATAATAACATTCAATTCTAAACACTTTAGGACTAAAAAATTCTAAATTAAATTGAGTCTATAAAAAAAAAATTATTAGAGTAGATTGTGGAAGAAAAAATGAAAGAATAAATTGAATCAAATATCATTCGAATCCTTGAAGAAATGTTTTGAACATAAAATTATTGCATATATAAGCAATTATTATAACTTTATTTTATATAATATGAAAATAATTATTATGTTTTTCAATAAATACAATACTATAATGATAAAAGTCTAAGTAATAAAAATTCAATAACTTGATATTTACAAAAGAAAATAATCCTTTTTACTTTTTAAAAAATTAGAATTCATTATTGATTAAAAATGTAATTAAAAAAAATTATCTTAATATTATAAATTTTTCGATTCTGTTGGACAAGTTTTTTAAATTTATGATAATTTAGAACTAAAAATAAAGAGCAAATATTGCCAATTTAAAAGAGCTAAAGAGATTTAAATGTTTTAACAAATTCTTTAGAGCATCCTAATTTTTGCGGAATTAATAATTTTATTTTGTTAATTGCCTTAAAAAAATCAATTTTTAATTTGATCTATAGAAAATAATTAATAATATTGATGCTTAAATAATTTATTAGACAATTAATGAATAAAAAGAATGTGAAATTATAGATTTTCAATTTGAATTAAATATATTGATTAAGATATATCTATATATTATTAATCGTAATTTATGTATATAAAATTTATTAAATTATTGATGTTAAATTTTCTAATTCTAAAAAATTCATTTTAAAATTTACAAAGTATATTCATAGATTCAAGTTAAACTGTATTAGTTAATTTTTAAATATGATCAATTAATTTTGATGAAATTGAGGTTTCATACTTCCTTAAGGTTAATATATTGATGAAGAATATAATAAAAATAAAAAATGAAATTTGGAAAGATAAATGAAATTCATATATTTTTAATATAATGAATTCATTAGTTCTATGAGAAATAGTTAAATAAAACATATATCTTATTTTTTGATAAAAATTAATAAAAATAAATATTATGTAATACATTTTATTATTGATCAGCTTAAGCACAATATTTGGGGGCCCACCATCTGATCTTGTGGATTAATATCAATATGAATATTTTAAGATTCCCTATAATAAAACTTTTTATTCAGGATATTTGGAACCAGAGGAGATATTTGATCATCATTTTCATTACATATTTTATCCAAATGATAAAAGTGATGTTCCTGTAATATTATGGTTAAATGGTGGACCAGGATGTTCATCTCTTACAGGAGCAATGATAGAAAATGGTCCATTTGTGTTTATAGGAGGAACTCCAATTTTTGAAGAAAATGAATATTCTTGGGCGAGATTTGTAAATAATTCAATTAAAATTGAAGGCTCATATGCTTTATGTTGAGACTCCTGTTGGGGTTGGATTTTCATATAAAGATGATGGCAATACAACAACAAGTGATGATGTCACAGCATAAAATAATTATTATATGTTATAAGCTTTTTATCGTAAATTCCCAGAATATAAATAGAATGATTTATATATAGCAGGTGAATCATATGCTGGAACATATATTCCAACATTAGTAAATAAGATTATAGAAGATAGTTAATCAAATATTCATATTAGAGGAATGATGATTGGAAATGGTTGTACAGATGCTGCTGAATGTACAAAAGAAGCAAAATACTTTCCTTATTATAAATTTTAATTTCTTGCAAATCATAATTTTATTAGTCAAAAATTATCAGATTATATAGAAATCCACAAAGAAAAGTGTTAATTTAATAATGAATAATTTTGCTAAGATTTATATTAAGATATTTTGACAGAAACAAATCTAGATGATAGCTATGAATACAATCCATATAATGTTTATGGAACTTGTTATTAACCTCCAGTATAGACACCTTAAGGTGAAAGAATTCCTTATGCTAAAAATAAATTTGATCCATTTGATATAATTTAAGGACATATTCCTCCTTGTTCAGATGCAGTTGGATTATATCATTATCTTCGTGATGATGAATTTAGAGAAGTAATCAATTTATCATTTTATTAGTTTTTAAATATTCGTTCTTAAAGTGATGAATGGGCTAAATGTTAATCTCTCAATTATACAAAAGATCCTAGAGCTACTTATCATTTGTATCCTAAAATTATGTCTAAAGGAATCAAAATACTTAAATTTAGTGGAGATGTTGATGGTGTAGTTCCAATTACTGGAACTATATATTGGATAGAAAAACTATAAAAAGAATTAAGTATTAATCAAATTATTAATTCTAGATTTACCAACTATTTAATAATGGAGACCATGGTTCAAATCAAATAAATAAAATGCTGGTAATCTATGGGAAATTGATGGTTTATTATTTGTGAGTGTAAGAAATGCTGGACATATGGTACCTGCTGATTAAAAAGAAGCCGCTTTTATTATGGCCCATAATTTCATATTTGATGTTCCATTTCCACAAGAGTGATATCCCTTTCATTTTAATGAATTATACATTTTTACTTCTTTTATTATCTTTCTCTTTTTTAACCGATTTTATTATTTTCCATCTTTTTACTACTCTTTATCCTTATACAAATGAAATATTCTATTAAATCGAATTTTATTTATATAAAATTAAATTTGAAAAACAGTTTAATTAAGAGAACACTGAAATTTGATCTCATGTTTTTTAAAAAAATAAATTTAAACATATTTAATTAAATATATTACTTTCACATTAAATCATCTTCTAATTTTAAAATTTATAATTGTAAATAATCCTATAATATTTGTGTTACTACTTCTTTAATTACTTCTTCTTTTAGCTTTTAGATTTAATTCATTATATATTTTTAATCTCTCAAAAACTTAAAATCATTGAAAAAATATCTAAAAGTTTTGAATTTATTAGATAATTATTAATTTATATCGTCTTAGATTGATTATAAATCTAATTCAAATTTGAAATCTTTCATAATTGATTCCTTATTATCATCAATAACTTTTTAAATGCTTTAATTATCAATATGTTCAATTTAATTTTGAAAATGCTCATAATTAATTGTATCTGTAAACATTTATTACTCATAGAATGTAGCATTTCTAAAATGATCTGCAATTTTTTTAAACATTTAATATAATATTGATTATAACTCGTAGAATTATTTATTATTATAGGTTTGTTGAATTTAAACTAAATTGTTTATAACATCTTTATCTCTATTATTCCTTTTAAAATTAAATTATGTGATATTTTTATCTACTTCTTTTAATCTTTAATATTTATTATTTATATTATCATATTTCTCAAAGATAAATTAAGATGAAAAAATAAACTTGTCAAATGATTTGTAAATTCCTTCATCAAGTAATGCTTTGAATATTGTTTAATTTTCTGTAAGTTTTTCTTTCTTTTATTATTGTTTTTCCTTTATATTTTAGTCTTTTGTTGAAATATTTTCTAATTTTTTCTTTTTATCGTTCATTCTATTTTTTGCAATTTATAAAATATTAATAATGATATTTTTAATAGCTTAATCATCTTTAATTTATGAGTTCAAATAATTATCTCTTTCATAAAATGGACAATCATAACCAACAAAATGTATAGTATAATATAATATATTTGGTAATATTGTTATTTAATGTTATTTATTTGATATATTTAACCAAATTCTATCAGAAGTTAAATAATTATGTTAAATATTTTATTATTCTAACTATTTGTATTTGTTATAAATATCTAAACATAATTAAATTTATTATGCCATAGTCAATTATAGAAATTTGATTTCCTATTTATTATTTATATGATTACTTGTAAATAAAGTAATAAACTTAATTAAATGGAATTTGAATGATTAATAGTATATTCAACAATCTTTAAATCTTCATCTATCTTATAATCTTTAAATCCATCAAATTCTAATATTTCTTTTATCTCTTTATTAGATTTTGAAAATGTATAACTCAAAGTACTTTAATAATTAAGTCCTTTCATTTCTTAATAATTTTATTATTATTATTAAATATAATAATATAATTTTTAAAATATTCAATATTTGTTTTAAGATCTTTTATATTCTAATTAAATAACTATTTCATATAAATTTTCTTATTGTAAGTATATGTATTTATCAAAAATTCTTTACATTTACTAATTAAAAGGGTAGGTTTTAATGTTATTAAAATTCAAACTAGTCAAGTGTAAATTAATATTTACAAAATATAAAATTGCTTTGTTTCCTCTATACTTTTCTATTTATCTATAATTATTATTAAATTATTTAGAAATCCCTCCATCATTTATTTACTTATTATTCTCATCTCTATATTTTTATAAGAAAAATTATATAATAAAACCAATTTGGTCTTTTTTTTAAATTAAACTCTCCGACTTTCTGAAAAAAAAATTAGCTTTTTTCTGTTTTTTTTAAAGAAAAAACTCTATTTATTTTATTCAATCTTTAATTGAAGGTTTTCAAATATAATTATTCACAACATTTTATTAATAAAATATGTACAGAAAAACTCATAAATATTTCATACATTTTAAATTACTTGAGNTTTTTAATAGCTTAATCATCTTTAATTTATGAGTTCAAATAATTATCTCTTTCATAAAATGGACAATCATAACCAACAAAATGTATAGTATAATATAATATATTTGGTAATATTGTTATTTAATGTTATTTATTTGATATATTTAACCAAATTCTATCAGAAGTTAAATAATTATGTTAAATATTTTATTATTCTAACTATTTGTATTTGTTATAAATATCTAAACATAATTAAATTTATTATGCCATAGTCAATTATAGAAATTTGATTTCCTATTTATTATTTATATGATTACTTGTAAATAAAGTAATAAACTTAATTAAATGGAATTTGAATGATTAATAGTATATTCAACAATCTTTAAATCTTCATCTATCTTATAATCTTTAAATCCATCAAATTCTAATATTTCTTTTATCTCTTTATTAGATTTTGAAAATGTATAACTCAAAGTACTTTAATAATTAAGTCCTTTCATTTCTTAATAATTTTATTATTATTATTAAATATAATAATATAATTTTTAAAATATTCAATATTTGTTTTAAGATCTTTTATATTCTAATTAAATAACTATTTCATATAAATTTTCTTATTGTAAGTATATGTATTTATCAAAAATTCTTTACATTTACTAATTAAAAGGGTAGGTTTTAATGTTATTAAAATTCAAACTAGTCAAGTGTAAATTAATATTTACAAAATATAAAATTGCTTTGTTTCCTCTATACTTTTCTATTTATCTATAATTATTATTAAATTATTTAGAAATCCCTCCATCATTTATTTACTTATTATTCTCATCTCTATATTTTTATAAGAAAAATTATATAATAAAACCAATTTGGTCTTTTTTTTAAATTAAACTCTCCGACTTTCTGAAAAAAAAATTAGCTTTTTTCTGTTTTTTTTAAAGAAAAAACTCTATTTATTTTATTCAATCTTTAATTGAAGGTTTTCAAATATAATTATTCACAACATTTTATTAATAAAATATGTACAGAAAAACTCATAAATATTTCATACATTTTAAATTACTTGAGTAAAACTTTGTAAAAAATATAGTATTTTTTCTTTTGACTTCTGGAAAAAGCCAACCATTGTCTATTTAAGCTTAAAGCTGAAATTTTTTATTCTTCAAGCCAATTTTTTATGATTTTTTCCCCTTAACTATATTTTATTATTTTCTTTCTAAAAGTTCTTACTCAATCTCTTTTTGGATTATCAAAGTTTCTTAATCTTTAAGATTGTTATAGTAACGATTCTTTAACATATTAAATGTTTTTCATGGGAAATATAGAAAAAAGAAATGTTTTAACAATCAATACCTTATAATTTTTTAAAATTTATACAAGAAGTAACAGTATTCGATCTTCCTCTAAGATTTTGATCCTTTTTTATTTTAGCCTAAATAGATTTGTTACTTCACTTTTATGTATCTGTAAAGACTACTGCTTCTATCTTAATCTCCATTAAGAAAGCTTTTCTCTTTTAATGAGATATCTTTAGTTTAATGCCATTAGTTTCTGAGTTTTTTAAGCCTTAGTTTAAAAAAAGTCAGTAATTTGGCTTCGAATTATATTCATTTATTACAAATGAGTCCTCAGAAACCTTAAATATTTCAATTGTAAAAGATAATTAACCAAATTTAATAAGGGTTTGAAAACGTTAAAGATTCTAGATTAATTCAAGAACCATAAATTTAAATTATAAACTTTAAGTCTTAATGGACATCATATTCTGGTTAATTTAATTGAGTGTTTTTAGGAAAGTTTTTGCTTAACATAATAATTAATTTGTATAAACATTCGATTAATAATTCAATTTTAATTAGTGATAAAAATTAATCTGTTTTTCAAAAAAACACATTTCATATTAAATATTGAATGGAAATATACAAAAAAGCAAAAAAGGTTTAAATAGTCTTAGTCATTAATAAAGTTGTGAAAGAGCTGGAAAAAATTGATAGTAAATTATTATTTATTGATGATTTAAAATTTTTTGTTAATTAACGAAATTTTGAGCTTTACTTTATTATAAATTTCTTATCAATATATAATTAAATGGAAATTTAATTTATGTAATTAAATTATTTAATTAAATATAAATAAATAATAAAGTTTTATAAAAAATTATTTTGTAGAGCTTTGATTTTGAGCATTAAATTTTCTAACTTTTAGTTTGAAATTTGTTTATTATTTAAAATTGTGTGTTGATAAATGCAAATTTTTTAATTCTTTAAGGACAATGTTTTTTTATAAACAAAAAATTTGATCAATAATTGAATAACAAGGTAAAATGTTCAATTAAAGCTAGTATGTTCTTTTTCTGATTAAGAGAAATTTATGAGAGATAGAAATTGGATTGATTTATAATAAATATTAACTATAGATACTATTGTAGTTTTATTAAATAAAACAAGGGTATTTTATTTTAGATTGTATTAGAAATCTTTTAAATGATAGATATATGAATGGATAATGGTTAATAAATGTATACTAAATGAAAAAGACAAGAAAATGTAACTTAATAGAATACATAGTTTAATACTGTCTATTATGTTTTATAAAAATATATAAAAATTCATATGTCATTTTTGCAATTGCCTATGAGTTATTAAAATGAAGTCAAGAAAGTGTGTAAAATTTCTTTAGCTTCTGGAAAGAGTGGGCTGTTCTCTATCACAGAGCTCATTTATTTATGTTATGGCCATAAATTTAGTATTTTTCTACCAATTATTCTTGACTCATTTTTGTTTGAAAGAAGTTCTTATTCGATTTCTTTTGGAATTTCTTGAGATTCAATATATCGTAGAGACTTGTAATATCTGTTTTTAATCATATTGACTGTTTTTCCAGAGAAATACCTAGTAATTTTGTTGAACTTAGGTCCTAATTTTTTAACAAGCAAGATTAGAATTCTATCCTCTTCTGCAGAGAATTACGAAATTTGAGCTCGAGGTTTATAATCAAGAAAGGCCTTTTGTTTTTCTTTTATGTACTTATAAATAGCACTGCTTCTATCTTTCTATCCATATTGAATAGTTTTTCTTCTTTATCTGAATTACTTAGACTTAAAAATTCCATCTTCTATTTAGGAATGATTTTGATGATGGAATTCGGTTTAGTAAGAGCTTTCTTCTTAGTTAGAGGTTAAATTAGAGTTAGGTTATGAAGAGATTTCAGAAATCATTTTGTTTTAAAAAATATTAAATCCATTCTTTTTATCGTATCCCATTTAAATTACAATCTATATCATATATATTTTAATTAACAATTTAATGGAATTATTGTTTTATTTGCCAATAAACTGACATTTTCTGTCTGAATTTTTCAACAGCATTAATGTTTTTGAATTTTTCATTTAATTTATAAGAGTATCAATTGTTTTAGTAGGAAAAGATAAAATTTTAGTTATGTCCAATATATATAAAGGTAAACGATAGAAGTTAATAAACGAAATTCAATTTCTATCTTAGATTATTTTAAAAAATAGCAAAAGTTTTAATCAATAATCTAATTACCAAAAAGAGTCTATTTCAAATATATATTATATAAAAATAAGATAATTGGAAAGTAATTTGTAAATTTTGAAGATTAAAAGAGAAATAGATATTATGAATTTTTAATAATAAAAGCCTTAGTGAATTAGAAATATATACAATGATTGTTGCATTTGTATTAATCTTTATTTGTTTTAATAAATTGATTATATGTAAATTGTATAAACTAAAACATATTTGGTGTATGGAGATTCTGGATCAGGGAAATCAACTTTTATAAATTCTTTAGGAGGAATTGATTAAGATAATTAAAAGCCATAGACTGGAGGACTTGGAGTAGCTGTGACAATAGATGCAGGAAGAATTTATTATTGTGAAGATGAAATTCTTGGAAATTTATAATTGATTGATACAAGAGGAACCTGGGATCCTGGTTAAATAAATAATGATTAAATTCTATAAAATTTAGTTAAGACTTTATTAGACTATAGTGTACATTAAATGAGTTAATAAGGTAATACATTAAAATACTTTTATAAGTTAATCCATTATAATAATTAGATGGAATTCTATATATTCATAATAGTTTCATCGATAGATATGCAAGAGATACTAGGATTACATAATTAGGAATTCTAATAGGTTGTGATTTACATTCTTCAACATTGACAATTATGACTAGATGTAAAGAAATTTAAAATACTAATTTAAAATACAATTTTTATGAGTGGAATAAGAAATTGCATAAAAATGAATCAGAATATATTCATTGGGATAGTGTTAATCCTTTAGATAATTAGAAATAGAAATTAAAAGAATTATTAAATAATTTAAAACCAATACCTTTGAGTAATATAAATGATGCAAACTAAGAGATTATAAAATTAGCAAAAGAATTATAATCTAAAGATTTGATTGAAGTTGAGGAACCTCGAATTAGAACTATAATTAAACCTTATAAAAAAGAAAAAAATAAGAAAAAAACAACATATACTAATGTTACATTAACTATTAATCCTCCAAAAGGGATTATGAATTAAATTGGAAGTAAATTATAATATATATATATAATATTAGCATGGGTTCCAATTAAAGTACCATTTTTATCAAATAATGGAAATCTTACTACAACTTCAATAAGAATTGATGCAGATTTCCCTCCAGATTCATTACCACCAAAACTCATTTTATTTTGTGATCTTGATAAAAATATTAATGAAATAAAAGGATCAAATTTAGATATTACTAAATATGAATTTATTAATAATGGAGATTATTATGATGCTAAATTTTAATATAGATGGATTAATCAATAAAATGAAGATGCAGGAAGAATAGATCTAAAAATAAAAATGATTATTTAATATAGATAGATCAAATTAAAATAAAAAGAAGAAAAAGAAGAATATTTAGAAAAAGTATTAAAACCAAGATATTCTGATGAGAAAGTATATCTTTATTTTTATTAAATAGCCATATATTTAATAAGCAATGGAACAATAATTTGAAAATTTATATGATGCTATTAAACAGAATTTTGAAATATCATGAATAACTATAAATAATATTATTTATATCAAAATTAATTTATATGGACTCTGGAGGTGCAAATACTTTTGTTATAGAACCTAAGGATGAAGAAAAGTTATTTTTGAATCCTTATAATTAGATTTTATCCATCTAAAGTCAGAAAAGTAATTTAAGAAATTATGGATGATAAATTAAAAAATGAAACTTATGATGCTAATAACACTCCTAATTTGGCAGAAGAATTAGTCAAAAGAATTAGAAGCAAAGTTAGAGAAAGTAAATAAATTATTCATCTTATACTAAAGCTATCAAAATGCCACGATTTAAAATTGCAGTTTAAGTTATTATTGGAGAAATTAAAGGTTAAGGATGTAAAGTAACTTCTAAAAACCTTTGGGATCCAATGTGGGATAATTATGCATCATATGCATTTTCAAATGTAATATCTTTTAACTTATTATTAATAAATAGGACACTATCTATGGCGTTGCTATTGTATTTGGAGTCTATTATGAATGAAATTACAATTCTAATATTAGATATTAATACATACCATTTATTATATATTTTATTATACTCAATCATAAATTTATCTAATTTAAACTTAATAATGTTGGAACTTTCAATTATTAAACTTTAAAAATTCTAATTGCTTTTTTTTTAAATATTTACTTTACTTGCCTTATGATTTTATTATAAACTAAATTTAGACTGATTTATTGTTACTTATTATATGGACAAAACTACTTTATATTTTTATAATTCTTTTCATAAATAATTATTTTATAAATTTATCACATGAATATTGATTCAAATAGTTTTTTTATTCTTAGTACCTTCATGATTTCACTAAACAAATCAATCACAAATCTACATTCTATTTCTCCTTATCTATTAATCTTATTTTTTTTATCTATCGCATAAAACTAATCATAAAAAATATGTAATTGTTAAATAATATGTAGTTTATTCATTTTTATTTTTCATATTAAGAGATTTTAATATTTTATAAATAAATTTTTAAAGATACAGAAATACTAAAATAATAGCAGAAGATATAATAACCTAATTATAATATTTTTATTTTTAAATCTTTTATATTTTAGATTAGATTTATGCTATTATTTATAAATTAAATTTAAAAGTATAGAAAACTAAAGTTAAATTAAATGTAGAAGAATTTAAAATATTTTAAGAACAAGAAAATCAATCATTAATGCTGATTTCATAAAATAAATAATCTTAGAAATATCTAAAAAATTATTTTTTTGATAAAAGAATTTAATTAAAAATTGATTTAGATTTAGGTTTTAATTTAAATAAAAAGATGATTATAAAAAGTAAAATTTAAAGATTATCAGGACTTGAATCAACTTTAATGTAAGGAATGGCTTTTGAAGCAAATTCATAAGTAGCTAATTAAGCTATTAGATCTTTAATGGTAGTACTAGTATAATTTAAATAGATCATTCATAACTAACTTAATAATAAGCTTCATAATAACAATGATAAATTTATTAAAATGAAAGCTAAATATTTTAAAATGTAATTTAAAATTTTAAGTGTTTATAAACAAATTCAGATTTAAGAAGATGTCAACGATATATGGATATATTTAAAGAATATTAAAAGAAATATAACTTATTATTATTAATTATATAAATTTAATAGCAATTATATAATATATTTTCATTAACTTGCTTAATTTGTTTATTTTAATTTGAGTTATTTTTGCAATTAATCAATAATTTGTTTTTCTCTTTTAACTTTTTATTCATAATTGAATATCATCAGAGCCTTACCTTATTCAGCATTTAAAATTTGCATTTCTTTTCTTTATCTAACAGCATTCATTTTCCTATGTTTATTACCAGACATAACATATCCTAATCCTTCATATTTTTCTATATCTTCAGATGTCAAACCAACTTCTCCTCTTCTAGGAATACGTTTTCCTGATTGAATATAATATGCAATTGCTGCTCCTTCTCCTGGTAATAATTGACTACCATAATTAGTTCTATGTTATAAGTTTTTATCAAATAAAAGTGGCATTGGACCTATTTAACAAGATTTATCATTCTCTTCTTTTTTCTTTTACATTTCTTCATTTAATTTTCTAACTTTTTCAGCAAATGAATCATCAGAATCAGTTTCTGAATAACTTAATTAATATATTTTATAATTTACTATTATTCTTCTTCATCTTATTCTTAATCTTAATCTTATTCTTAATCTATTTCATCTTGTTGGTTTAATACTTCTTCTTAAATTACAATTTCTTTTTATTAAGATTATTGTTCTCTTTCTTAAGATTTTGATGGAAGCACTTTTTATAAATGTTCTCCTTTCATAATTGCATCCAATTTAGCTCTTCTTAATTTATCCTCTTCTTATTTCATCTATTCTTCTATTATAAATCTTTGTTATCTTCTTTATTCTTTCATTATTTCCAAATCTTAATATATTATAACATTTTAGACCTTTTCGAACTTCTTCAGAATCACTATTAAATTACCATATATTTGATTTTTTAATTGATTCTCTTCTTTGTTTTCTTTAAAGTAAATACTCCTAATATGAAACCTTAGAACGGTAATTCTTAACTTCATCTTCTCTACTTCTAGATGTAGATGAAGATGATGATGAACTTCTTTTTTACTATTTCTTTTTCATATTTATTAATATTTATATATATATATCGATAATATCAATAATTAATATATAATATTTCTAAATTTAACACTTTTACGATATATATTAATATTCAAATTCATTTTTATTATTTCTAAGCATAAGAGCAATTTAGTTATATAATACATCATTCAAATCAATTATCTTATTATTATTTTCTTACTATCTTTAAATAACTTCAATGTTATAATGAATTATTTATTTATCTTTACATGGAATTAATTGATGATTGAAACTAAATGTAATTTCAATACGCTATGTACTTGGAATGGAATGGCTAAAAATGTTCTAGAAAATCAAAATGCTTTAACTTAAGGCTGTAAACTAGATTCTAATGAAAATTTTAAACACTTACCAAATATTCACAGTCTTAGAATTATACACTTATACTTATGTTCTAACAAGTCATTTAAATTTAAAGATATTATATTACTGGTGCCAAAAATAAAATTTTTCTAGTATATTTGAAAAGGTCAAACTATATCCTACAATTAGGAATGGATATATTAAATGATGATAATTAGATTAGATTTTCTATGAGTATATAATTTTATATTTTTTATTTCAAAAAATAAAAATTGAATTTAAGAAATAAAAAAATTTAATTAATTTTAATTAACACTTATTAAATTAATTTGTATTGTTTAATAATTTATGTATTAATAAAATGCATATTAAACAATACAAATTAATTTAATAAGTGTTAATTAAAATTAATTAAATTTTTTTATTTCTTAAATTCAATTTTTATTTTTTGAAATAAAAAATATAAAATTATATACTCATAGAAAATCTAATCTAATTATCATCATTTAATATATCCATTCCTAATTGTAGGATATAGTTTGACCTTTTCAAATATACTAGAAAAATTTTATTTTTGGCACCAGTAATAGTTCAAAAAAGGTCTGTTTTTGAATAACAAATCCAATGACCAAAATTTATGAATGTATTCCAATTATATTATCTTCTTGTGAAAATTGATAATTAGATCTTAATATATGCACACTAATTAATATTTCATTTAATTACACTATAGATAAAAATTGTATTCCTAAAATTCTGCTGATATCACAACTGAATTATATTGTTCATTTATTCCTTAATAACACTATAATGACTTCATATTAATGGAATTGAAATTTTTAAAGATGAATCAGAAGTTGAAATTTTTACAAAAGCGAAATGTTACAAAAGTATATTAAAAATTTATTATTGGAACATTTCAATAAATAACTGTTCGTTAAGAATAACTCAATCAACTCCATCTACTAAAATACAGGTATAAATACGTATTCTAACGGAAGCAATTTTATTATTTATTTAATTTATAATAGCCAAACATAGAGATACTTATAAATAAAATAAACTTTCATACTTTATTGTAGTTTTATTTTTTATGGCATTTAATCAATGATAAACATTCATATCTTTTTTCTATTTTTACCTAAAATAAAATATTTTAACTTCTATAATTTTGAATCAAACATAAAGATTTAAATGTCTAGATAATCCTTATAAGATCTATAGTCTTTCATTAGATTATCAATATAACTAATAGAATATTAATTTTACACTCTTAAATGTTAGTAGAGTTAATTTATTATTATCACAATAAAAATAACTAAATGAATGTTTAATTGGCAATAATTTAGGCAGCTATTCAAAATATGTTAAGAAATTTTTATGATTCTTTAAGATCACCACCAAATTTCTAAGTAGCAGTAAATCATTCGGTATTATGAATATATTATTTAAATAGAAAGCTCAAGTTATACATAAACAAATCATTGCTGGATCAGAAACATGTCCTTGTTGTAATCTGCCTATTTAAACTATTAAATATCCCATATTAACAGATATTAATGTATTAAGTGAACATGGTACATCATACAAATACTTTAAATTGATAAAAATTATATTCATTCTTCTGAGCATTAATTTGTAAGTTATCTAAATTTATTTAGTGTAATCGCTGGAATATATAATTTATATCAAAATTACAAGGGAGATTAATGTATTAAGAATAAAACTTGTAAAAAAAGCCTAAACAATTATTTATCTATTTTAAATAGAATGCAAACTGCTTCGTATTTAATAGTTCTTATTATTAGTTATGTAGATGAAACTTTAGATATTTTATACTTCATAGCAATTCTATTACAATTAGCTTTGGTTAGATATATATCATATAATTAAAATGATTATTATAATGTTGATCATGATTATGATGATGAAAAAACTATAAAATAATGTTCTGTGAAAATTGAAAATATTCCATAAGAGTGTAGAAAATCTGATATATTGAATTATTTTTAAAATGGTGTATTAAAAGGAAATCCAATATAATTTGATATTATTGACTGTTGTTTAATTTATGATGAGACTTATTTAATAACTAAATTAAAATAAACAATAAAAAGGAGAATAGAATAAGAAAACAATATGTATTTATTTATTTTTAATAAGATCATTGAAAAAAATAATAAGTGATACAGTTAAGCAGGAATTTATTGTTACAAATAGAGAATAATATTTAAAGTTTACTGGAAAAGTATTTATAACTCTTTCATTTGAAGTAAAATAATTATTAATATATTTCAGTAAGAAGCAAAAAATTTTAGGAAGACATTTGATTATTAATATTCTGCAAGTTTATGCTAAAGACCTTCAGATGTAATTTGGAAAAATAATAAAGATTAAAATATCAAAGTAATATATTTAAAAGGTTTTTTTCTTCTTTTTTCTTGGATCCCTATTATTGGTATTTAAGTGGCAAAAAATGATTATATTTTAGCTCACTCTGAGACAGATGAAGATTAATTATATTTTAATACATTTTTAAGCATAGTTGTTGCTGTTATTTTATTTACTGCCACAAAATTAAGTGAAAAAATAATTAAAGAGCTTGCGATATATCATTCAAATACCAAGCATCGTTAAAAATGGAAAATGTACCTATAAATGAGTGAGGGCTTTTTAATTATTTATTTCTATCTATTTCCTCCTATATTTACAGCAGTATATTCAGGAGAAGGTACAAGATAGGAAAAATTATGGAGATCTGGTGGGTTAAGTGAAGATATTATTATGATAGTTTTGTCGAACTCTATTTTACCAATTTTATTTACTTTTATAGATTTTTAATATGCAATTAAATTGATTAGAATTATTTATTACAAATATATTAATAGATAATCAAATTTAACATAATTTGAGGCAAATTAATTATATTTAAGAAAAATTAACTATAATAAAAAGAGGATTGAATTAACTCTTTTAGTTTCATTGTGTTGTTATTATGGTTACATCTATCCTATATGTTATCCTATTACACTTTTGACTCTTTTCTGTACTTATTGGCTGAATAAATACTATTTTTTAAATTAAGGAATTAGTGACAATATTAAATTTAAGTATCGATTGCCTATTTTATTGATATTCATGTTAATAGGAAGTTAATTGGGATCTAGTCAAATTATTCACATCACTTATTTGGGATATAACCCTGAAAAAACAACAAATTACATTTACTATTTAAAAGCTTTTTTTTTGTTCTATATTTTTTATTATAAAAAACATTGGTTATTTAAGAAGAGAGTTGAATATCTTAGATCAAATAATGATTTAATGCAATGTCTTTAGAATAATGACTTATATACAAAATATAATCCAATCATAGATGAGGATGCTGTAAATTATTATTATATTTTTTAGAATTTATCCAGATTTTCAAGATAAGCTAAATTTTACTCTGCTCTCTAAGTAAAATTATTAAGAGAAATTGAAAAAGAAATATAAAATCCAATTCCAAATGCTTAAATTTAGCCTATTTGAAAATATGAAAACATTATTTTCTTTTTATATTATTTAAAAATAATATTTAGAGAAATAATTATTTCATAATAAACCTATATCTTTTGGTTTTATTCTTTAATATCCTAACATATATTTCTAATTTTATAAAAATTCATAAACTAAAATATTATTTTATTTTTAAAATTTCTAAATTATTATTCAATATTTTTTTGGAAATTAAAGTTTATGATTATTTAAAAACTACCAGGTACAAAACTACATCATATATTATATAAATTTTTTATTATTATTTTTTAGTTTGAATTTATTTTGTTATATATTTAATTAAGATGAATCATTCTATAGATTATTATAATGTTGA